TCAACCATGCATTGGTGAGTGGTTTTTTGTGCCTGGATTCTTCATTTGTCTTATTTGTCCTTTCCTTGAACAGATTTGCTATGTGATCCTGGAGATTTATTGATGCTTATAAGGATGGCCTTAACAGAGCTCAAGCAGCATGGGCTGTGAAGAAGTATTGAGGGCATTGGATCCTTCCTGAAGGCTTAATGGCCTCTAATTCAAGGTGATATGTTATACATGATCTATATACAGTACATATCATTGTTAAGAACCATGTTGCTCAAAGGAAAGAGAGACTGACTCAGAGGGGCTTGGCCTCAGCTCGTATGCTGTGCCCCTTACCTGAGTATGGGCCCTTCATTTCAGATGAGGTCTGATGATGGTCCAATAAAGTCCAGAGGACTTCTGCAGGCTGGCTACTCTGGTGGAGAGTGCTAGAGAACTTCCGGAGAAGCATGGGAAATGTCTGGAGGAGTGCAGGAGAGTTCTGGAGGAATGCAGGAAGTGCTCAGGAGAGTTCCCACTGCAAGGTAATACTTCTACAGGAAACAGGATGGAAGGATGGGAGGACAGGAGGACAGGAGGACAGGAGGGCAGGATGATGGAGGACAGAAGGACAGGATGTCCGGAGGTACAAAGGACAGGATGATGGAGGACAGAAGGACAGGATGTCCGGAGGTACAAAGGACAGGATGTCCAGAGGTATGAAGGACAGGATGTCCAGAGGTACAAAGGACAGGATGTCCAGAGGTATGAAGGACAGGATGTCCAGAGGTACAAAGGACAGGATGTCCAGAGGTATGAAGGACAGGATGTCCAGAGGTACAAAGGACAGGATGTCCAGAGGTATGAAGGACAGGATGTCCAGAGGTACAAAGGACAGGATGTCCAAAGGTACAGAGGGCAGGATGTCCAAAGGTACAGAGGGCAGGATGTCCAAAGGACAGGAGGATAGGACATCCGAGGGTTAGGAGGATGGAATGTCTGAAGGACAGGACATCTGGAGGTCTGGAAGGAATAGGGGCTACATTGGATGAAGTCCAATGTAGAAGCAAACAGAGGTAGACTACCCTAAGGTAGAGTTGGAGGGACAGGGATTGGACCTAAGTCTGGAAAGAGGGTAAGTGCCAGAAAGGCAGAGCTCCAGCCTAGGGAATCAATCCCTAGGCCTGATGGATAGGACAGACTTAGTTGGACCAAAGTCTGAGAGAAGATTGGGCAGGTAGAGCAAAGTCTAAGATGATATTCAAACTAAGGAACTACAGGAGTATCTACAGGGGTTATATACTGGACAATATCTGAGGTGATCAGTAAGCAAAGGAGCAAGGCTATGTATGAGCATGTGGAAACACATTAGTAAGTAAGACAGAACATAACTAAATGAACTCAGAGATGAAGATTCATACAAGGATCAATCAGCAAGATGGAACAGGAGGTAACCGAAAGCCAGAAGGCAGAGAATGCCTAAATGGGGATAGGCACAGGATATTGGACAGAGGGTGGGAATAAGTCTGGAGTTAATATCTGGAGGTCCAGAGATCTGGGGATCTGGAAGACAAGGTGAAGTCCGGATGTCTTGCTGGATGGAGTGTGCATAGGGTGGATGGGACAGGGGGGTATGGATCAGGCTAGCAGTGGAGATCTGATGGTCCAGAGCTCAGGGGTAAATCTGGAGTGTAGTCAATCCTGCTGAGGTGTGGAGCACACAGTGGAAGGGGATCTGGGAATGAGTTGGATATGAAGTGGGGTCCAGACGTAGGCTCGGAAGGCATGGGAATATGATGGAACATGGGTCTGGATTGTGGGATATGACAATCATACTAACATACCATCATCTTGTCTACTTACCACACTGCTCTCCTAATTGTGACCCTGCACAGTGTTTGCTACTCTGGCATCATCTCATACAGTGGCTCAAAAAACTGTCCACATGTTTTTGCATTTTTTACTATTTACAATATTATGTGAGAATACATAAAGACCTCAGTGACATGCTGATACCATATTGTAGTGCTGCTTCAGGGCTTTAGATTGAGCACCACATTGTGAGAATCAGAGGAGATATGGTGGAGATACAAGGCTTACAAAATCATGACTCATGCAGACAGTTTTTTGAGCACATATTAAAACTATATAAATCATCATTTATGACACCATAACAATCATGCCACCATTAAATAAATTATAAAGTGGTGTCATTATGTCATTTTAAAACCATATCTAACTATACAAATTAAAAATTTCCATATGTCATGGTTATATTCACCATGAAAGCCACTCCCCTGCTCAAAGGGATAATATCCTCTCTCTTTCCTATTCTGGCCTCTCTGCTTGTCAAATTTCCTCTAGAACTGGAGTATCCAAGTCCACTGTGGCCAAGTTCATCAAAGAAAGTCACATGGACAAGGAAAACTTCTGTGAAGGGCGTCCATCCAAGCTCACCTCTACTGATAGGAGGGCTATTATTCAACATATCATTACAGGAAAAGCTGATAATGCTGTCCAGGCCACCTATTACATCAATTCCACCATCACATTCCCTGTCTCTTCACACACTGTGAGAAAAATTCTCAAGACAGCTCATCTCAGGTCAGTAACAAGGAAGAAAAGGCTCTCCTCTCTATCACACATATGCAGAGAGGACTAGCACCCTTCTTTTTTCACATATATATCTTGCCATCTGACCCAATCCTATTTATTGTGGTCTTATATGATCATATAACATGCTTCCAGTCCATATAATCCAGTTCTGATGGGCTAAGGCAAAGGTTAGTCATATCTGTTTATGTGTGATAGAGAGGAGAGCCTTTTCTTCCTTGTTACTGACCTGAGATGAGCTGTCTTGAGAATTTTTCTCACAGTGTGTGAAGAGACAGGGAATGTGATGGTGGAATTGATGTAATAGGTGGCCTGGACAGCATTATCAGCTTTTCCTGTAATGATATGTTGAATAATAGCCCTCCTATCAGTAGAGGTGAGCTTGGATGGACGCCCTTCACAGAAGTTTTCCTTGTCCATGTGACTTTCTTTGATGAACTTGGCCACAGTGGACTTGGATACTCCAGTTCTAGAGGAAATTTGACAAGCAGAGAGGCCAGAATAGGAAAGAGAGAGGATATTATCCCTTTGAGCAGGGGAGTGGCTTTCATGGTGAATATAACCATGACATATGGAAATTTTTAATTTGTATAGTTAGATATGGTTTTAAAATGACATAATGACACCACTTTATAATTTATTTAATGGTGGCATGATTGTTATGGTGTCATAAATGATGATTTATATAGTTTTAATATGTGCTCAAAAAACTGTCTGCATGAGTCATGATTTTGTAAGCCTTGTATCTCCACCATATCTCCTCTGATTCTCACAATGTGGTGCTCAATCTAAAGCCCTGAAGCAGCACTACAATATGGTATCAGCATGTCACTGAGGTCTTTATGTATTCTCACATAATATTGTAAATAGTAAAAAATGCAAAAACATGTGGACAGTTTTTTGAGCCACTGTATGTATGAAGCATGTGGATAGTCTATTGGTAAGTAGAAATGGATCACAAATCATGAAACGGAAATGAAACATAGGTAACGGATCAGGGAGCAGGACAGATATACAGATAACCAAAATACTGGAGTTAGGGGTTACCAAAAGGAGACGAGCGCTGGTTGTGGATTTGGATGAGTTGTGGACTGGACCAGATGAGTGGACAGATTGAATGACGAGATGTTGGAGGGAGATAAGATGTAGATAGGATCGGAGATAAGATGTGGATCTGAGATCCGGATATGCGGATATGACAGATCAATGTGATGTGACACATGAGTCTATGGGGTTGGGGTGGGTTGGACAACATGATAGGGGGTCCAGAAATGCAGAGGATTGAAAACCACAGAGGGTCAGAGATGCAGAGGGTTGGAAATACAGGGGAGTGTCAGAAAACATAGGGAGTTGGACATGCAGAGGGTTGGACATGTGGAGGAGACATGGAGGGTCAGATACCACAGGGGATTGGAAATGCAGAGTATTGGAAACGTGGAGGGACAGAAAACACAGGGGGTCAGAAATGTGGAGTATCAGAAACATGAAGGGATGGACAACACAGGGGGTCAGAAATGCGGATCATCAGAAACATGGAGGGATGGAAAACACAGGGGGTCAGAAATGCAGAGTATTGGAAACACAAACGGATGGAAATCACAGGAGGTCAGAAACATAGGGGTTTGGAAATCTGGAGGTCAGAAAACACAGGGAAGAAGGATTTGCAGAGGGGATGTCTTTCTGGAGTTGTTCACTATCCCTAAGTACAGCTGCTGGAGCAACTGAGTAGCTAGTATAGAGGCTCATAAGGACGGAGTGAGCTGTTTGATGGTCCAGGGATTGGATGGATTGAAGACATCTGCAAATGCATGATTTTCTGATGGAACTCCAGAAATGTTCTAGGAAGTTCCGAGGTGAGTGGAGTGGTCCAGGAATCAACATTGGTCAGATAGGAGTAAGATGCTGAACTGGACTGGATCCTTCTAGCTTGCAAGTCCTGCAACAGGTGACTGCATTAACTAGGGATATTGGAGTGGTTGTATCAGCAAAGGTGACTCAGGGGAGTTTCAGAGTGGGATTTCCACTGGAAATGGTGGATGTGGATGGATTGGTGTGTATCTCGGATGAGAGTGTCTGGAAATCCAACCAAGTGCAATAGAACATTAGGGGTGTAGTGCAGGAATTGTTGGGAAACTATGAATGGCAAGGTGGACGATGGATGGATGAGTCCAGACATATTCCAGTGATGTGCGATGCAATGCACATGTTTTCCCACAGTCTTCCGGAGTGGATCCGGTGGACAATGTTCTATGGGACAGAGCAGGTGATTCCAGGTGGAAATGGGGTGAGGTGAATACTCAAGTGGAGTCCCTATCCCCCCTTTTTGGGAGAAGTCCCAAAAACAACTGAAGGAGGAAATTAGGCACAGGGTTCCAGCAGGAGTGTCAGAATGTCAATGGACCAGATGATGGAGTGAAATGATGGATGGATTTTCGGAGAAACTGGATGTGCATCATGGAAATGGACAGAGTGGATGGGGAAGTTATGATGCAAAGCAGGCCTTTGGTACAAAAATTTCTGGAGGTATCACCAGTGCTTTTCTGGACATGGAGTGAGTCCAAGAGAAGACACTTATTGTATGGTGAGAGAATTTGGGACAGGAGCAGAAATGACTATGAAGGCAGGAAAGAGCTGATGCGAAGCATATCCATTAAGATCCAGAAGGGTCCAGAGACAAAGGATGGGTCATAGGTAGGAGTGAGAGCTTCTGTCAAGGAAACAATCAGGAATCCGGAGTTTTGGGTTCCAGAGTGGATGTTGGAAATGGACTACAGAGGAACAGGACGGAGGACGGAGGACGGAGGACGGAGGACGGAGGACGGAGGACGGAGGACGGAGGACGGAGGACGGAGGACGGAGGACGGAGGACGGAGGACGGAGGACGGAGGACGGAGGACGGAGGACGGAGGACGGAGGACGGAGGACGGAGGACGGAGGACGGAGGACGGAGGACGGAGGACGGAGGACGGAGGACGGAGGACGGAGGACGGAGGACGGAGGACGGAGGACGGAGGACGGAGGACGGAGGACGGAGGACGGAGGACGGAGGACGGAGGACGGAGGACGGAGGACGGAGGACGGAGGACGGAGGACGGAGGACGGAGGACGGAGGACGGAGGACGGAGGACGGAGGACGGAGGACGGAGGACGGAGGACGGAGGACGGAGGACGGAGGACGGAGGACGGAGGACGGACGGAGGACAGACAGAGGACAGACAGAGGACAGACAGAGGACAGACGGAGGACAGACGGAGGACAGACGGAGGACAGACGGAGGACAGATGGAGGACGGACGGAGGATGGATGGAAAATGTTGCAGAGTGGAAAAGTGACAGAGGATGAGGATGGATGTGTGGGGCAGAGGTTCAGAGCAGAGGTCTGAAACAGAGAGGTGTAACACAGAGGTTCGGAGGAATGAAGTGGATAGTGTGAACAGATCATCAGTGGACTGGAATGGATGGATGAGCTGCAATGTGAAGTGGGAGCTTTGGTGCTGAAATTTCCAAAGGTCTGGATGCATCACCAGTGAGTATCCTGGACTTGGAGGGAATCCTGGAAAACATATTGGTGATGAAATACTGGATAGGACATGGAGCAGAAGTGGTATCAGCAGCGATGAAGAGTAAGCACAAAGCATATCCATGCTGATCTAGAAACATCTGGAGATGATAAGGAGTTGTTCAGAGGTATCAATGAGAGCATCCATCAAGGAAGCTTCTGGAGATCCAGAGTTACGAGCTTCAGAGGTATAGGGTTGAACAGAAGTCAGGATTTGCTACTGCACAGTGGAAAGGATGAAGGATGGAAAATGAAGGATGACAGATGGATGGAAAATGTTGTGCAGTTGTGGAGGGAAGGTATGGAGTGGAGGCCTTCATGAAGAAGCCACCAGAAATCCAGAGTGTTGAGGTCCGGAGATATAGGGGTATGACTGTCCTGGAAATGGTCAGAAGATTGGTACTTCAGAGGGGCAGGAAGGAGGCCTGGCAAGGACCAACAAGATTCTGGAGACTCGGATGAGCAGAGGGTTTTCCAAGTCCTACTGCTGGAGAGTGTGAGAGACACTTTCCAGAGGTTTTTGCTTTCTGGAGCCTGAAGGTTTAGTGGTGGAAAGGCAAAAAACATCGGATGAGGAGAATGAAGCCAGAAGTCAGTCAGGAACTTGCATGGGACGTAGCAGTTAAGCAGAGTCCCTATCCCCCCTTTACATGAGATGAATTCGAAGATTCAGGACAATACATGCAGAGTGCTCTGGACCGCAGGAAAGGGTTCTGGAGCGGAAGTAGACACAGAGTGGAAATAGGGGTGCAGATCAGAAATGCATATGGAGTGGACATGGAGGTGGAGGATTGGAAATGGAGGTGGTGTAAATGGGGCAGGAGTAGGGGCTGGGACCCAATGGAACTATTGCCAGAGGAAAACAAAACCCGAACACTTGGCAGAAAACCATCATGAAAGATGGAGTTCTCTACAAGGAGGGTAAATGAAGACCACTACAAAGTAACTGGGTGATGGACTGGACATAAACTGGAGGAAAGGACGTGGCTAGCGCAGAGACAGGGGTTCCACAGGAAAGCAGATGAGAGACGTCAGGAGTCAAAGGCATTTCTGATAGTAGCACCTGGAGAAGGTTTTGCTTAATACCCTATTGATCAACAGATCATGGTGGGTAAGCAAGTGTATCCTAAGTGGGACAAGGAGAATCCAAAGGAGTTGAATGGCAAAGCATTCTGGAGGTGACTGAGCCAGTCCAAGGCCACACATAGGCAGATCCATCTAGGATGAGCCATAGTGAGATGGAAAAATGAGGTTTTGGATTTGGAGGAAGTCAGAGGATGTCGGAGGTGATAGAATTGAGTCAGGGAGTTGCAGGATGTCAAATCCTGTGACCTATTTGTTCTGCTGTGAGGGTGGCATTCCTGTTTGGCTTCAGGAGCAGATGTCATGATGACGGAGTGGAGTGGAAATGAATTCCAGAAAAAATGCAGACTTTCTGGAGGGTGCCCAGAAATGCGAATGCAGAGGAGTTGGAAGAGGAATCCATAGTTTCCGAGAGATAGGGGTCAGACTGGAATGAAGTATGATGCAACAGATCAGTATACTCAGTAAGGTGTGGGTTCAAATATACTGTTAAGATCATGCTCAAGGGTCATGGATGCAAGTAGTAGAAGTAAGTATACTCAGTAAGGTGTGAGTTTGAATATACTGTTAAGAACCATGTTGCTCAAAGGAGAGAGAGACTGACTCAGAGGGGCTTGGCCTCAGCTCATATGCTGTGCCCCTTACCCAAGTATGTGCCCTTCATTTCATATGAAGTCTGATGATGGTCCGATGAAGTCCAGAGGACTTCTGGAGGCTGGCTACTCTGGTGGAGTGCTAGAGGACTTCCGGAGGAGCGTGGGAAACGTCCGGAGAAGCGCGGGAGAGTTCTGGAGGAACGCAGGAAGTGTTCAGGAGAGTTCCCACTGCAAGGTAATACTTCTACAGGAAACAGGATGGAAGGATAGGAGGACAGGAGGACAGGAGGACAGGAGGACAGGATGATGGAGGACAGAAGGACAGGATGTCCGAAGGTATGGAGGGCAGAATGTCCAAAGGTACGGAGGGCAGAATGTCCAAAGGTACGGAGGGCAGAATGTCCAAAGGTACGGAGGGCAGAATGTCCAAAGGTACGGAGGGCAGAATGTCCAAAGGTACGGAGGGCAGAATGTCCAAAGGTACGGAGGGCAGAATGTCCAAAGGTACGGAGGGCAGAATGTCCAAAGGTACGGAGGGCAGAATGTCCAAAGGTACGGAGGGCAGAATGTCCAAAGGTACGGAGGGCAGAATGTCCAAAGGTACGGAGGGCAGAATGTCCAAAGGTACGGAGGGCAGAATGTCCAAAGGTACGGAGGGCAGAATGTCCAAAGGTACGGAGGGCAGAATGTCCAAAGGTACGGAGGGCAGAATGTCCAAAGGTACGGAGGGCAGAATGTCCAAAGGTACGGAGGGCAGAATGTCCAAAGGTACGGAGGGCAGAATGTCCAAAGGACAGGATGCCTGGAGGTACAAGGGACAGGAGGTCCGGAGGTCCGGAAGGAATAGGGGCTACATCGGACAGAGTCCAATGTAGAAACAAACAGAGGTAGACTACCCTAAGGTAGAGTTGGAGAGACAGGGATTGGACCTAAGTCTGGAAAGAGGGTAAGTGCCAGAAAGGCGAAGCTCCGGCCTAGGGAATCAATCCCTAGGCCTGATGGGTAGGACAGACTTAGGTGGACCAAAGTCCAAGAGAAGATTGGGCAAGTCTAAGTTGATATTCAAACTAAGGAACTACAGGAGTATCTACAGGGGTTATATACTGAACAATATCTGAGGGGATCAGTAAGCAAAGGAGCAAGGCTATGTATGAGCATGTGGAAACACATTAGTAAGTAAGATGGAACATAAGTAAATGAACTTGGAGATGAAGACTCATACAAGGATCAATAAGCAAGATGGAACAGGAGGTAACCAAAAGCCAGAAGGCAGAGAATGCCTAAATGGGGATAGGCGCAGGATATCGGACAGAGAGTGGGAATAGGTCCGGAGATCTGGGGATCCAAAAGACAAGGTGGATACAGGACCAGGATATGAGAAGGTGGATAGAGTCTGGAATCCGAGGTGAGATGAAGTCCAGATGTCTTACTGGATGGAGTGTACATAGGGTGGATGGGACAGGGGGTTATGGTTCAGGCTAGCAGTGGAGATCCAATGATCCAGAGCTCAGGGGTAAATCCAGAGCATAGTCAATCCTGCTGGGGTGTGGAGCACACAGTGAAAGGGGATCTGGGAATGAGTTGGATATGAAGTGGGGTCCAGACATAGGCTCGGAAGGCATGGGAATATGATGGAATGTGGGTCCAGATTGTGGGATATGACAGCTCTGCAGAAGATATTAGGCTACACCTTTGCATTTGAACCTATGAATGTGTCTACCTAATCATGTATATTTTCCTGGTTATCCGGTGTTCATATGTGGGTTGGACTTCCAAAAAAATATTCACTTACCCTTCCCAGCCACCATCCCAAAATGTTGGGGCCATGCAACACCAGATTTCAACCTGAACTGCTTCTTAAACTCATTAATAGCAGAAGCAGATGGTCATGGTCCCTGATATAATCAGTTTCTAGTGCAAAATTCAAACACTGGGACCAACCTTGATTTGGCTTGCACCATTCTCACCAACACAATCCCAACACATGTAAAGGGAGGATTGTGTGTCATTGCCAATAGGATGCAGAAGCTGTATTACATAGAATCTATGTACTTGGATAAGAATGTATAAAAATCTTCATGCACATGTGTACTCACTTATTCTTATTAGAGCCAACCTCAGTTTGGTTGAGCATTGCATCCCAAACACTTTCAGCACTCAAGTAAACTTGATGTGTATCTAGACATTCCAGTCATTTCCATGGTCTCAATGCATGCCTATAGGACTTACTAATGGGGCCAGACATTGGGTCTACTGGAGCAGCACCTTGTTTCACAACAGTGACCTGGAAATTGAGAAATGAGCATCTGGGTATAAATCACAGGGTATCCAATACTTGCCATCTTCTTCACTTCATTGTCCACCTTATTGTCACTAGTGTCATAGTTTTGCCTAATATGGTATGTTTAAGACTTTCATAGTAAGTATTGATGAGTTGCTCATTATTGGAAGGAGTGAGGTAATGTTAGGATGATACTATTTCATTGTTACACATCCATGTACATTAAAAAATCAAGTGTGTCGAAATTGTACTCACTGTCACATGTCACGTGCTCCTGTGTCGGCATGTCGAACACCTAGGTTGCCCAATAAGTCAGCCTTACTATACTGGGTGATCACAGCGCCTCACCCAGTATAATAAGGCTTAGTTATCTAAATACCCAACACCAGCATTAAACCTTGCCCTAAATATTGTCCAAGTACTTCAAGGCATTACCGTACATTAGTAATTACTGTTATTTTATTTTCTCGCCCTAAAGCGGTAATTGCGGAGCACTACCGCCCAAAACATAACCTAATTTGGAAGTTTTGCAATATCAATGTTTCCTACCCACCCCAAGCCTCACCCTGCTCTTCCCTGTATATTAGGCTTGTACCTACCATGTAGTTTAGCTATTATACACCTCATAGAACACACTGGCCACTCTATTTACTACCAGTCACATAAATTTGTGACAAAGTACAGTAAAATAATAAAACATTGAAAAATGCGAACATATGACAGCCAGAGACATACCAAGCCTCAGAGACTATGTGTATAACATTTTTGCAATATCCATGAGTATATAAAACCGCTATTTCAGGTGTTTTACATGTTTTACAACAATCTCTCAGAAAAACAATTGTGTCCGCTTTTTTCTTGTTTTTATATATCTTAACACATAGTATAATGTCCCCTTTGCTCGTATACCCTGTCTATACACTATATATTGTATTTTGACGCAGTACTTCAGCTGCAGAACACCAGATATTTGATGTAATGGGAATAGGGGGTGATATGAGGAGAACTGTGTTCTGGGAGGTAAATATGACATGTATCGAAGATCTGATACTCGGATAGCATATAATACAATTATATAATGCTAGAACTACAAGCTCAAGCCTCTGGTCCTTGATCTAAGTGCTGTGGAAGCAAAGTACATGATGGAGATGCGTGGGAAAGAATGTGAAACATATGGTTGAAACATAAAAACATACCATAGCACTCTACACAAGACCTTCTGTGGTGTAATACATGTGTGGTGTGATATAGGAACGTCATAATTACTATTAAACATATCATTAAAGTGTTGCAGGTCCAGCTTGGAGATATATATAGTATTTTCACATTTGATGCCTATGGGCCAAGTGTTCATACAACAGTGTACACCTAATTTCGAGTTTTTGGTGTCTAGGCCTATACATTACCTTACAACACTTTAATACTACATTTAATAGTAATTATGACGTTCCTATATCACACCACACATGTATTACACCACAGAAGGTCTTGTGTAGAGTGCTATGGTATGTTTTTATGTTTCAACCATATGTTTCACATTCTTTCCCACGCATCTCCATCATGTACTTTGCTTCCACAGCACTTAGATCAAGGACCAGAGGCTTGAGCTTGTAGTTCTAGCATTATATAATTGTATTATATGCTATCCGAGTATCAGATCTTCGATACATGTCATATTTACCTCCCAGAACACAGTTCTCCTCATATCACCCCCTATTCCCATTACATCAAATATCTGGTGTTCTGCAGCTGAAGTACTGCGTCAAAATACAATATATAGTGTATAGACAGGGTATACGAGCAAAGGGGACATTATACTATGTGTTAAGATATATAAAAACAAGAAAAAAGCGGACACAATTGTTTTTCTGAGAGATTGTTGTAAAACATGTAAAACACCTGAAATAGCGGTTTTATATACTCATGGATATTGCAAAAATGTTATACACATAGTCTCTGAGGCTTGGTATGTCTCTGGCTGTCATATGTTCGCATTTTTCAATGTTTTATTATTTTACTGTACTTTGTCACAAATTTATGTGACTGGTAGTAAATAGAGTGGCCAGTGTGTTCTATGAGGTGTATAATAGCTAAACTACATGGTAGGTACAAGCCTAATATACAGGAAGAGCAGGGTGAGGCTTGGGGTGGGTAGGAAACATTGATATTGCAAAACTTCCAAATTAGGTTATGTTTTGGGCGGTAGTGCTCCGCAATTACCGCTTTAGGGCGAGAAAATAAAATAACAGTAATTACTAATGTACGGTAATGCCTTGAAGTACTTGGACAATATTTAGGGCAAGGTTTAATGCTGGTGTTGGGTATTTAGATAACTAAGCCTTATTACATATACTGGGTGAGGCGTGTGATCACCCAGTATAGTAAGGCTGACTTATTGGGCAACCCAGGTGGTGTCGAAATGGGTTTTGATGCCACGGTCACAAGAGGCTGTCGAATTGAATGAAATGGTACAGTAGCCATTGAAACAAATCACAAAAGTCCCTGGGCTCACGAAACGGCATTCACCGGACCACACGGTGAAAACGTGCTACAATGGCTTGCTAGAGAGTAAAGAGATCTGATCAAGTTAACCGGCCCCATTCCCGGACTTCTTCAATGTGGAGCAGAAATTCTCATCGGCCCTTGCCAAATGCATGATGACCCTTATACTCGATGTGCAACGTGCCCCCGGCACTCAGCGAACACTGCCTTTACTAGATATCACACACTCTATAAGCGGACACTAATTGTGATCACAACGAGGGATGACGGTTCAAATGGAGACTCGGATATCACGATGTGACATTGTGAAAGTGTAAGCATTAATTTCACCTCCAAGTTCCGCCACCTTCAATATTACAGTCCTGATTATAAAGGGCAGATTTCGATAGTATGGTTTCCAAACGTTTTAACACCCTACTCGGATCCCACCATCTGAGATGGCAGTTCCTGATGCACACATTGTTCAGTTCGATTTGAACTCCATCTCATCTTACGGTGCGTACAATAAACCCTGTGGTGGTTTTTGCTCTCTTGAACTAACAGTTTAACATATATACCAGATCTCCTGGATCATAACGGTGATCCAGCATATAATTTCTTATCACCTCCCCAATTTGAGAGTCCTCTAGTCCCCCCTGGTTTTAAATGGCGCCGAGTTGAGTCGGTATCGACGCGCATACCTTCGCCAGAATCGGTATCCTCCTCACATGCTTCCACTTCCTCAGCATCAGATATAAATTCCGTAAAGCTGGGTTCCGCACTTCCCTTCCCATCGTCCTTTCCTTCCTCCGCCGCTCTTGCGAGTATGCCCATACCATGTTCTCGTGGATACTCGCGTAGCAAAGACCCAGATCACGTACCACGTCCGCGGAATGCTTTCATGCTCTTCCGCTCTGCTTTTGCTGCCGCACAGAAAATCGGAACGAATATTGAGCGTGACAATCGACACATCACGCGCATAATCGCGCACTGTTGGAATCGCCTGTCCGAATCAGAGAAACAGGTTTGGCGTAATAAGGCTGCAACGGAGAAGGCCGTCCATGCGATAAAGTACCCAAATTACAGATTTCATCCTGTCCTGCGTGCCAAAAAGCCTACCAAACGAAGAGTTCAGAGGAACGGCACGGAAGATAAGAGACGCTGCGAGCAAGTCGCCGAACTCCTTCTTGCAGGCAAGCATGGCGAAGAACTCGAGGTCGCAGTCAAGGAAATCGACGACACTATGAAAGCCACAACTTCTACGTCATCCCCTGATTCAAGGAGTGGGTCATCATCCAAGGGCATACAGCCTCCTTGTGAAGGCGACTTTGACGGACGCGAGATACAACCATTCCGCAGCCCTCTTTTGCCACCTACTACCAAGTCAACTAGTCCTTCAATCTGCGACTTTACAGGTGCCACTCAGTTTTCTCCACCGGTGCGCATATTTTCTCGGCATTTGACATCCTCTCATCGTTTCCATGCAGCTCACTATGGCCAAGACCATTACAAAATCTCACGAATGTAGCGAGCAGCCTCACCAAGCACCGTATGACACCGATCAACCAATATCGAGTACTTCTCCGACACACCCACTGCTCCTCACCCAACCTGACTTTTATCCTCTGTACCAAAGTGCCAGGCTCTCACCACTGCCTGTGGCACTTTATAGCGAATCTTCAGCCTTGTTCATAGACTACACAGATAAGAACGACGGCGGCGGTAATATCTCCGCATTGACTCCCTCCCCTCCAGACTTTTCTGCCTTCTCATGGGACACATTTTCAACGCTGTGCTATAGTACCAATTCGTCTCACTCGTACACAACTTTTCCATCCTACTGAACGTTTTTTGTGATACAATATTATTACCCCAACAAACGCCTTAGACCCATCCTAATCACGCTCGCATTCATTTGTAGCCTTTTAGCTTTACCCTTATACATATCGAACCATCGTGGATAGACATACATATGTCGGAATGTAACCTTTACCAACAACAAACTTATTCACGAGTTTCTAGACAAGATCTTAAAGGCTTTGACGCCCTCTTTGCCCAACAACGTTGCACAACCTACGATCTTGGCACCGGCACGATTCATCCGCCGAACAGCTTCTGGGGATGTCACGCCCCCAGCGCCAATGATGACAATTTCCCGCATCGCCGGGTCATCTGACTCCGCAAGAAGTCGTGAAAAGGTGTACACATTCCCTAGGGAGAGGGAATGAATAGCCTCGCCTGCGAGGCCACCCAAACCTGGAGGCACGGCAAACCGGGACATGCCCATCTTTACATCTGGGGTGGGGGTCTGATCAGCAAAGACAAGGCTGTTTCCGAGAGTGTTTGTGCACGTGAGGTAAGCGATTGGATTTGTGGGGTTACCAGAATTGGTGCCGGTGTAAGACGAAATGCATTCGATGACATCACGAAATTGGGTTGCTATGATGTACGGCGGGAGCTTGAGCCCGATTGTAAGCGTCGAGTCATCCTGGAAAGCCTTTGCGAAGACGTCAAGATATGGCTTGAGAGAAGGAAGGTGGTACGAGGGCGGAGGATGGCCTTTGATATTTGGGCAGCTGGAGTTAAACTCGACAGCGATGCGAGAGCGCCATGTAGAATTTGACGCGCGGAACTGTTGGATCGCGACTAACATTTCAGAAAGCCTCTCGGCGCTAGACTCCGTGATGCTGATTATGAACGGTTTGGGAGATGGTCCTTCTCCTAAGACCTCTCGAATCCATGCGAGATATTCATGCAATGGATGGGGTGAATATCCGTACGAATTAAGGGACGAAAGGGAATCCTTCATGAACGCTACCTGAGCAATCAACCTCGTTAGACGTATGAAAGATTGTCGGAGCAGTACGTACAGTATGACTTTCATCTTCTTCAAAACCGTCCAAAGTAGCTGTTCTCGTGATCACAGCGCCTGTATAAGAGCAGTGGTACAGTTCACTGAGCTGTTGATAGTCTGATGCCCATGCACATGAGCAGTTCACCATGGGAGGTGACACATCAATGCTGCGAATCAAAACCATCGAGGATTTTATCAGGATCAGTAATAGATGTCTTGTGGATCAAATAGAATGAGCCGCTAAGCGTATTGACACTTTCTTCGGTGTTAGTATCAGTTGAGAAGACCATGATAGTGCCTATTATTACGGACGTCGTGCCTAAAGCGGTCAACTTGGCTTGAGGTAAGCTTGATAAGACTTTACCAATTAAACAGAAATATACCGCATGCATACCAGTACATAGCTATGAAAAGAGCCCATCATCAAGGAGATGATCAGTCAAGAACAGAGTCCATTTGGCTCCCCGACAACGCTGGTAGCCTCTTCTCCTTCAGCAATGGCATTTTCGGTGTGCCCATTCGCAATTGTCCCTCGCCAAGCTGTCTCTCGAGCATCTTCTTTGATTATCTCTCTCACCTTCTCTCACAACGGCTCGACATAGTACCAAGAGAGGGCATACCATCCCAAGGCATCATAGGGAGCCGCCAGCCAACGATGGGTCTTGCTCCATTGTCTCCTTTCGTCTATGTATTTTAGGAGCCAATTTCGAGGATACAAGACTATGATTGGGTCCAAGAACACCCCGAGCCAAGTCAGAAACGAGAAAATGCAACGGTCAAGCTGTCTACACCTGCACCTGACGCTCTACCTGTAATCAAACTTGACATGGAACCATCGGAGCGATGTTGGAATGATAATTCTGTGGATGATATGGTTTTTATTGCCCCAAATAGACATGAACAAGGTGCTGAATAAAAGGGAATAAAGTGCAGCCTCGAGACCATCTCTGACGATGTTCGTGCAGATCTGTGCGAGTTTGGAAGCTGAGGAGCCAGCACGAACGATGTTCTTGGACTCTTTTGCTGATTGTGAGGTAGTTCGAGTCACGACATGGATCTGAATACATGATTCTCCCTGGGCTCGTGAAAGGCTCGTGAAAGGGCAGTAACTTATTCTGCATACACAGTCCACGGGAATTGATGGGCTATTATTGCAGGTCTCTCAGTATGGGGTATTGCTAGTGATCGGTTACACACCAATACTTATCGTTCTTCGTGATGAGAGGATGGAACATGGGAAGACTGCAGAACGTGTTCACTTGAAGATTTCTTCCCTTTCTAGTACAGATTTGTCAAGTTTAATGAGTATAGTCGTACGCGATGGAAACTGCTGTGTAGGGGTATGGTGAGCTGTCACACGTGCAGGCTTTGTGCACATATCAGTACAGAAGTTGTCTGAGAATGAAAAACTTACCAATCCTAGTCCGTCCAAGACCGCTTCTACGACCCCAGCAGTGAATGAAGAACAACTAAGTTGATTCATATCTTTAGGGACAGATATATGACGTTCGATCGGAGGATCATTGTCGATAATCATGTCTTGAGATGGAGATCACTCAGCAGTCCGGTAAAACGAATGGAGTGATCATACATTCATCTTCATTCTCCACGCTCTTCTCTATTGCATCTGCGGGGCGTCCAAAGACTGCCCTCCACACCTGTGTGTGAATGGACATGAGAGCAGGCAGAAAGCGAATTTCTCGTTTGGGAGCTTTGGATGACGACTCTGCCCGCCAGACCATGAGCTCAAGGACTCGGGTTCCAGCGCGATAGCCGAGGGTGTTTAATCTGAGCGTCGCCACGTCAAGTTCGTATAATTGGGGGACATAATAGAAGTGTAGTGTGAACTTACCGCCGTTCGAGATCATTGATCCCACTTACACGTTTCTGCGTATATTGGACTACCTCAGAGAAAAGGAAGGCGAAAGCGGAAGCAGAGACTTCTGACGTCCGTGTTTTATTAAGGTTCCTATCGTAAATATTAGGTCTAAGGCTTGGTTTTGGCGTGCCAAGAGCGGTATTTATGGATGTCGCAGAAGGTAAAGAGAAACGTGTTGAGCTTGCAGTCGGAGAAAGATGTTCTGCAGAAGAGAGCGAAGAACCAGATAGAACAGAAAAACGAGGATGAGGCTGTTGCATAGTGGAATGAGGTTAACTTGCAGCGTTCGGCTGTAATTACATACTTGGCGGGTCTGCCAAGTGAGCTAAGCAGTGGACGTGTGTCCTCCCGATATATAATCATGACCCTCCTAACAACTTCAGAGGCTTCCTCAGCTCGTGCATTACACGCCTCTCCTTCTCTCCCAGACCTTTATTCATCCTCCCATAATATTCATAGACTGAGACGCAGTGGCAGCCCGCCTATGAACACTGCAGCGTTCTCCTCCGTCGATTTACAGCAACATATCTATAACTCTTTACTAGAGTCTCGCACTGCAGATGTCTCTTTGCATGTCCATGGCACATGGGAAGCAATCTACAAGTTGCACAGAGTAGTCCTCATACAGTCGGTTTGTAAAGCGCTCGTTTCTCGTCTTCCTAAGTTGCTTACTAAACCACCTGCAGGGGTTCTTCAGCTCGCTATTCACAGCGGGTTTCCTCGAGTCCTCACCCAAGCCACGTAGCCATCTACGAGGACCTGAGGAAATTGACATTATTTTCGATGACCGCAACATCACTCGTGCAGGTGCGTTCTAGCCTCTATGTCGATAGCTCCACACTCATGACTTTTCAGCTTTTGAGTAGGTTATTCACAAGTAACCTTACGACCTTGGATTGACAAATTTCAGGATATGCATCGCACGACTATATGGTGGTGGTCCGCCCCTATATGTCCCATCATCCCTCATCCCAAGCACATCTCATCCACTTACTCCTTCCTTTTCTGGCCCCCCTTTACCTTTCGATACACCCAAAGGGCACCACACCACCAGCCCTCAGTTGTTGCTCTCACTTTTGGCCACAGCAGTCTATCTCTCCATACCCTCCATGGCATCGCAGGCCGTCAACTGCATCATGAACACGGTCGGACCGTATACCGTTATTCCTTACCTCAATTTCTCTATTGGTAAAGCTATCGAAGCTCATCCTGGCCACAAAGCCGAAGCAGCAGTGGGCTTGGAGAACATTGCACAGTTAGTTACCTCCGAGATTCGCGCATCTAGTACATCGTGTTCTCCTCTGCGCACATCAAGCACCAAGCGAGATCCTGCCGATGATTTGTCTGATAAACTATTGGATCTAGATGTACAGAAGGAGGATCCTGCTGAATCTGATGAGGTAGAATCTGAGCCAGACGATGGGCCAATCCGCGAACCTCATTTCCATTATGGACTGTTATCAGACAAGATTGGCGAAGCTGCGGTATGCTGGATCGCCCGGTGGGGCGCAGATATGCTTATCTACGAGGAGAAAGCATCTCGTGGTCCAGAACCTCCCGCTACCCCAGTTCCCGTCCCTGCGCAAAATGTGTCGTCGCGCAAGAGAGCCGATACGATGCCTGTCAAATCTTCACCTTCCAGTGAGCCTACCGTACCAGAACCGCATGTGACTCCCGTCATCTGGGCAAGGGGTGGCTTAAACTCGCAGTGGGTGCGACAGATTTTAGGCTCCGATTTGTTGTTTGTGAAAGGGGAGAAGGAACGCTATGATATGGCTTGCACTATCGTTGAGCTTAGGAGACGGCAGGGTATTGATGAAGAGGAGGAGAAAGACTGGGAAATGTTGTTCCGTGAAGGCATCTACTATGCCAACCTGGTAAGTAAATAAATCGCCTCTAACCGCTCTTTGTGGCAAAAACTGACAACGACTTAAAGCTCGTGGACGATATCATTGCAATGTCGCAGCATATCTCCCCTACCACTGGTCGACCATTTGTTCCTCTTTCTGTTTTACAGGAAGCTCATTGGGATCAGTCATTACTGCGATGTCAAATTACAACCAAACCAAACCCACCCTCTCCCCCTTCATCCCCATCCTTGAGCCCTCCGCCTTCGCGAGACAAGGAACTTGGGTTGTCCATCACGACTGCCGAGATTCTTGCTCGATTGCCGGCCTCGAACTCTTTGCCAAACCTAGTAGATGACAAAGATAAACCGTATTATCCCGTTGGACACGATTCATCCGTACGCATTGGCGATAGTGGGAGCATCGAAGGTGCTTCTATGGACCAACTCTTCGAGTCACCTCCACCATTGTCCAGTCCAAGCACAGACAGCAAGGCGCCTGTTCGTGCAACGACTACCGAGGCTGATTTCTTCGGTCTGAAGTCAGAACGACGAACCGCATCAGGCTGTATAGCATCTGACGCAACGGGTAAAGCGCGGTGGTCACCCTACCCTCCATTCAGATTTGCAGTGGAGTTCTGGGATATCGATGCACTGAAGGAGAAGTCCCGCCTGCACTCACAGACGGTCTGGTACGCAGGAAGCTTGTTCAATGTATATGTGCAAGTTATTCGAAAGAAGGGTATTCAGCTTGGAATATATCTTCACCGACAATCGAACATTGATCCTATCCCTGCCGCTTCGGCGCCATTGTCACTCAGTCGTACAGGACATACACACAACAACAGAGTGCCATCATTACCACTACTTTCTACGTCGCAGTCCTCACCCTCTGTGACTATGCATCCATTCGCCCTCCATTCGCCCTACGTCACAAAGCACGACGCCTGGTTCATCCCCACCGACATCATCCGGCCTTGCTACGTCCTTTACCTCTTCTCCTCCGAGCACCATTCCGGCTACATCACCTCCCGTTGCTCCAGTGCAGTCATATCGCGATCCCCGGCCTGCTGTTGCAGCTTACTTCACTATCTCTTGTGCCAGCTCTACTGGTTCATCTATTACGCGATTCACGAGCGTTCCGGACGTGTTCTCAGTCAGTCAAAGCTGGGGTTGGAAGTCGAGCTCCTTGCGGACTGAGCACCTAGAGGTTGGCCCTGACGGTCAACCTGCCAAGCCTATAATTCCAGCCCCAAGGATGAGCAGCCTTCGCGCCACCATTGTTCTGGGCATCGTCTAGTTCGGGTCGTCCCTGGATTTATGAGGTCATGCACATCGCTATATTTGCTATCAATTCGTATATTTCCTTCCGATATGTCATGTATTAAGTTAGCAGCATCGTCCGGTATGGAACAGTGCATCTACTTACTTAATACTTATGCTAATGATCATCATGTCATCTGTTTCCCGGTGGTCCTCGGCCTGCAGCGTCAAGGCGGTAAAAGTTCGGCGAATATCACGTGATTTCGGACACCAGGGCGGCTTCCCGACTGACAGGGTGTCATCTTCAGTTTTTATATCACTGTGATCATGTCCAAAGGCAAAGGCAAGCAAGTTGAGCATATGGTGCTCCTGCCGCCAATGCCAAATCCATCTGCAGGCAGCGCCAACCCCTCCGCATCTCTATCCTCCCTTTGGGGATATCTACTCCCAGCACTAAACCACATCGTCCGCTCGCCCACAAACTTGACTGAAAAAGCGCCCGTTATCGACATTTCATATCACATGGGCATACACACAGCAACCTACAACTATTTCACTATGCAAGTTGAAACTGTCACCACTAACAAGGAGCGCGAAAGACTTACACCAAGCGGAACGGATTTGTATGAGCATATCGACAAGTACTATGCGGAAGTCGCTCGGGAACTGTTACTCGGGGCTCCAGAGGATGATTCATCTCTGATACAGTACATCGTCCCGTGTTTCAACCGCTACGCCGCTGGTGCACACTCCGTGAACCGTCTCCTCAATTATGTGAACCGACACTATGTGAAACGTGCCGTCGACGAAGACAGAGGCTGGCTCACTCTGAGCGATATATTTGATGCTGTTGCAAAGGCTATACAGGACGGGGACACGAAAGAGAAGATTACAAATAAGTTGAAGGAGAGGCGGACGGAGGAATTGAAGAAGTGGGGGTGGGATGAAGGGGGGACGAGCGAGCAGCTTGCGCGTGCTGAGTCATGTGCGGAGGCGGCAAGTTCGCTTGACCGTGTCGTATCACTGTCTGCGCTGGCGCTTCGACGGTTTAGAACGGAATTTATGGAACCTCTGCTGGCTGTTCCAAAATTGAAAGGGAATAAAAGGAGGAAGCCAGGGGCTCATAATGGGAACACTCCCAATTTACCGAAAGGGCGCCTTGCGAGAGCTGTCAGGGAGCTGCTGGAAAAGCAAGATGTGGGTGTGGAGGAGAGGAAGAGACTAGTGATAGAACTTGCAAGTACAATGCGCGTTACTGGCGTACGCGACGGACATCCTCTACGGAAGAGGCTGGATAAGTATTTATTGACAGGGACTGTATAGATTTATTATCGCTTTAGCTTGATCTCAAACAGATGGACTCGAAACACAACAGTATATGATTGGGGTATGACATGATGAGTGTTCAGGTGCATTAATGACTGGACGGCCAGCAATATCTATGTGCGGGAGAGTAAGTATATGCTGATGATGCAGATATGTATGTAGAGAGTTCTTATCAGTAATTCAGGATCTGGCTGACGCTACTGCCAGCCAACTCGCTAGTCAGGTCAAAATGCGCGGTAACACTGTTAATATCCCCTTCCCATTCACAGGGTCTCAGTCCGTCTTCCACGGAAATTTGAGGGTCAAGTGTGGTGACGTTCGTGACGGATTAATCAGTGACGTTGCCCGTGTCTATGCCGCAGATGAAAGTAGCATGGGCACTTTATTCGATCTTCATGGATCCGTAAACCTCGTCGGTGAATGTGAACGAACCGCCCGCTGCGTCCCAGAAGACACCAAAGACAGTGTAGTGGTCTTCATTCAAAAGAGCGTTCACAGAGGCGTCATTCTGGATCTCCGTTAAGTGAGTAGATGCGCGTTTAAGAGCGAATGTACCGTAGTCAACTGCAGGGTATACAGCATAGGAGATGGGGGCGCTAAGGTATTTGTGGTGCAACCAAACAGCGAACAAGTTCATTGTTTCTTGACCAGAAAATATACCTGTGTTGGACCAATCACCTGTCCTGTTGCCCCATTCGAGGGACAGCTCATATATTTCTTTGGCTCCTCGGAACTCGTACCCGACGTCACCGTGCCACAGGGTGTGGGGGTCTGTAAAGTTCCCCCGACAGTCCCCATACCATTGACAGGTACGTTAGGCCCTCTGAAACGCCTTTGGTCGAGAACAGAAAAGACAGGGGCATCCGTCTTAGAGGAGATGTTGGCAACCATCACATATTGAACGCCGTCCTCGAGGAAGAAACCATGTCTTTTGCCACGATAATGACCCGGTCATGGGGTTAGTATAGCGCATCGCTGCGACGCCGACTTGTCCCGAGTAACCTAGGAGTTTTTGAACTTGAATTTAGGGTGTTTAGGTACTGGTTGGCCTACCATGTAATCATTGTTATAGAACATACAGTTTCCGAGTAATCCTCCCGCGTTTGCATTGGTTGTATTCGACGAAAAACTTGTCGCAAAGTTGACGAGAACGTCCGAATTCCATTGCTCGCCAAGTTCTTCCACCCTTGAGAAGTTTACCAGGATACCAGAACTTGCTCTATGTCAATGCGGTTGGACTGCATCAAAAACTGACTACCTACTGGCCGTCAGCCACTGGTGAACTTATGAAGCGACCCACTGGGCTCTGCATGCATCCATGAAAGATGGTCAGTAATTGTGGCTGAAACTTACAAAATCCTAGTGCAACACCTTAAAATGACTATTTAGCTTTTGCTGGGGCAGAAAATACATGCACGAACCTGTGTTTCGACATCGAAAGTTATCATCCATCGATTTCCATCAGTCAATGTCTCGAGGGCGGCCCTTGCCTTACCGCCAGCCGCGAATGAAGTCCCGGCTACTGCGGTCTCGAAAATGAGAATGTCGTTAGAGCTATCCAGTAGATTCAAAACATGCACACAAGACAAAACGAAAATGCGTGCGTACAAGTCATTACCGTAGTTTCCATTGTAAAGCAACCCGCGATACTGACTGAAGGAGCCGTCCGGCTGGATCTATCAAGGATACTTGTTCAGAAATCGAGTACACCAGGACTTCTGGAATACTTACCCCATCAGCCATTGTGCTGATATTTTCCTGTACGACGATAGTATCATGGACTCTTCTGTACGCGTCCGAGAGCAAAGAAACATTGGACACGAGGAGACTTTGATCCAGACTGGTCTTGGCCATGTCCAGGATGTTTGCTCCAGCCTCAAAGCTGTATCTGTGATCGAACGCACCATACGCGCGTAGGGAGATATTGCTGCAGTTGCCTAATTGTGTATATGTCAGGGTGTCGTTGAGGAGAAGACATGACTCTGCAACGAGACCGGGAATGAGGATGACCTGTGGCAATATCGTCAGGCCTCGGGAAGCCGGTATCAATATTTAGACGCGCGTTAGAATACCAGTTCGTGTTCCAGTAACCAGGTGTGCAGCATGGACAGCTGACGTTCGTAAAGTCGTTATTGAACCAGTGTCCATGGCATTGCCTATGGCAGTGAATAGCGTCGAACTGTCGACGTATTAATCGTAGCCTTGGAGTCCCCCATGCCAAGCAACAGCCATCGTACCTGTGGAGAAGCATGTGTACATCGAGTGTGGATCACATCGAGTTGGGTGTCAGGCAACTGACTGATGGGAACTTAATGAGCTGCAGCTGGCCAGCACTCCAACCATCACAGCCAGTTGTATAATCCATGTCAGAGTCCAGCCATTTACCATCTTCCTGAAGATCTGTGATCCTGAAATAGGGTCGACTTCAGCGTAGTTGGGCAGCTTGGCGAGAGCAACGAACCAAGTTGGTATATTACTTAGGTTGCCTGTGCCTGTGATGCTGTCTACTATTGTGTCCAATCTTCGAGAGTGAATGGTAGCGATGTCTTGCAAGGTGCCTGAATTTAGTGCTTGGGTTGGATTGCTGGCAGGTGCACTTGTGGCGGACGTGATAGAACTCATAAATTGGACACCTGGGAAAGAAATGAGAAACGCCGAAGGCGTTGCAACCGTCTTGGATCCCAATGTCGACATTCCGCTGCTACTGGATGCTTGCGAAGCAGAAGACTTGAATGCATGTCTTCGTTTGCACCGTTAAACACCACCGAAAGAAGGTGCGACACTAGGTCACTGACCTTGCTACCTTTGGGAGTTGAACGAATTGCCTCGGCTTTCCTAGATGACAAGCTACGTGTCGATGAGAGGACCCAGGAACTTGAAGGCCATAAAAGCCTTCCCTAATGTTCGCTACACACAACAGAGAAGTACAAACGAACGAAAGACCGCCTGCGGAGACTCGCTTTGGTTCTGCTGCTGTAACATCGGGCCCGAACATTATTTTATTTTATACTTACGAGTTCCAGAGCGAGGTGACGAAATGTGTGAATCGATGGTGGATGACCACTACTGCGTACCAAAATACAGATCCTCTTTTGGAATATTGGTGTATGCCGTACCAGTTTCCACCAATCAGAGGGCTCAGCAAGTACTCAGTGTCAACGTACAGATTCATGGCCGCAATCACGAAGGCTCAGAAGTCAGCATGTAGATCGCCGTGAAGCGGGGTTCAGCCTGTGAAGCCCTTTAGTTGCATTTGGGAAGGGCTGAGCTCGTCACATGTCTCAGACTGATAGGAAGATGCAGACAGGTGTGGCTAACTGGTAAGAAGGTCACACATTAGGATAAGTGGTAGCTGGCGATGTGAACAAAGGCTTGTCTTGGACCATTCCGATAGCTTGCTGTAGAATCGCGTCTTATGTCATCATTAACTTGGAAGGTTTGAGCAAGCTGCTAATAGCAAGTGAAGAGCCACTCGTGATGAGTTCATGGTGGTGGTTTTGACCCATCAGAATTGCCCCCGCCCTGACCCATGGAATCCAGCAACGCCTCCATATCCATCAAGTTCATATCTGGGGGCCGGTGGAAGAAGGTAGGATCGAAGTTGGCAAGATCAAGAGTGGACAAATCGAAATTACTGTCTCCACTTGGAAGCTGGTGACTGGCCCCATCTGATTGAGAAGTAGCGAAACTTGCGAGAATCGCACTGGGGGAAGGTGCAACATTTCCAGGATGCGCACTCTGGACGCCAAGCGTGGAATGCTGTACAGATTGCAGTCCATCAGAATCTGATGGTCCGAACACATCATTGCCGTGGTTGCTATGATCCGCTGCTGATAGTGCGCCGAGCATCTCCATGTCAAGACCACCTTCTTGGGACTCCTTTGCGGGGTCTGAAGCCCCGGAATCAGGAACGACGGGGGAAAATATGCCTTCTACCCCACTGTTCTCTCCCGACCCTGTTTCGGTTCCATCTCCAAAAAGATCTGTCATGGTTGACATTTCCATGTCGATGGAGTCAAGATCGAGCTCAATTGGCTTGTCTGCTGAATTTCCTAGGGATGCATCGATGGGAGGTAGAGGGGATCCATCCTCGATAGTTAAGTCAATGTCAACGTGTTGTGAAGAACCGGCAGTTGCAGACGTAAATGCAGCTATGAGGTCTAACTCCGCTTGAGCTGAAGGACGAGCCGATTTGGGCGCAAGAGATACTGGAGAGGGTAAACTCTGGGAAAATAAAGCGGCTTCTTCTGCGGACATTCGGAGGGAAGATGAGGAGAGGTCTAGTTTGAGAGGGAATGGGGGGCGGTGCAGGGATGATAGAGATATGGTTGATCCGCGGCGAGTAGGATTCGCAAGACCTTGAGGAGGAGATGCTTGAACCGGAAGAGCTGGTGGACCCATGACGACATCTGTGTTGACCTCCAGTGGGGGTAAAGGAACTTTTCGTGTGGTTGGAGACTCTGATGTGGATTTGGAACGAGTGCGGGTAGCGATCGCGGCATTCTCGGCTTCGCGAGCGCGATGTTGCTCACGGGCTAGGTCTCGTTCTAGCACAGCGATCGCTCGAAGCTTTGGACATTGTTGGAAGACGCACCTCGATTCGAAGAAGATGGTAACTCACCAAACGCGATTCCATCGCATCATAAAGTTGATCGAATTTTTCGACCTCATGTCCGAGTGAATCTGTCAAAGAACGTGGTGGATATGGAGCATATTTGTTAATACCACTGCGGATAGTTAGTACGCCGTGATAGTTGACAACTATTAAGCCACGCACAGTCTTCGGGAATCGGCATGAAAGGAATAAATTTGACCAGTTCTTACCACCGCGTTCTATCAAAAAGACTTAGACAATGTTAGTCACAATTTGAAAGGTTTACAACCTACCTTTAAACAATCCATGAGCGCATTCATTTCAGGCTCAAGGATGGCCATGACTTTGGGTGGTACAGGTGGAGGAGGCATGGCAGAGTCTGATGGAGCGTCTTTTGACTCTGTGGACTTGATCTGGGAAGAGGTGCTTTTTGGCGCCTTTACAACTTTACGTGGTTTTGGTTTTGGCGGCATGAGAAGCGCTCTGTGCTATTTCTGATTCTGAAGGCAGTGAAACGGGTCAAAGTTATATGTCACACCCAAATTGGAAAGTCTGAACAAGCAGCAGCAGCCTAGTGGCAAATACTCCAACTCGTCACATAGACGGAAGTGCTCTCATTGACCCTATATACTTACAGGACATGTCACACAGCGTCCATGATATAGCGCCAACGACAAGCTCAGTTAGCGTCAACGTTGAACACGAGGTACGTTCATAGATACAAGGTGCCCTCATTCCCTAAACATCGCACAACCAGGAATGTTTCCAAAGACGCTTGCGTCATATAAGTTCCATCCAAGTTCGCAATTTAACGCCTTTTCCTGTCCGAGATGCATTTGCTTCTGCTCTCACCCGCCCAGCTGAACACTCCCAATTTACGCCTCTGGGAAACCTCTCTGACGATCTTGATATAACGCTTTCACGAAAACGCTCACGGCGGATCTCCACAACCTCTGTCAATACTCTTCGTAGTGCCCGCATAGATGACCATGCACCAATATTGGACAATGGCGATGGGAGAGGTTGCCGGAGAACCCACTCTAAAGTAAGTTTCTCAGGAGGGAGCGCAGAGCCCATGCAAAGGAGCAACGCCACCTCCCGCACCATTTCAACCAGTGCTACCACACCTACGATAAAACTCAGTAATCGGGGGCGCACTAGCTCCATGGTCTCGTCCCTCAGTGCATCTACGACCAATATTAATGCCCCCTCCTCGACCTCGAATACGCAGGCGCCTTCGACCTTGACTACCGTTTTATCTTCATCATTATTCTTCGATTATTCGCAGAGGACCTTGGAGAAAGTTGTCCAATCCCGTCTCGTGGAGACCTTTATTTCAGTCACTGTTCCAGACACTCCGGATACTTTTCCGTTCCCGTCTTCATCGCCCACCATACAACGAACTCGCGCTGAAAGTGCTCCACGCGCACGCTCTTCCACTCCCAATGACTCTGTACCTCTTAATTCGGTGTCAAATGTGCGCAAAGCTTTCAAAACACCACGTCCGAACAGTGCGGAGGCCTCCAAGGCCGCATCCTTGTCCCGACCGGAACCTTCCTCCTCGATCCGCTCTTCCACCTCTCTCAGAAAAAGTACACCGCCAGTCAGAACAACAGGAACGTCTCTTACACCACGAATGGTCCCGAAAACACATAAGTCCTCGGCTTCTGTCCCACGTATCCTCACAGCTAGCCAGCTGCCATCGCCTCCAGCTTCTCCAGCGTCTCCAGAACCACCTCTGCTTCGCACCGTGCCAAACTACATATCACCTATCCACAAGCCCTCGACGAACCCTTCTTTCGTGATTGATGCACGGTCAGGATTCGAGTTTGCACCGTGGACAGATTTAGGTGCCGATACGGTGAAGATTGAGCTATGGGCAAAGACTTGTCGGCATCCTACCAGTGGAGCTCCACTCGAGGGCAAAGGAAAACAGAAGGAGATGTTGGTGACTGATCCTACTAGAGAAGAACCCGAGTGGACCGTCCTCGAGCAATGGAATGTCAACCTTGCAGACCTCGCCCCATTGAAACCTGAGGTATGTGCAATCGAACCCGTCCGCTCATTGATACTAATTACTCCATTAGCTCGAGGCTCATCCGTCACGCCTCCCGTCCAATACCCTTTTCATATCATTTTCCACTTGCGCAGAAACATTCTACTTGCCAACTCGTTCAGTTTCGAGACTCCATTCACACTCACGCTCTCCTTCTCCGACTGCGTACAACTCTGAACCGGAGATAGGAACTCGGAAGTTCGGACACCTTGCCGACCAGGCTATACCAGCACATTTTCATCTCGCCCGGACGCCTTCTGAACGGCCTAACAAATCACGCAGATCACGCAGGGCAGATGCCAGAACCGCGAGTTTGCAAGATTTACTTCAGTCAGTATAGCTTATGATTGAAATGTTATGCTCCTTGTAACAGCCATTCAGGTTCGTTACGCTCAGGTCATGTATCGTCGACCACGAGGAGTCGCTTGCGGATGTGATCCGGCAAATAGATACCACATTGGACAATGATGTCGTTGCGATATTGGTACGTGTATTGTGGTCGAATTGTTTCCCGCGAACGGTTCTAAATGAGATTCGATAGAATCGGGAGGCTTCGGAACGTGAAGCGCGTATCGAAGATCGACAATCTGAAGCGAAGGGGATCTTGGAACGGACATGTCTGTGTGAGACCCTTACGCTTGCCGATATGTATCCCGTGCTTATTACCTTATAGTACGCGGAGATATTACTTCTCGCCGAAAGATGCTAAAACAACGGAGAGACATACTTGCAACTGCTAGGTCGATGTACGCTGAAGACCAGGCCAACCTCCGGCAGACTGCTGTGGAAGTTACTGAGCAGAAGTTTGTCCTCCTCCGTGCTAACGTTAGCAGAAGCTGATTGGTAATGTATAGGCGGTGTCTTGACACCCTTCGAGCGCGTCTTCCAGTTATACGAACGTCCTTGATCTCGACGCTGTCATGGGTATATCCTATTGAACTACTTTCTTCTTCGGAGCTGCTATTCACGATTCTCACTGTTCCGTTACCTATTCCGTTCAACACTACAGAGCCTGCACCACCATTGTCACTGGCCTCGCACAAGGAAGTGACTGAGGATGCAGTAGCCACTGCGCTAGGTTTTGCTGCACAACTAGTGCAGCTCCTTGCCATCTATATGGGCAAGGGTCTCACATATCCTATCACCTGCATAGGGAGTCGGAGTCTGATCAGAGATAACATATCGGCCATGGTTGGTCCAAGAATGTAAACTTAATGCCTCGTGCATTTCTATCAGCTGACCAGATGAATTAGGTTTCCTCTATTCTCGAAGGGCGTTGACACATATCGATTTGAGTATGGCGTGTTTCTGCTAAACAAGGATATTGAAATGGTAAGCTCGATTGTGGGCCATGTCCGTCGGTATCTGACCCTACTGACGGTGGCAGCTCATGGCAGATCGCGATTTACGAGCGCTAGATATGCGACACACGCTACCTAATTTGAAAAACTTGCTCCTAACACTTACTGATGGTGAATGCGCAAGCATCCAGTGAGTCAAGGCTTTGCAACCTGTTCTCACTACCTGATCTGTTTATTAAAGCAACTCTCGAGTTTTTGATTCACCAGCTTCTTCTGGCCTTGTAACACCCCTACGAGCATACTCGCTGCCTCCTGCCCTGGTGCTCACGCCAGACAGTCCAAAAGCTGACCATAGTCTGCGCGAGTTACCTGGGGATGTAGAGGCCGAGAGTGCTACTTCACCCGATAGCGGCTCGACTACGCCTACGGCAGCGGTACCATTTACCGAAGGTAGTACCTTCTCTCGGTATTCGAAACTATCAATTGGCTTCCCGCCCCTGCCTGGATTTTTACGTCCGCGGAACGCTTCTGTCATCGGTCGGGCGTCGGTGAGATTGGATCCTGAGACCGCTTGGGAGGCGCAAGATGGGGTCCAGGGTGCCACATCAGGGTTGCCGGCTCCGAATTTGAGGATGGGGGAGGATGAGGATCGGCGAACCATTCGGGGTGTTGTGGTAGAATGTGAGGAGGGTAAGAGTGTTGAGCCAGGGGAAGTGAATGTTAGTGAAGGGGCAAAGGAGCCGATGGAGAAAACTGTGGATGATGCTTCTACCGCTGCGCCTTGCAATGTTGTTTCGCATGCTTCATGATAGGACCTTAATGGCGATATCAGGGAAGTGGAGATGCTGCAATGCGTTATATGAATTGCGACGTATCTTAATGAAGGCGAGCTTTTACAGGACTTTAATGGACAGATTTCGTTTTGCCAAGCGTGCTGTTTTCAAAGTTTGACGGCGGTCGGACGCTGGTCCGAGCTCCGCAAAGCGACCGCGGGCGGCAAGCAAGGTTATGGGCCCTTCTACTGATCTATACAACGGCAAAGGGATTCTTATTAGCCTAGTCGCGGTCGGGACAAGTTACATATTTCGATCATCGTAAAGGGTCTAGGTAATGGAAGTCGAGCTTCTAGGACCGAGACCGGAGAAACGTTTGCATAGTGCAAGTAAAATAAAAAATAAAAAACAAAGCAGGTCTAGTATGCGTTTTATGATTGTACTATGAAGAAATACACAGTGGGACTCGAAGAAGACTTGCTTGAAAGAACTCTTGAATAACTTTTCAAGGATCGGCGATTACGCAAGATTGGGTGTTAGTGCCGTGAAGATTGAATTCGCTGCCGTTCGCATCGGACTTTGAAAAACGGGGTCCTTCATTTTTGCTCTGCCAGTTCACCCACGCCGGCTAGCGAAGTGCCTTAAATACGCTGCTCATAACTACTCAAATTCAAACTTCACCGTTCTCCCTTTCAAGTTTCAGTCGTCAAAAAAACTGGAGAATTGAAAAAAAGGTGCTTGTCTTCATTCTACACGACGTTTCACTTGCTCTCTAACCTCTGAATCATTCAGCCCACTAAGTAGCTTTGTACCATCAATCCTAATAGACAGGCTCAAAATTGGCTTGCAGGTCGGTATTTACGACGCGCTTTACTTTGATTAGCTTTGTCTGACCTATATTTTCTTCATGCAGGATCCCTGTGTGCAACTAGGCTTATTTTTCTAATCCCTCGTCGCTTTCCTCGATCTGTTTTCTGTCATTTACACCTTTGGAAGAAAAGCTGTCGACCTTTTTTGTTATTCGCAATGATTACCGCTGAAAATACTAATACTTCCACCGATAATCGTTCCTCAGACGGGAGAAAGCAGAGCCCTCCTGCTTTCCTCGATCTCGCAGACTCGGTTGGTCATTCATTCTTCCTTCTGCTGTCCCGTTTTTTTATTGTGCCCTCTAGGCTGCGAGACTGGGTACTAACATGCCTGATATGTCGGCTGTGAGTCTCATTCACAATCGTCACCCTTGCTTTTTCCTTTTAATTAATTTTACATTCCGAAGCGCGTCGAGCTGAAGCGCTTGGAGCACGAGCGCCAAAGGTTATTGCAGCGGAAAATGTTCGAGGATCAAATGCGCGCACTTGAACAACAGCAGGCGCAGGAGCTGCTTAGCATTCCTTATGATCCGACTACCTCAGCCCACCTCGCGGTCTCTGCACCCACTACCCCTCCAAGAGTGAACGCGGTTTTGAATGGCGACAATCTTGTTAGGGCAGCTCTCTCTCACTCTTCTGTGGATGCGGAGACGCTTTCCAAGGCTGTTGGTTCTGCGGTTGCAGACAAAAGAAAGTCGGTCACTTATGCGCCTTCCGTTCATCGGTCTCCAGAACTTGGGTCTAGTCATGGAATGAATGGTCACTATGGACGACCTGCTGGAGCTAAAAGCATGCCAGCCAGCCGTCGTACTTCAGCTAGCAGTCACGACGAGGAGCTTGCTAGTCATTTGCAAGGTCTCTCCTTAATTGGAGAGCGTCCATCTCGAGCGACGCCTAGCCCTGGCGCCGTGGCTCATTCGCTTTTGACTCGCGGGAGATACAGTGATGAGGAGCGCCCTCGCGGCCAGCAGTATAATGTGGGAATGATGCTTGACGAGCAATTGGATCAGGAAATGCACAGTAAGTGATATCTATGCCCTGGTTTACCTTTCTCATCTTTGCTAGACGCAATGAGGCATCTCCCAACCTCCGACGAGGACAAATTTGCATCCTATGCCAACAGGGTACTTTACTTGCATTTTGCGTCACTCTAAACTGACATCGCAACTCAAGATTACCACCTCGTCTGCTGCTCTGGATCTCGCACATCGCTCCCAGACATCCCCACGGAATTCATTCTCTACAAGAGGTGACAAGCACTCTGAGTGGCCACAATTCTCTAACAACCCACGTGTACCTGACGGCCTAAGCTCCCGTAACGATCGCCGCACTGTCACCAACCCAACTTTGACGCTGACGTCCTCGCCTATCGATTTGTCTGCTGTCACCAGCCTTGGTGGTGGCGCTGCGACCCCACATGCAGGCCAACACGCACAAGCGTCTCTTGGTTCAACTGGGCAAGCACCTGGATCTAGGCGGGGTTCCCCTGCCATGAGCACGACGCGCTCAGTACCAGCTACGCCTCTATCTATGGCGAACGGTGGCAACGGGCATCTTCTGCAGACTCCTGGTACTCCTCATACTCCTGATTCTCAGGCTTTGAGCGGACGGCTTTCTTCGCAAGGTAGTTACCCGATAATTGAGGACTCTGGCAAGAGTGACATTCAACCATCTCTCTCTCGCATGTCATCCGGCCAGTACGACAATGTTTCAATGGGTTTCGAACAATACGGCGTCGAGGATGTTTATGGGTTGAACGGTCAAATGGACAGCAGTCGGTTTAATTCGTATGATCTCGACTCGAGTACCCGGTCTGGTAACAGCGTCAACGGTGCGAGTGGCTCGACCGCCCTTTACCACCACAATGGGACCCGATATGGACTACACATTAGTCGTGGTAATGGCGCTGATGGAAAGATGAACGGTTTACACGGTCCAAAGCACAAGAGGGGTGACATGGATAGTAAGGCCATTTGTCTTCTCAAGCTAGTTATTTTTCACTTACCTTTTATGTAGTGAACCGTTTCGCTGGCACACGCCTTGAAGACCTTCAGGGCGAAATACCCACACTTTGCAAAGACCAGCATGGCTGCCGTTACCTGCAAAAGAAGCTGGAGGAAGGTGTTCCTGAACACCGGGACATGATCTTCCGCGAAACATTCGGTCATTTTGCGGACCTCATGACCGACCCCTTTGGCAACTACCTGTGCCAAAAGCTCCTCGAGTTTTCCACAGATGATCAACGAAACGTCATTTGCGAGTCCGTCGCTCAGGATCTCGTTAACATTTCGTTGAACATGCACGGTACGCGTGCAGTACAGAAAATGATTGATTTCTTGTCCACTAGACGCCAGGCAAGTCGCTTTAGCGGATTTTTATCTTCCAGACTTACAGTAGAGCGCAGACTGATCATAGATACAACACTCAGATTCATTCTATTATTCTTGCACTCAGCCTTCATGTTGTAGTGCTCATCAAGGATCTCAACGGAAACCACGTAATTCAAAAATGTCTCAACAAGCTTGCACCGGAAGATAACCAGGTGAGGAGTGTGGCGGTGTTGTACCGTGGTGTTGGTAAACTGACGTTGGTGCGGCAGTTCATATACAACGCAGTGGCTGCCAACTGCGTTGAGGTCGCTACCCACCGCCACGGATGCTGCGTGCTGCAGCGCTGCATCGATCATGCTTCGGACCATCAGCGTGTCCAACTTGTGAATGAAATCACTTATAACGCGTTGACGCTCGTTCAAGACCCTTATGGCAACTATGTTAGTACCCCCGTTGCTCATCTGTTACAATACCTGACAGTTAGCGTTACCAGGTTGTCCAATATATCTTGGATCTTAACGACAATCGTTTTAGCGATGCCGTTATTCGGCAATTCACGGGCAATGTTTGTGCGCTTTCTGTTCAGAAGTTTAGCTCCAATGTCATTGAGAAAGTGAGTGTCTTTTTCATCTCGATGATCGTTCTCATGCCTACTGGGACTAGTGCATCCGTGTGGCCGAACATAGTACCAGGAAAATTTTGATTGAAGAGCTACTCAACCGCTCCCGCTTGGAGAAACTTCTTCGCGACTCGTATGGCAACTATTGTGTGCAGGTACTATTTTTCTTTCGCCCATTTGTGATTTGGGCTGGACATTCTTGTAGACCGCGCTAGACTATGCCGAGCCTGCGCAGCGTATGCTTCTCGTTGAAGGCATTCGCCCAGTCCTTCCTTTGATTCGCAACACTCCTTACGGCAAACGGATCCAAAACAAGTTGCAGCGGGAACAGGCCAACGCTGAGAACTTCGGCTACCATGCTCCTCAAGGCATGATGCCCATGGGCAACCAAGGTCATCATGGTGGCAATCCCGGTCATCTTGGTCACGGTCACCACTCCGCAGGAGCCCGGCACATCCCTCAAGGAATGCACCCTACTAGTGTGGCTGATGTCTACGCCCAGGGAGGCTTGTATGGTATGCAAGGCCAGGGCTCCTATGCCCACTCTCACCTCGGCCCCCAAATGCACGGCCTTCAGGCGCGTTCAATCGATGGATATGTCTTACAAGGCACCTCTCCTCATAGTGCGAGTCTGACGCCCCCTCATACCCACGCCTCTGGCTACACAGGCGTTGCTGGATATGCTAACGTGAGCCCTTTTGGCACGGTCGGTGTTGCCGGGTCATTGAATGATCCTTATCAGAGCTACGGCTATGGCATGTAGAGCAGGCATATTACATGCCACTTTGGACGTTTCTGCTCTTTCGTTCTTTGCGCACCTGCGCAGTCACTCTTTAATGGTTTCAATGTATATTCTATGTCCTTGCGTTCGACGCTCGATACCTCACAAGCATGTCGGCTCGATCTCACTATCTTCCAGGAGATTTTTCAAGCATGAGCAAGGGCCGACTTCTATCATACCACTGCGCATTTGTACTTTCGCATCGGCATATTCCAACCCCCTCATTGCTATTAGTTGCTTTCCGATACATCTTTCTTATCTGCCACACCCCATTTGTATAGCCTTAATCTTCCCCGTCATCTAAAGCAATGTCTGTTTAATGGTTAAACCGTCGCAGCACTACCTTTGTACTTATTGTCCAATCTATGACGTCGTTGTTTCCTGGGTCTTATGCTCAATCTGCCGGTCCGAGTCAAGGGTATACTTATTCACGTATTATCATTCTTATGATACCCTCACGTTAAGCACTGAACCACTCAATGCAGTGGTGCTTGTTCAAACCAGCAAGATGACCCATTTGTGTGCTATAACAAGCACCGAAGTCGTATCTGAGTGGTACGAGGTGATGTTTTGCATTGGATGGTAGATGCATTTCATGCTAGTCTTGTTGGCATATTATCATAGTGGCATACAAGACGACCGAATGATCTGGCAAGATAAAGAAGCGTGACGAGAGGACGATGATATAAGATGCAGGTGCGCGACTGTTCACCGGTTCTATTCGTCGAACATGAGCTGCTGCAACGCGCTCGAACGCTATGGCACTCACCTTCACGAAACCGATGGCAGCTGACTTTTCACGGAAGCATTGACGGCACAAGTCAAGGCCGTACTTGCGGATGAGACCGGCCTGGTGAGCACAGAGGCGGCTACATATCCATCACTCAACGACCCATGATGTAGACGATCCTACGCAACTCACCACTGGCGGGCACCCTTTCCGAACTTTCTAGGACGAGAGAACCAAACAGCGTCGTGGGTCATTTTGAAACTTTTTGCTTGAGGCTAAAACGAAGGTTGGACCGTGTAGCGAGAAGGCGTAGGCTTTGGCTTACCTTGCCGGACTGTTGCTTGCGTTGAAGGCCTTGCTAATCAGAAATCACCCGCCATGGGCAGAGTTGCCGTGTTTGGAAAAACTGTACAGTGGCTGAAATAAGGTTTAATGTCCTACGCGGTATTAGCCGAGGTGGCGCTTTTAACGGTTTTAATAGACGCCCTGATATCGCCCGCCTAGCTCAATCGGATAGAGCGTCAGACTCTTACTAGCTGCTAGGCGATCGTGATCTGAAGGCTGCGAGTTCGACCCTCGCGGTGGGCTATCGTTTTTTCTTTCTCATTTCTATCATGATGGTCTGATTTCGAGGCCTGGTTTTCAGTGCGCCGATGTTGACTGCGTAGCCTTGGTACAGGCTATCACAACAGACGTACCAGCAGCACTAGCACTGAGTTAGTGTAGGCATCACGGTCAGCATGTGCCAGATTCTGATGCCAACACTATCCTCAGGTCCGTGAAACCAGTATATGTGGCCGCATCCTGTAACTTCAAGTTTTCAACGGAGGGGACAGGCGCCCGTGTCGCCACGATGGCTAGTACCAAGGCGTTCTGACAAGCGCCCACTTTCCTTCACCACCGTCCAGGTCGCTTTCTACAACACGTTGGTCTCAGGAATCATTTGACAGTATCGAGATATGACTCTCAACGTCACTCTCGTGCGTACTCATCCTTTTATTTTATACACGCAATCACTCCCTGTTACATGCTTCATGCACATTCACGCTTTATTCCCTGTCTCAATCAGCGTATTCATTCCTCTCCCCGTCAAATATTCTCCCTCAGTTTTTTGATCCAATACTGAGTCCTTTTCCTGTTCGGAGCCTCTTCATTCGTAAGAGACAGGGCAAGCGATTCCATACTGCCCGCCTAGCTCAATCGGATAGAGCGTCAGACTCTTACTGCTAGGCGATTGTGATCTGAAGGCTGCGAGTTCGACCCTCGCGGTGGGCTATGGTTTTTTTCTCTCAGCCTGATACATGAGACCACAAATTTCTGGTATTCGACGCGCCGTGTGGCCTTGGTGCAGGTGAAGCTAGATGCTGATAGCACTGTTACATAATTTCGGCATCATAATTCCTGATTCTGGTGCTATCACTGACAATTGCTCTGCGGGATCCCGCGACCAAAGTCACCAGACAAACTTCCTGCTTTACTGCCGTTCAGGCCGCTTTCTATAGTTTCGGTGGTCTCAGAGGCTCGTTCGACGCCGTACCCATTCTCATGTAGTTCGCTACCGATAAAATCACGGCTGCAGCACACTTATTTTGGACTGCATGAACTGCGTGGCACCAAAATATTATTTCACGACTACACCCTCCCTCGATAGACGGAACGGTTGTCTTCATTCTATTGGTCTCCATGACATTCCCATATATAAAGTGGGTGAAGATATCTGCAGGCTCTAATGATTAGTTGTTTGTTTTCGAGTTCTTGCGCCCTGTAGCGTTGTTCTGTCGGGACCATTTTAAGGACCTCGCGGCTTCAGCTGCGAATCGCGGCGGATGGGTCGCGAATGGAGACAATACCTTGGCCAAAGACGAAAGCTATATTTTGATCTGCCGTGCGCAAAATCATCTCGGACTATGTTCGTGAGTGACCACCCCGGCTACTACATCCTTGATCTTTCACCGAATCAAAATTTGGCTTGTCCGTAGTGGATCTCTCCTTTGCAGGCTGTCATATAAACGACTACACTAGAAGTGAGGAGGACGGCAGCTACTCCTTCGATGCGAGATCTTTTATTGTTCAAGATCAGAGAATATAGATGGCGACGATTATCACAACTGTAATTCCTCCACTACATGTGTACCACTTTCTAGAATTGCACTGCAGTGACCACATTTTGACAAAAAAGAACATCTTCAAGCAGATGTCAGAATGTCTCGCGGTGCCAAGCGCGTTGTAAGAGGGTTGGTGCGCAATGCTCAGGTTGGCATCGCCAGTTCAACTCATGATCACGAGACACGTATCACATCCCTGGGTTATTGCTTCAACGTTCTGAGCGGACAACTTTATCAATGGAATTCAAGTCTCAAGTAATTCACCCTGTCAACAGCCCAAGTAGTATGCAGCTACAGCTCTATCATGCGCCCGCGGATATCGTATGCAAAGTTTGTCATTATAATCCGTCCTTGCTCATATATTTTGCTATTTGTTGATGCTCCGGCCGAAGATTGCTCCTTCCACATAGAAAAGCTTGTAACACATACAAGCAAATATAAATGTCTCTACTTAAGCGCGGTGGTAATTGGGCCGATAAATATTGAGGACCGGCTTCAGGTCGTGTGAGTAGTTTAAGAGGGGCGTGTGGACATTGAAGGGACTTTAAAGGGCGGCGCAACTAGTATAATTTGGAAGGTAGATGTCACATTACCAGTCTATTTAGTAGACGGGGTGGGCTGTGGTGCTCGAGATAAGTTATATAGTCTGCGCCCCAAAGAGAATCCAATGTGCCACACAGTTGAAATAATGATATTGATGGTACCGCCTTGCAAGGTCGCAGAGACTATATGGGGAGATGCGATTTTAATGATTGCCAACGATATGTAAATGACGCAATAATGGGGTACCGATATCGATTGCACAGCTGCAGGAAAATGAGGTCAGGGTCACGGCCGGTCGCTATAAGCTCATATTCGATATCGAGGCATTTCCTACTGGTAACCAGAATTTTCAAGCATTCGACCGTCGACCGTTTCCTGCAGCTTGCAAGAGAGCAATTAACGCTAAGTGAGATGATGAAAGATGCGATCAACAAGTGGATTGATCATGGGCAAGGACTCGAGTCCAGAGTCTTCTAGCTTCCTTCTATTTATGGTCTGACTACGCTCGATGAGGCATAGGCAGTGCAGGCTCTGACTTTACGAGCACTGCAGACCACGGTTGTTTCGACATACCGGCGTAGCGGACGTTATGGCAGCTGAGCGTTACCGTTCTTTGGTGGCCAGCTTCTCGTACTGCCGCGTACAAACACTCGAACTTGATTGGACGCAGCCTTGGCGTGTGCCGCCATTATAAAGCTCCATTAATTCCTACTACAAATGACCAAACTTATCCCGCTTTTTTCTTCTTCTCTATTTCACCAACTCAAGCTGGCACTTGTCACTCTTTAAGCAAGGCAGCCATGATACTTACATCTATCGCTGTCACGGGCCTTCCCATGCTGCCTGGTCGCATACCCGCTGGCCATTATGTCCATATCTCTACTCCCTATGGCCAGTACAACACCATCAAGGCGGAAATGGCCGACTGCAGCGTTTCTTGGAACCAGACCCTCAGCATACATGAGCGCCCTCAGACGTTTTCCAAGTGGCTCATGTCCTTCTTCAAATTTAAAGCAGTTCACCTCGAAATTCGCGCCTCATATGAGCCTGGACCAGTGCTCGATCAGTATGAGGTCGTGTGTACATTTGACACGACTTTCGAGCAATTGCTCGCAGAAGGCGGGCAGCTTAGTGAGTCCTCACCTTGAGCAATGTCATCGTCTGCTGACCGCGATTCCGAAGCATTACATTCGGATGTTAACGATCAGCACATATTCCTCAAATTGAAAGCTGGCGATACTAATGAGGTGCTCTACTTCTTGACTAGCATCACTGCAAAGAAAGTTTACTGATAAAATGTAGCAGACGCATCCGCGGGAAAAAAATGTTGTCATATTCGGCGAAACCGGCTCAGGGAAAAGTTCAATCATCAATGTCATCGCGCAAGAGCAGGTCGCAAGGACCTCCAATGATGCGCTGGGATGCACCTCTGAATATAAACGCTACTCAGTAGACATTTCTGGCCAGAAATTCGCCCTGTTTGATACCGCGGGTCTCAACGAGGGGACTGCAGGCACGGTGACACCCAAGCAAGCGAAGCAACAGCTGAAGAGCTTGTTGAACAAGCTCATGAGCCTCAAGTCACCATTGGGTGGTATCGACCTTTTGGTGTACTGCATGCACTACACGACTTCCCCTCGCGCCATCCTTGGCACCTACAATACTGTTTACTCTGGGACCTCCCGGAAGAAGAGAGTCCCAATCGTCGTCGTCGTCACAGGATTGGAGTCTACGACTCCCATGGAGAGCTGGTGGGATGCTCACAAGGAGATATTCAACAGCATGGATCTCGTAGGCCATGCATGTGTCACAACGATTCAGGAATATCCAGGCATTCCAGAAGACTTTACTCGTCGCGTTGCACAGTCAAGCGAGATTCTGCGCAACCTTATCATAAAGAAGTGCTCGGCTTCGGCGGTCGATGACAGCTTGCCCGCTGGAATGGGATGCTGGTCGCCGTCGTGGTCAATGGACTGAGTGGTTGCGAATAGCGCCGCCCATAAGTGTCGAGCAACATGTCGTGCACGCTAGTACGGGACATCTATTTAATCCCGCTGGAGACCTCGGAGAGACAGGCAGAGTACGACTTGCACGATCTTATTAGGCGCACCCTTCTTACCGGAAATGAACAGGAATGGTTATAAGCTTTGCGAGACTTTGGTATATATCGTATTGGTTGTGAGTGGACGATTTTTATTCCATCATTTTATTCCAACGTTTTCCCCGTGCGCATTACTTTTATTTGTCATTCATGCTCCTCGTTGTGTTTCATTTTCGTTCTCCATCTTTTTATTCATGTTCTCTCGGAATCACCTCTCGTTAGTGATGAATACTTATGATTATGGATATACTATTTGTTAGTATTAGTATGCAAACAGTGACTTGAAGATCAGCTTGGATCACCACCATCGGGAGTGGGGGTGAATACAATACATACTTCTTGTCAATATGATATCTGATGCCATTCTGAATGCCATTCACGTCATGATGACAGACCAGACAACGCTGGACAAAACGAAATAACCAAAGTGGCTTCATGCAACTTGACCGACCATCGAATTGGAGGAGGTGGCAGTATGGATTGCACATCTAACGGTGTGGGCACAGTCACAGTATATTGTACATGTTATCGAGACAACCATTCCACCTATGAGCATGGAAAGTGAGGTGAATACGAGTCTACGAAGTGTAATTATACATCTGTTGATCATGGAGCAATGGAATCTGAGAGCATAAGGAGTCAAGAAAAGGAGAGCTGTGTGAGAGTTCAAAGATGGCAACAATGACATGTCAGAAACCAAGTCATTTGCCTGTGATCTCACTTCAGCACAGGGAGCGGGTACGGATTCTTCATAAGGCGCTCGTGCTTCCTGTTCAGCTTCATCAAACTCCCCAGGTACCCAAAGATGTTTCCGCGTATCGCAGCATCGTGCAGCATTAGCGGATCCGCATCACGACGCTCAAAAAATGATCTATAAACTTTCTTCAGCGCCTGTACCTCAACATCCTTCTTGCAATTCATGAACCCATAATCGCACGCAACGGAATTCACCATTTGGCCCTTCGGATTTTGTTCATTGGTCTGGACCGCAAATTGCTTGAGGTCCCAGACAGACTTGTGCATATCGTGGTCTTGCAAGACATCCGCAAGGTAACGAAGATTTACGTCAACTCCATTCTTGCGGAAGAGATCGAGAATACGTGCGGAGCTGAAGGCGTCACAAAATTCGTCGAATGTGCATTTGGTAATGAGGACCTGATAACGTTTGCTTAGATACATTTCCTCCTCTTCACAAGCGCATGAGCAGAAACCGAAGGGGATCCAGAGGTTATCGATTGGTGCAGGATACCATCTGCTCAAGAGTAACGCATAGAACACATGACATGTTTGCCTGTCATGAGGCATGCTCATTAAGCGGGCTTTTATGTCTGCAGGCGAGTCTGTTTCTGCACCTCCGGTAAAGCGCCATGCACGCAGAGTCATGGCATCCCCTTCGTCGTTCAACTGGCGATCACCAGCAGCAGACGGATTAAGAATGTGCTGGTTCTGCAGGAACCAAGGGAAGTAACCGCCTCTGGATTCGATGGGAATCTTGTAGAATGCTGCTTTAATCTCTTCTACAAGCACGCCCCTGACCCGCCAATCGTGGATGGTCTTTGGGGGAATTCCTATGCGATGCGGGTCCATCAGCCCTGAAAATGATAACGTTTCAGGGGTTGGACCGAGTCAACTCCACATGTACATACCGATATACAAGCCAAGAAGATTGCACCTATTCTCCACAGAGAATGCACGTCCAAACCCATAATCCTCGCAAGTCTGTGGATCTTCCGGGAGATTGTCATTTCTGACTGCAAGCGCTAGATGGTCTGCGGTGGTGATAGGGCGACGGGGTTTGCAGGCAAAGATGTGCCGTACCCAATGAGACTTTTGGCAAGTGACAGAGCAGTACCAGACTTTGTGACAGCCAGAGCAGCGCTTGAGATTGGAGGACTCGCGACAGGCATTGCATTCGCGAACCATTGATGATTGGGGATGGCAGGTTCTCGCTACGGCAGTAGTGGGGTTTTCCGTGCCATGGCCGTTTGGACCTCATCAATGCATCGACCACGTTGTTTGGTGAGAAATCCATTCTGGCCCCAAACACGTCTGTTTGTGGTGTTCGGTTTACACCGTGCCACGGGTCTGAAGTTTCTGATAATTTGTTGCAAACCTGGCCGCAGGGCACCCGAGACTCGCGGAGATAAAATTTAGATGAATTCAATAGAGCACCTGCAGTTGACTCCCTGGCCCAAGTTCATGGTGGAAAAATGATCCAACCAATTCCAAAATCCACCCACTTATTGAAGGTCTTTGCTGTGATGATCCTCTCGATTGTAGGACATGGATGATCATGGTGAAATAGAGCGTACATTCTCTGATATCTGCACAACACAATCTGCGTGACGGTGTAGTCTCTAGTCGACACATTCGAAACACTAGAAAAAATTCGTGCAAACCGCCATGAAGGCCGCGGAGACTGAGAAGTCCACCCGCCATCGACATGCTCACATGCTCACTCGTGAAGAGGTCGGCATTACTATCGAGATTGCACAGGATTTTGAAGCATCCTTCGTGTGGGTACTTCAGCTCTCGGCCAAGCCTCGTGATGTATATAACCTTCTTGCAGGTCCAGGGAGTATCTCGCTCGACGACGTTGCTGCTGAATTTGCGGAATCAGAATCAAGATCCAGAGGTTCAATACCCTCACGTGACGCTGGCCATACACTATACACCGTGGGTGACTAACTTGGTCTTGTTCTTCTTCATCGTCTTCGAGCCATTTAATACAGCTTCATTGACAATAGCCAGCCGGTGACTGCGAGCGTTATCCTAAAGTCTAGTACTGGAATGGAACTCCTCAATATATTTGGATGTGCCTCGAGGTGGCGCTCTTTTAGGAGGCATCTGTAGGCCCCTACCTTCCCATTCATAAGGCCTGAACACTGAGCACTGAGCCATCCCCACATCGAGCAGGTAACCAGAAATTACCTAACAAGGTAAAAAATGAAAAGTGTTGAGATGCAATCGAACCTTCTCCCAGCGCTTTTGCCTTCCTTGCTAACCGAGTGGCTCGTCCCTTATGCTCAGACCATCGCACACGATTGCTTCGTGCTTTTTGCCTTTAAAGGCAGAAACGCGCACCGCAGAAAAGCAATCGTACTCGATGTCCATAGCACCCCTGGTGCTTTAAAAGAAGCGCGTAAGATGTGTGGATCTGCCACAACGCACGCACTATTCATTCACTTCAAGGATCTAATTCCACCCTGCAGATCATATATAACCGCTTCTCTCCTCTCAAACACTATCACAAGATGCCTGTTGCAGGACGTAACACGGTACGTTTCCAGCCTACTTCACATCATGCGTCTTGTACTTATGACACTTTCTCCACAGACACCCGTTGACTGCCCTGTCTGCCACAAAGTTATAAGCCGCAAGGCAGATCTTCCTAGACATATGCGTACGCACGATGAACACAAGGAGGCTCTGTACGTACTCGTACCTTATTTTACTAGATGGTTTCTGACCCGTTTACTATCTGCATCAGTATGCACGCATGTCCATTCCCTGATTGCCATTACAAGACCCTCCAGAAGTCCAACGTGCAGACGCACATCAGGACCCACACCCGTGAACGCTCGAAGACGTGCCCTCACCCTGGATGTGCGTTTGCCACTACCGATCCAGCAAGCTTGACACGTCACCGCAAGCACCTACACAGCTACGAGCCCAAGGCGCGTCGCAACCTCGGGGGAAAAGCTGCTCGACGGTCCGCTGCTGCACCTTACCCATCTACTCGGTCCATGAGGCCCGAGGAAGATATGCCTGCATCGCTGGATCTGAATGAGCTAATATTCCACGAACTCGCAGGCTGCATTCCCTGTAATTCGCTCTCACCTACTGAGTCCAGCGATTCCGGTATCTCTAAATTCTCTGGCGAACTCGCCGAACTCTCCTGGGAGCGACTCTTCCCTGATTTCCCTGCCGAGAGCTTCGCCTCCGTTCACGAACAGGCCTCTCAGCTCCCTATCCCGACCTCCAACCACTTGCAGCCCTCAACTGTCCCCGTCGATCTCTCCACTTTCGACATGCCGCAATTCGACCCAGAACTGTTCTCTGATGTCAAATATCAACAGCCTGTTCCCGCCTTTGATGCGGATTTCCAGTACCAGCCTGTCTCCGGAGACCAGCTGAACGACTCCCTACCAGCTGAGCTGGAGGAGTTTTTGCAGACATATGGCTCGGGGTACTTTGAAGGCCGCTGCGAGTACCCGGATAATGCAACGCATTCCATGCCCCAGCCCTCGTTCACGAACGAATATAACGTCTATTGAAATCTTTCTTGACTATCATGTTTCATTTTGTTGTCATTACCTGGATCATCATCGGCATCCGCATTACAATTGCATTTGCAACTTGGCATTATCATTATTGTTCATTTATATCACACTACTTGCATCTTTTATACATATCTTCTTCCACACTTTTAGCATTGCAATTTTCAACTTGTAAATCACATTATGTGCATCATTACACGAATCTCATGACTATGAATTGATCACCTTATTACCGACATGCTCGACTTGCCGCAGTCCAATTTCAATGTTTGCCGCGACACCATACAACTGTCACATACGCTTCAGCTCCCGAATATCTGAAAGCAATGTATCATGTGAAGGTTTGAACGTACCATAGTCTACTCAAGAGTTCGAAAGAAGTCGAGGTCGGTATCAACAATAGGTCTTGAAGTAAGCTAGACGAAGTCTCAGCGGAAGTGTTAAACAATGCTATGTGTTTGTATTTACCTAGACGAAGTCTATATTACACAAAAGTTCTGATCACCTCTGGACGTTTCCCGGTACTAGATGGTCACCAGAGTTCGCGTTTTTTTTTTGCAACGACATTAGCTCCTCAACGTCTGGGCCAAAATCGAAAATTCTTTTACCGTTGGATAGCCTGATGTCGAAAATACAATGCCTGTTACTTTTTTTCTCGAGATTTGAAGAGTTGAGTCCAGCGGAGGGCTATCGTCTGATTGTCTCAAGGGTTCGCGTTTTTGTCACACTATGTAACGCCCTGCCGTCGAACCATTTCACGCTCCGCACGTATACACCAGCAAGTGAGCTTGAGATGCACAATAATATCTTGTAAAATTAGACAGAATGATAGTATGTGAAATGTACGGGAAGATATGCAAGTATGTTACAGTTGACTATATGACAGTAAGGTATGATGACAGGTACTTAATCTCGAGGGCTAGCGTGAATTATAAGGTAGGTGTAGTTGTTGAGGTGGCGCAGGTTGATGATCAGCATAAGAATAAGGATGAAGAGTATTAAGCTTTGTGCAGGCCTTCTTGATTTTGTCTTCTTGGGCCTGGCGCTGTTTAGGCTTGACCATCCAGGTCTTCAGCGCTAAGACTCCAAAAATGACGCATGTGTTTAGTGCCGCATTTCGGCACAGCGGAATCTCAATTCCTATATCACACTTTGGATGGATTGTCACGTCTGGTCGTGTTTCTTATACTGCACGTCATTCTATTGAGAAAGTAGTCTCGGACAAATTTATTTAACATGGCCTAATCATATAGAATCACGATGTACCATTTCAGAATTTTCCGTGATGATATGCTTGCTGGAGTGTGCATTCTATGTGTAAAACTAGCCTCTAGCACCATAAACTGAGCCCTGGCACGAGAACCACTTGGAATTTTTTCACAAAAAAAATATGACAATGTGTATTATGCTGGGGAGAACCCATATGTAACATACAGAAGGATTCTGTGTAGAATTGCATGTGCTAGAATGAAAACACGAACCCATGAGACACACGAACCTGCGTGACCATCTAGTACCCTTAAATAAATTTTCAACTTGATCTTCACTATTTTTGAACAAATCAGACAGGACTTTCCAGGAATATTATATAAGAGTGTTCTACTAGCTTAGTAAGGCTCTTGTGACAGATCATCTGATTCTGATTCTGATGCTAGACTTGCTAGATTATTGAGTCTATTCTGATGCTGGCGATACTCACAACGGATAATGGCGCTCTCGGTCCTAAATGCAACATAAGAGCCGGTTGAGAAGCTCCACATGGTCCAAACGCATTTATACGACTTCAGACAACCTCAGGCTGGCACCAAAGAATTGTTTCGTGACTTATAAGCTCTCCACAACTCACCCCACAACGTTCTTAGAATTTAACTACTCGGTTAATGTCATTGTATGTTGTCTATCCCAACTATCGCTCTTGTGATGTCTAATGGTACAGTCAAACTGAACTAGCGCAACTTTTGTCACACCTAATTTTGACCTTCATCAATGAGTCTGGATTGCCAGTATTCCCATCTCGTATTCCCTATTGCACTCTGACATCATCAATAGCTCTTGGTGATTCTCGATCACTGTATGAAGGAACTTGGGAGAAGCTGTCACAGGTCGCTGTCAAGGGTGTGGAGTATGACTCCTGTGAGTGCCAGCCCCATCTGAAGTGTTTGCAAGGGACCTGAGTTACCCTTCTTGACAAGGTCCATGGATTACTAGACAGCCAAAAGGAGAGTTGGCTCATTTGGCTACATGGCACAGCAGGCATTGGAAAGTCTGCTGTTGCATTTAGTGTTGCTCAAAGGATGAGAGCTTTGAAAGTGAAAGAGCAAGTGACCAATGAAAAGCAGCTCCTGGGATCATTCTTTTTCTCTTGCAAGCACACAAAACACTGCACCATGGGTTACTTTTTCATGACACTCGCTTACCAGCTTGCAAGCAATTTTCCTAGCATCCAGGAGGATGTGAAAAGAACTATCCATGACAACCCTGCACTTCTAGACCCCTTTGTGACCAGATGGAGGAGCTTTTTCTCCAACCTCTCTGGATCCTTCATCACAGATTGTCACAGTGTCCACCTTCGGTGTTTGTTGTTGATGCCCTTGATGAATGCATATCCCCCACCGAGCTTGCCGACCTCATCTCCCTGCTTGGCCAAGCTCTTCGTGAACCTAATCTGCCTGTCATCCACATTCTGCTCACGAGTTGCTTGGAAGAGCACATCCATAAAGCCATGCAGAATGAAGGCATGCACTCACTGGTCTGCAAGATACCAGCGAATACTTCTGGGGCTAGCATTGCTGTTACCATCTCACTGGATGATGCAGATGTTGACAATGTCATCTATATCTACTTGGAGCATTCCTTCAGAAAGCTACAAAGCCACCATCCCGATTTCCCACAGCTGCCAAGGTGTCAACTTGCACGGCTGGCAAAATGAGTGGGTGGATGTTTCATCATGGCCTCTACAATGATGATGGAGACAATGATCTCTGCAACTGACTGCAGCTCATGCTTGAGCTGACGAGTGACCTGCTGCCAGGAACAGAGGTGTACAAGTTATATGACCATATTCTCTCCACATGTGCTGACCCCAAGTGGGCATACATGCATTTGTCTGTTGTCACTGCCCTTGCAGATCCTCTGCCAATTTCACAGATCTCGAAACTTCTTGGCCCTGGTCCGGGGAGGGATGTTGAAACAACCTTGGCACAGCTATGATCTGTTATGGATATTCTGACTGACAGCCATCTCCCCGTAAATATCTACCATTTGTCCATCTGTGACTATGTTTTGGATCCCTCAAACTGCAGCCTTCCTGAAGTACAACCTATCACTTACCCCATACCCTACTCGCCCATTCCTCTTTCCATTTGATGATGCAAGATATTCAGAAAGTAATGCCCTGCTTGATGTACTCTCCGGGTTGAGGAGGCATAGCTAAGCTATAGTCACCCAGTGCACCCAAGCAGCTTAAAAGACTTGTTAGCCTTCATCATACAACCGCCAGAGCCACTTCACATTCTTAGTGGTATGTTATGGCTTCAGGGACATTGCAGTTCAGATCTACAGCCCTGGCTCGAGACCTCGGATGGACATGCCTGGCTGCAGACCCAAGGAGGGAGAGACTGGCTGCAGACCCATGGTGGGGAAGATTGGTTGTATACCCAGGGTGGGAAAGACTGGCTGCAGACCCGGAACAGGCAGGAGTGGCTGCAGACCAACAGTGGATGAGACTGGTTGCAGAACCCAGGTGGGTGAGACTGGCTAAATGCTTGTACTGGCCGAGAATGGCTGCAGACCTGAAGTGGGCAAGACTGGTTGCAGACCAGGAGTGGACAAGATTGGATGAAGACTAGGAGTGGGTGAGGCTGGCTGCAGACCCAGGGTGGATGAGACTGGCTGTGAACCCCACATGTGTGAAGCTGGCTGCAGACAAGGGGTGGGTGTGATTGGTTGCAAACAAGGAGTGGTCAAAATTGGCTGCAAACAAGATGTGGGGGAGACTGGCTGCAGACCTGGGGTGGGGAGGATTGGCTGCAGACTCAGAGGGGGTGAGAATGGCTACAAACTCAAGGTGGGTGAGACTGGCTTCAGACCCAGAGTGGCCGAAACTGGCTCCAGACCAGTAGTGGTCGAGACTGGCTACATACACTGACTGGCCCAGACTGGCTGCAAACTAAAAATGGGCAATACTGGCTGCGGACTTCACACAGCACAAGCTGGCTACAGATGCGTGGTGGACGAGACTGGCTGCAGACACCTCATGGCCAAACATGGCAGTCAACTCCTGCAGTGTCTGTCTGGGTGATGATGGAAGAGTTCTCGAGCATATCAAAAGCTGTGAATGAGTACATTGTCGACCCAGAAATGCTTTTGCTGCCAGCATTTCAAGTCATCCAGCATTTCAAGAGCTTCCCAGATTTCTTGATGTTTCTAGTGTTTCTTCAACTGAGACAACACAATTGCTCTACACCTGCAGCTCATTTTACACCAGGACATGGAGATCATCCATGCTATGAGAGCATTTACCAGTTTTCACAGATGAAGCATGGGGAAGAAGCCAGTCAACTTCATGACACTCTCAATTACACATGTCAAAATTGGGCCTTCCATCTCTTAAAAGCACCTCACCCATGGAACAATATGCTCAAACATCTGTTCAAGTCTTTCTGGAATCATTATCTCCTGTCCTGGACTTAAAAGGCAGTGGTGCTTGACAGGGTTTGCCATCCTACCTTGTTGTTTTGTCCTGAAGAGGAGAAACTTGCAAAGGTGTGTATTTCATCAATTTTCCCAACTCAACACTGACCCTGCTTCAGGAACATCTCCAAACAGGGTCATCCCTCTGACACTGTCGATTTGATGCAAAAACGCCAGGGTCTTTTGTCATCGCTTATTGATATCCTTGTTCCTGAAGTATTTATAACATTCATTCACATAGTAGTACTAGCTAGCTGGCTCTGCTACATAAGTATTCAGCGATTCCGGATTAATGGACAGGCGAAATGACGAACATTGTTGTTTCTACCGCCCCTCCAAATTGAAAGAAGCAGGACGAGTCAAGCAAGCAGGCTCAGAGTCACTCGTGAACTGAACCAGCCTTTGATCACAAATGCCGTTGCAAGACGTGTAAGATCAAAAATTATGATCTGTACGAGGTACGCGTACCTCGCACGCACAGGTTGCCAAACAGTTTCTTGATGCTCATGCAGTCTTCCTGGTTGACTTGATACGAGCCACTTCCAGATGGACTGCCTGGCGGCGTAACCCACACACGTGGTGCTCACCGTTGCGCAGCGTTGCGCTCAGTGACCGTGTGTACGGATGACGAACAGTTCCAAAGCCTGGAAGTCTGTCTACCAATCGGTCCGTCGAACCATTTAATGTTAATTATTGTGAACGCATCCGCCTGCCATATACGGGTATGACTAAGCGGACTCCTCCGTGTCTTCCCAGGTAAATCAGTTGTTGAGCCTGCCACAGACAAGATTGACTTGCAGTATATACCACGACCACGACAACCACACGTTCCCTACTTCAAAAGTCACGGCATTCGCAGCCGTCTACATTACTTCTTCATCTCGTTTCCTAAATATCTGAGCGAGATATCATGCGAGCGAGCTCACGCTTCGCAGCTGGCCTTGCTCTGGCGGGTGCTTTTCTGACTGGCGTTGACGCTGCTATTCAGACGGTAACTCGCAACGGAAGATACCTCTATACCGCGGATGGGAACAGGTTTTATATCAAAGGTGTAGCTTACCAGGAGCAAGGTAAGGACATTTCGGTAAACATCAAGTCAACTTGATGTTTGCTACCGTCAAATATCATGTCAATGCTCACAATCGGATGTAGGTGCGGTGGTCGCGAGCGCAAGCAATACCTTTCTTGAGCCATCCACTTTCATCGATCGATCCCTTGGCCAATGGCACTGCCTGCACCCGTGATCTTCCATACCTGCAACAGCTTGGTGTCAATACCATCCGTGCCTACAGCGTTAACTCATCGCTGAACCACGACTCTTGTATGCAAACATTCAGTAATGCTGGTATTTATACTATGTGAGTATCCATGAAAAATCCTCAGCCTACCAGCCCATTGATACTGTCTAGCATCGATCTTTCTCTACCTGGGAATGGTTCGATGGACCGCGACGCGCCGACCTGGACCACCAATCTACTTGATTTATACATCGAGACCATCGACGTCTTCTCAAAATACAACAACGTTTTGGCTTACAACGTTGGAAATGAAGTTGTTATCGCAGCTAACGGCACCGCTGCTGCTACCTTCGTCAAGGCGGCTGCTCGTGATGTGAAAGCATATATGTAGGCTAAACCCGATTTTCCAGATCTGCTCCCATGAAGCTAAATGTGTTTTCTCCCAGTAATTCGATCAGTTCTAGCGCGCTCGTTGGCTATGCGTCCATCGATGGAGATGCTACATGGCTCGACCCTTTGGCTAACTACTTGTCCTGTGATCCCTCTGGGTCAAACTCCGGTGCAACTGCCCTTGATCTATTCGGGTTGAATAACTAGTCAGTTTGAACTATCAGTATTTTATTTGTTGGTCATTGACATCGTCCTACAGTGAATGGTGTGGAAATTCAACCTTTGAGGCTTCTTATGCCGGTGTAGAGGGACAATTTGCGGGTTACAATGTTGCAGCTTACTTCAGCGAATACGGGTGTATTACTTCTCCCCCTCGTGTGTGGACAGAAGTCGCGGCGCTTTTTAGCTCGCAGATGTCTCCCGTTTGGTCTGGTGGTGTCGCATTCTCTTACTTCCCAGCTACGAGCGCTCAGGGACAGTTCGGTATGGTTACGATCTCGCCTGATGGATCCACGGTCACTACAAGCAGTGATTTCACCAACCTACAGACTCAGTACGCCGCTGCGTCGCCACCTAATTCGCCTTCGCAGAGCGGCGCCGGCACTGCCACCTATCCATCGTGCCCTCAACAGAACTCAAGTTGGCTTGCCTCCAACACTCTTCCTCCCACGCCTAACTTCTCTGCTTGCCAGTGTCTCGAAAACAATCTCAGCTGCCAATTCACGCCTTCGACCAGTAACTACACAGCAATCGTTGGAGCGCTGCTAGATTACGCGTGCAGCCTCATCGGACAGTCTGGTGGATCTTGCAGCGCGATTTCTTCCAACGGGACAACAGGACAATACGGTGCGGTATCTGAGTGCGACCCCAGTAAGTTCATGATATGAGAACCCTGCATAGCGCAAGCTCTGATCATTCTCATAGCCATAATGTTGTCCTATGTGATGAGTGACTACTACATAGCAAACGGGGCCAACGCTCAATCATGTAGCTTTGGTGGGAACGGGACCGTCAATAGCAAGGCACCATCCAGTGCCAGTGCTGCAAATACCGCGGCATCGTCCTGTCTCGCGAGTGCTTCGGGCACGTCCGTTCCCACTCTCCCTGCAGGAGCCCCGGGCCCCTCTGGGTCATCATCGAGCTCGGGTGGCGGAAGTGGTAGTTCACCTAACGCCGCATCAGTTGTTCTCGCTGATGCCAGGACCCTGATGGGCATGGGAGTTCTCGTTGCAGCTGGCATCGCTAGTGGGCTCTGGACCATAGCTTGAGGCAAAATTTGATTTAAAATGAACTTTTGTAGAAATGGACTATTCTTTATTGGTATACAACAATACTACCCCTAATATTTGTAGTTCCTTCACCGTTCCATTAATTGTGTTTGAGCATGTTTTGTCTAAGTGTGGCAGAGTTTGTTTGTTTATGACATGCTCTGTTGATCCCCTCAGAATATTTTTGCACCAATACCTCCAAGATGGCTGCATCACCGCTAGCAGCGCAAGACACCAATGACAAATGGGGCTTCGGTGAAGACCCAGATAACATGGGACCTATGTCCAGTGCTGACCCCCTCGTCGACGACGCGCCTCTGGCAGCAGACGAAACGACTTCCGGGCAAATGGCCAGCGGCTCTGGTCATAAACGTACCTCCAGCGGTGACAACGGCGTTTCTGGCAGCAAAACCGACTCCGGTCGCGAAAAGTTATCCAAGGTGCTTAGGTCTCCTCTTATTCTTGTTGAATCCTCCGCTAGCTTGGATCTCTACCGCCTGCGCAATGATCTTGTCTCCAGACTATGATACTGGGCGATTAGTTGGTTCTGCGACTAAGCGGCTTGCTACACCTGTCTCTGGTCGCTAAACCCTCACGTCGAAATTTTGCGTGCAAATTCCTCTGTTCGCTGGTCTTGCCCTTGTCTTCTCGCTGTTCTGATTCGCTTCATTGTCTGGCCTCATGTTGAACACATTGTGCTGCACAGCCGAACAAAGTATACATTGGCGGTTTACCAGACCATACACGCCAAGAGGACCTTCAAAGTTGTTTTGGAAAGATTGGAAGGATCACACACATCGAATTGAAGTACGTTCTTTGATTCCGCTTGAAGAGTTGGTTTTTATTTAACGTCTGTCATGTAGAATCGGTTATGGTTTTGTCGTAAGTTATCACTGCTTCTAGTCGCATGAGTGACCTCATGGAGGCTCGTGACAGGAATTTGACAGCCGCGAGGCTGCCGAAGAAAGTGTTGCTAAATACAACGAAGGTTACTTTATGGGCAACAAAATACGAGTGGAACTTTCCCACGGTCGCGGACGCGCTACTAGGCGCTCTGATGATCCCGGTGCTTGTTTCAGATGCGGTGAAATTGGCCATTGGGCCAGGTACGTAGTTGATGGTCTCGGTCATTTGTTGCTGATAGCTTTACAAATAGGGAATGCCCTCGCTTACAATCGTAAGTTCTTATCTTAGCACTGCTGTCAAGACTGCTCACTCTTTACCAGGCGTCCTCCTAGAGGTTCTTCTCACGAAGTGGGGTTGATTGAACGATTACCACCTAGGGATTACTTACCTCCTAGAGACTTTGGTCCCCCGGTGCGATACCCTCCTCCACAGGATGCGAGGTATTATGATTATCCGCCGCCGCTGCCGCTGCCTGGCAGAGATTCTCGGCGTCCCCCCTCGCCCATAAGGGATCAGAGAGATTATTTAATGGGGCCGCCTCCACGCCCGCGCGATTATGATGATTATAGAATGAGGGGACTTCCACCGCCGCCTCCTTCCCGGTATGATCGCCCATATGACAGGGATGCACCACCGAGAGGCTATCCTCCACCAAGGGACTTTGACCGGTATGAAAGGCGTCCTCCGCCAGATGATAGGTACCCTCCAACGAATTCGAGGCCTAGGACACCTCCTGGTCCCCCTCCTCGCCGCGATGATTACGATAGACCGCTCCGGTATGGCCCGACTTCTTGTATTGTGGTTGAAGTCTCATTATCTCCAAGGGATTACATTCCTAGGCCACTTACACCACCCCCACGCCAATCGGACTACCCCCGTTCGCCTGAGCAGCCTCGCTATCGGTGAGTCCTTTATTGCGTCATGTTTTCATGATTCCTCATGTAACCGAAAGTCGCCGCTCAATGAGTCCTCCACCCCGTTCTGCGCATTATGATGCCTACCCTAGCGCCAATGGATATTCTGGCGACAGGTCCGCTCCTGACAAGCGTATCAGAGACTATCCCCCTCGCCGTGACGCCCCGGAAGTTGGCTATAGGAGAGCTTAACATGTTTTTTTTTTGCTCGGCAACTTTGTCTGTCGTTGAAATTATCTATATCATGTCTTGCTTTGTATATCTTTCATATGCCTACGTGTATCTTTTTTTCTTGTTTGCCTCTTTCCATTCGCCACTGCGTTTGCTTTTGTTTGCATATTGGCAGATACAAACTGATCTTGGCTTAGATTCTAATAGTGATGCTCATCGTTGCTCTACTATTAATTATTGCACACTGGTGGGAGGACCAGAAGCGCACCCCTGCCTCTTCTTTCGTCAACGAGCGTGCTAAGGTCCAAGACGTTATCCTGTACATGGCAAGCCTGAAATGAAGCCGCAAACAAAACTTGGAGATGTATGCAACTTTGTGTATGCTATTACATCTATTCGATGTGTCGGTGCTAAGTTATAACCAACCGGATCTGTCTGCACTAAGTTGAGATATATATAGATTCTAATTGGCGCCAATATTCTCGACAGTCGAAGGTCCTTAGGACCTCCAATCGAAAATCATAGAGTCCATATCTTTACTGCAGCGTCACGTCCGCCTGACACGAGGTACCGGTCCATGTATCGTAGGCGCTCGACGGGTTGCGTATGGCCGTTCGTGAAAAGAGACGAATGTTGCATACTCGTGCGATTGTAGATCTGCGGGCACAGAGTTAGCATCCAGCAATGTTCACAAACAACCAAAAGGTCCACCTTCACGCCATTTTCACCAGTAGCAGCAATAACTTTGCGGGTGTCGAACTGCAGCGCGGTCACTGCATGATCATACTTGAGGGTTTCAAATGTGCCGCCTGTCCTGACGTCCCATATCTTGGGACACACATTAGAACATCACTAGCCAAATAAATCAAACGTGCATACCCGTATTGACTTGTCAAGACTGCCGCTGGCAATATGCATCTCATCGAACTGAAGACAGGTCACTGGGCCGGTATGTCCCATTAACGTTCGGTGGGCCTGTCCCGTCCGCACTAGAGATAGAACTTTCGCGTCAAATGCGGCAGGGATGACCGGAACGACTTACTGTCCCACATTCGTACAGCCCCGTCACCGCTACCGCTCACAAGTCCATAACCCCAGAATTGGACCCCACCCACAAAATCTTCATACATGTCCCAACTACCGTCTGCGGAAGGAGGTGTAGGAACGGCGAAGTGCCCCGCAGAGGCAGTGGCACTTGGAAAGAGGTGATTTGGTATGCCATTACTTGGTATAGTGGGCTGTGGATGCGAGATAGCCCATAGGATATCCATTGTCATGACACACTGTCCAGTCGCAAGGTCCCATTGACGAAGTGTCTTGTCCGAAGCACCAGTGACCTGCATGCGCAGTGAGACGACATGGAGCTGAGGGACGAATAAAAGATATTTACCAAACACTCATCCTCAAAGTAAAGTGCGGTGACAGCCTTACTGTGCCCTTCAAACAACCTGATGCACGGTCCAGTCTGGTCAGCCGTGCCTGCTTCGCTAGGTTCACTTGACCGAATTCCATTAGGCTTTTCGATGAGTTCCCCATCATAAGCGGTACCCTCATCCTCCTCCGCAACATCGGCAAGACCATCTCTCTCCCAGTCATCTTCGTCCACCAGTCGAAGGTCCCAAAGGCGCACGTTACCGTCCTCTGCACCAGTCAAGCAAAGGTTGTCCTCAACCTGTATGCATTTGACGGCACCGCGATGCCCACGCAATCGTCCGATTTCAGAGCCTGTCATCAAATCCCAAAGCCGAGGTTGGGAGTCTTCTTGCGAGGCACTCACAAGCGTTCCGTAAGGTTCGGAGAAGTCGAGGGCGGCGATTGGTGTGAGGTGACTTTCTAGGGTCTGCAACTAATTAGGCGGGATTTCAAAGGATGAGGTTGGATGCTGAACTCACCATGAATGCTACTCCTGGTGGGAGCTCATCATGCTCTGACGGTAAGAAAACGGGACCTCCAAAACATGGTAAATGTATGCAATAGCCAAATTCGTAACAAGCATACCTCTCCGCCGCCGTGAAGGGGCAACATGAGGTACCGGTGCGGTTTTGGTATTGTCACTCTGGCGGAAGGCAGCTTCCTCAAACTCTATTCGTTCCTGCACGCCCCCGACTGTCTGCAGGTCAGCGAAGTTTCGTATGCACAATTCAATTGACTCTTACGCTCATCATCCAATTCCAACTCATCCTCGTGCAATTTTAAGAGGTCTTGTTCCAACCTCTCTCTGATTGAGTCCAGCGCTTTGATTTTACTGTTAATTTCCACAATTTCACTGTTAATTAGGCTCTGCACCACGTTAGGAAAGTCAAGATGTGAGACAGAGAAACATACCCGTCGAACATGAAGATTCTCCTTGTCAAGTAGTATCTCCTGGGTCTGTCGCCGAAGTTCGTCCTTGCCAAGTGCCTTTGCTGCACTAAGGCTCTCCCTGCCTCGTCTCTTCCCCTTTCGTTTTCCCCGCTCATCAAGACGTGAAACCACCACCACATCTTCTTCACTTGCAATACTTCTCTCCTCTTCATCTTCCATCATCATCCCTCTCGCACTCATCCCTAACTTTTTCAGCCCAATCCTCGGAGTCTCGACATTCCGCATCTGTTTGCGCCGTGTCCGGTTTTTCTCCGAACTCGGAACAGTGGCATTGAATCCACGAAGTAAGCTCACGTCAGACGCAATACCCCCGCTTCTGGAATCTCAGCGTCCAAGAGCTCATCCGTTGCCTCGACGATCTGGAGGTCTCGTGATGTGATGCGGCGGGTACCGAGGGTTAGACGCATTGGGGCGCGTCCGAGGGTTGCAAAGTCCAACCGGGATCCTCCAGGAGCTGAGGCACCAAGAGAACCTCGCGAACGTGAAGACACTGTTGCCGCTGCGTTCATCATACGGGGGTCATTATTACCGGGGCGACTGGAATGAATATATTAGATGATTGAGACAAATAACACCGGGTATTGCTCACGGTCTGTAAGAATGCGCGAGGTGTCTTTCTTCTTGTTATTGAAGGGCGCAAAGAGGGTTTTGGACACCAAGTCCATCTTACTGTGGACTGTGGACGGTTCCGGGTCTAACGCTGCACGGGTAATGTCTGGCCGGTCGGCTGACTTTCCCTTAAACTTTGAGGACATCTAGTCGCATTCCGCACGAAAGCGAAAGAAGGGGGAACTGAGTGAGCTGATGAAGATACTTATGCGAAGGAGAGCAATTTGCAAGCTTTCTGGTTCTGAATATCTCAGCCGCCGCGACGCCTTAGCTGAAATTCACACGCTCGACAGCATTCAAAAGTCTACTTCAGGCACATACATATAGTATACAACAGAAGTAGTGCTTGCAGTCTATAATTAAAATATTGATACAAGCTGTGTTGAGTAGCATGCGTCGTATACTAATTTTTCTGTCAACCTCAAGACCAATGAAAATCGAGAATGAGATCAAAGCCGTACGGATTGAAGTCATATTCAAGTGGTCGACGAAGGGGTGGTGGCGGCGACGTCGGGGATGGCTTGGAGTCGGAAACTGACGTCGTTGTCGCTGTTGTTAACGGTTCCGTATCTGTGATGGATGCTGTGGCTTGAGCCTCTGTTTTACCGAACATCGAGCGAAGCGCTGATAATGTGGACTTCTGGGAGGGTATGACGTGTACGATATGATTTGCCGAGAAATGCGTCTCCTCAGGTGATAATGTTTCTTCCTCGGCGTTTGGTAGCTCCTCTGCTCCGGTGAGCTTCTCCGCACGATCCTTCATCTGCTGCACCATATCTGCAGCCAGTTTCTCCACACTTTCCCTCTCCCATTTCTGCATATCGTATGATTTGAAAATTCCTGCAGCAAAATCGCACCAGCATCTGTCATTGACACGAATTATAGGTGGAGTGTGCTCGCCCAGGTCGAAATTGGGTGGCAAGGATGTTTCTAATGCATCATAAAAGGTGGTGATAGTGGGGGACCATGGAATTGAGAGGCGCGTCTCCAATGGAAATGACTGCCAATAACATGATGACAGAAAGAGAGCTCCGAGAAGTACAATACAGTAGAAGCTATGAACATGTCAGTATCACCTGGACGCACTCATAACACGGTACCTTACCATGGTTTCGCGTGCAAAGCTAATGAAAACAGGAACAGCACCAAAAAGTATGGTTGAGCAGTTGGGAGAGGTAAAAGTAACAACGGTAGGAACCACCTTGTGCACCTGTTTAACATAGAAATCACAATTAATAAGTCATTCTTCTTTGGCTTCAGTAACTCACCACATGAACGATGATTTCTGACTTATGTACAAACGCACGCTGGTAAATGCGTGACTGGTGACGAAATCCTCCGATGTCATATGTCACAATTCGTCACAACAATATTAATGGTCTCACGCAACGATCAATCCAATCTCCAGATGATGTGCACTGTGGACATCGATAGCAATATATAAGGTAAAAATTAATGTTACAGCAAGTAGATGATGTGCTCTAACTTGAAGTGTACATGATACTAAGTAGTCTCCGCAGTCAGAACTTGAAAGAAGGAAGTTAGTCGTTACTTCTTGTTCAAGATGTGGCTCGAGATGCGGAGATCATAGTGCTGTTCCTCGCTCGAAACTGGCCCGAATCTCTGAGGTATATTTATCGTAGTATCGTGCAATCTGTCACTCGTCAGCTCATATTTTCAAAGATATACACAAATGCAATGACGCACCTTTTTGTTGAACACCCGATTCCGCTCATTGATGTAAGTAATATCGCCTTCATCCTCGTTGAGTCTCTTTCGGGAGAATTTGCCTTTCTTGTCAATGCTGCAGTGCGATGTCAGTGCTGCAAGGGAAACCAGGGAGTGCAACAACTTACTCTCTGTTGATCTTGCCAACCACTCTATCAATGGCATCTTCAGTAGGCTTGTTGTCAGCATAAAGCAGAGTATTGGCATCTCGGTAGAAGCTCTCTGCGGCCATCCGTTGTTCAGCAGATGGGACAACCTAAAAATACACAAGCTCAGCAACACGATAGAACGAAATGGTCAGCAGCATTGACCTGTCCGCCTGAAGAATCAAAGGCTGTGAGAGCAGATGAACTGCTCCCAGACTTGGCAAGCGAACCAGGCGCCAACCCCAGTACAACCTCTTTCTGTTGGCTGTATGCAGCAAGGTCTGGTTTAATTAGGTCAAGATCCTTCTTGTAGCGCCGTCGAGCGGCATGAGCATCGTCTACACAAGACTTGAGCATGAGTGACATGATACAAGGAAGACCAAAAAACCCGCACCATGAAACTCGTAGTCTGCTCTTCGTGCTTTCCTCGCCTTCTTCTTTTCCCAATTATCATTCTCTTCTATCGTCCATTCCCAATTCTTCTGCCGTTCCACGTCCTCCCCCCGATCCTCGGCTTCAGCTTGTGTGCGCAATACCTCCGCAAGTTTCCGCTGACGTTCCAGCCGTGCAGCATCCCTCACTGTCATCTTTGCTCTAGCAGACTCCTCAATGAGGGAAGCACGATTGGCTTTCGTAGATGAACGCTGTGGTAGAGTGAACAATAAGTACGAAGCAAGCACGACCACTCACCATCTTGGCTTTCAGCTGCTCCAATTTTGCCTTTCTTTCATCCATCGTCATCGTGACTTCCTCCGCTGCCTTCTCTTCGCCATCTAATGAAGGCATTTGTTAACCTGCCCAGACCTCAAATGTTCACCTGTGACCTTTCTTCATGTTGGTTGTGGAAGGCGAACTCACGTGACCTTGTGTGGCTACGTTTGCCGATCTAGCCTAGCATATTAGTTGAGAAAAACTAGATGTTTCTTCGTCTTTCTCTGTGATTCGAAGACAACGTTTATAATCTCTTTCTCAAATTTACAACCATCCAAAACGTGATGACAACTCATCCTGAAGTTCTGTGGGCTCAACGTAGCAGTGATTCTGTTGCTGACAAGGTGTGTCTTGGACTTTCATCTTTGATCGTTCCTATGCTGATGATCCACTCCGCGATTGCGCGCCAGAACATCGTTTGGTTGACCGTGAACGTGCCAGACATTGACGAGACAAGTCTCCAATATGAACTGACGTCTACCGAGATTTCTTTCAAAGCAACGTCAAAAACGTAAGTCAGCGCTCTATTAACCTTTTGGATTTGTGGCTCCAACACTATCTACCGACATCAGCGACAAGAGAGCATATGCGTTTTCGCTCCCGTTATTTGATGAAGTAGACACAGAAGTATATTTTTTTATATCATACTATCCAAGTACACGCCACTGATCGTCTCTTAGGCGTCTCTACACAAATTGAGCTCGCGTTCTTTCACGGCGGTGCTACGAAAGAAGGCCCTCAAGGCTGAGTACTGGCCACGACTAACGAAGGAAAAGATGAAGCTGCCGTTTGTTAAGACTGATTTCAGCAAATGGGTCGATGAAGACGAGCAAGACGGCGCCTCTTTGGAAGAAGATTTCGGCGGCATGGGAGACATGGGAGGTATGGGTGGCATGGGCGGCATGGGAGACATGGGCATGGGAGGTATGGGCGGCATGGGTGGAATGGGCGGCATGGGTGGTATGGGCGGTATGGGTGGTATGGACTTTAGCAAGGTGGGTCACACCTGAAAACATCTACATCATACTGATCACAACAATCGTCAGATGATGGCTTCCATGGGCGGAGCTACTGGCCCATCGGACGCAGATGAACCCGCTGACTCTGATTCTGATGATGATGGCCCACCCCCTCTTGAGGATGCTGAACCCAGTGCGTGACCGATAGAGTAGCCCCTAAAAACGGAAAAACTGTACGCTGTAGATGCGATCCCGTTAATTGTCATTGCCAATGAATCTGCTTATTGCACTATCATTCTTGCAAATCCAGCAGGAATAAGTAGGTGAACGTGCACGCGGGAAGAACATTGTGTAGGTACCAAACACATCCCACTTAATGATAACAAGGCATCATTTCTCCATATTTTCCTTCCTTCTCTCATGTTCTTTAGTATTCCTGGCTCCGCGGTATTTAAATCGTTCACTAAGCACCGGTAGAGTAGTTGATTCTTTCCCCACACCGAATATCGAATACATTTAGTTTGGACAGCTCTCGTTCAAAACCCAAGTTTATTCTCTTCAAGTCAACTCTTATCGTCGGTCTACAAATGCCACAGCCCGTGACTCGTGATGCATGACTCAGCATGAGCCATATTTGTAGTGTCACAGATTGCACCTTCAGACATGCCACCTATCCCAACAACGCTAGATGCTGAAACTCTCTCTCTAATTGAGTCCATCGAACGGCACCATAACGACCTTTCAACTTTTCAGATTCCTCGTCTGAGAGCTTGCACCGGTCCTTTGACCACGCAACAACATGGGCTGCGGAGGTAAGGGAAGACATCGAAGGTCTGGCAAGGCAGATCGAGGTTTGTCAGTCTGCGCATTGGGGTTCAACCTATTCACTACTTATAGGAGTTGGATGTTCTTGTTGATGACCACAGGAATGAACGAGCGAGGAGAGAGCTGAGGAGAAGAGCTGAAGTTTTTCGTGAATCATTAGTCAGGTATGTAACTGTCCAGAATTGTCTGCGGCCTCTGACAAGTGATTCTCTCTTGATGTTAGTCTACGCAAAGACTCTCGAGCAGCATTGCTAGCGTCGAAATATGCAATTGACTCCCAAAGTCTGTCACAGCGAGAGGAGTTGTTGAGGTCCCCTGCCATTCGGGAGAAAAGTACAAGCTCCTCGGGCGAGAAAGTCACGTTCGTGCGCGGCATGCATTCGTACCCTCGGATACGACTGACCCGTGAACTACAGCGAAGACGCACTCATGAAAGCCAATTATGATGTCACAGAAGCACTACAACGAACAACTGGACATTTGCAGAAAGAGCTCGAGCGCAGTGTCTCGTTAAGCCAACTACTAGGCAAGTTCTTTACGGTGCCATTTTTCTCTAATACCTACCATCTGTTTCATACAGAATCATCTACTGGAACTCTCCAATCTGCGTCTACGAAGCACGACACGCTCGATCTCATCCTCGGCACCTCCAAACAACTTATTACCGCACTCGAAAAGACAGACCGGCTCGACCGCATCCTTATTATTTCCGGCCTCGTGTTTTTCGGCCTCGTGGTCCTCTTCATCCTGACGCAGCGCATCATCAACCGCGGGCTGCACATCGCCTTTTTCTGGACGAGGTTATTGCCAAGCTCCGGCTCGAGTACGCGCCCGGTGGTGCAGAAGGCCGGAGAGGTTGTAACGACTGCGTCGTCGACAGGTGGTCAGAATGGTGGGGGTGGTCAGTGGATAGAACCCAGCATGGACGTGTTTGAATCCCCTATTTTCACGACATCGGCTACGGAGCCATGGACTACTGAATATCACAGCGTCTCAGGAGACACACGTATTGAATTATGATAATTTTGACGATTCCGTCGACAGACTCGCAGGAAATGCACGGACTTAAGTAGTACTGAATTGCAGAATGAATATTGTACAAGCAATTCGTTCGCCTGCGGACGGCTCAGTTGTATCGTATATTACTATCCGTTTACAGCAGTAATGAAGAGTAAACTACGTTCACTGTCACTCTTTCTTCACTCATGCGTGAAAACAACGCCCGAATATGTCGTGACGATTTCGCACTCTGGAGAGCGCTGTGTATAGTTGACCGTGTGCGAATGGCATCTGTACAAAGGTCGAGTATAGCACGTCAGAGAGTCAGCCCTTGGCAGCCATTGAACGTCATCGCATGTGCAGGATGTAATAGAAATTGTTTACGGTTTACGGTCCAATTGGAACACTCGGGATTAAAGGAGAAAGTGATGCGAGGCGGACATTGAACTTCGCCTGTCTGCGGAATCTGCACTTCGACAAAGCGTCGGTACAGGGCAGTGATGTGCACGCGTGCATTTCGTATTGACAGTCCAATACATCCTCTGAACCTCGAGCGACTATTGATATGAGTTCGAGCTCCCTTATTTTTATTGCAGTGAATCTGAAGACCACCTGCAGTGGATTTCGGAGGAGAATTCATTCTGCAGGAAATTCTAATCGATTGTTGGCGTCTTGGAAACCCCTTGGATGGGACATACATGAAGTTTACTTCAGTGTCTTACTGGATTCGAGGCCAACGTATTGATCCCATTCCTCCCTCAGTGACATTTCAGTGCCTCCGACGTTCCAAAGGCTTTCCTCTCTATGCTCCTCACTGTGCCGTGCAATGTAGACATATCCTCCGTGGCGCTGGCATTGCATTCCTCAGCCTCGCCGTTATCGAACGCCAGAGATATTCCAAATATTGCTGTTGTCGACAGGAAGTCGCACTCAGGTCCTGGTAGCAGGCCGTGACGCTGGTTCGGGCAAGGGCGCTGGCAGTATAGCTGGTGCCGTCGTATTACCATCCAAGTTGGAGTTAACAGACTCGTGAGTATAAGACTCGCCATGGATGACAACTTCAAATAATACGGGCAGCTTCCAATGGCTATTTCATACACGCAACCGCTGTTTGCAAGCTCGGGAGGTTGCTGATTATGTAAACAGAAGGCGTAATTGAAATAACTACTCATGAGGACCCTAACGCCACAGGGGCTCCGGAGGAGACTATCTCCGAGAACTCCGTTACACTAAAACGGGTCGAGGTGATTGACGTCATGGTCATTCCGCCCGCATTCATCCGCGTTTATATTGGCGTCGCATCGTATAAGTCGAACTTGGCCCAGTTATTCACGGAACATCCCTTGTTTACCGCCCACTCCATTTTTTCTTAATTGTATATATTGGTATGTCTGATATCTCCCAAATCTTCCACAGTTCTCACCTCCTGAGTCAATGGCAGTATCAAGTTGTCAACCATGAACCAAGTTCGCAACATCGCCATAAAATTTATGGATTTCCCTGCCGAAATACTGTTGACCATCCTTGGTCATCTGGACGTATACGAACTGGTCCGAGCACGCAAAGTAAGGACGATTTTTTGTGCCAGATCACTAATGAAGTGTCTCCAGATATGTAACGACATTCGACAACTCGTCGACTCTTCCTCGGAGCTGCAATACTTGATTGATGTTCGTTACTTCAATGCCATTCCCGCCTCGTTGCCAGGCTGCAACATCGCCGTTGCGACACGTCGCCAATTGCTTCAAAAAAGCGAAACTGCATGGCAAAAAGCCGAATACTCTGAAAGAAATTCCATCCCAATGTCTTACTCTCCCGACGACTACCGTTGGTCGTGCGGTATTCTTGGAATCCCAGTTAAGTCTCTCGAACAGATAAAGTTTGTCCAACCTACACTGTCAGATAGCGACACCCACACCACGAATTTGCGACAACGCAGCTGCAAAATTGACAGCACAGCATTCGAGGGTTATAGTTTTTCGCCCGCACAGGATCTTGTTGCTATCCTTTCCAGAGCAGCCCGTGGGTGAGTGCTTTCTTGCATATGTTGACGGGCTATATTGACGGCAACAGAGAGAGTCATGCATACGATGTCACTTTCAGATCACTTTCTGAGGATAAAATTCATCCTGACGCTGCATCCCCCCTCGTGAAAGCACTGGACAATCAAATTGATCCAGAGCTCTTCAATTCCCCCTACACGCAAACTATGATCTTCGGAGACTATTATGGCTTGTTCTGCAAATATGCTCACAAAGCGGATGGTGGGCTGGTTGATTTTTTGCAAATTTGGAATTGGAAATCCAAGGATACTTTTCAGGTGAGTCAAAGACTTATGTTTTTGCTGTGACTTGCGACCAAGCTGGACTTGCAGTGCCTCGAAATTTTTGACGTGGATTGCGGAACGATAAACTTCAGTTTTCTAACGAACGATAGGTTTCTTGTCGCCAGTGCGAAGGAACTAATGTTGTTCTCCCTTAACATTGTTGATTCGGTCAATACGATCCGGCTCATTGCCAAATTCTCCTTCCCCGCATTGCGGGACCCCTTTGTCTTTCACTACATCGCCTTCAATCCTATCCCATTCCACGCCAGCACTCATAACCAGCTCATCGCTATCAACATGTGCGTGTCGACGCCCACGAACACCGAATCCCCTTATTTCACTTTCTATATTGAGCGGAACACTATCTTGAAGCTCGAATCTACCTACATCAGCCGATATGGAGAAGCAAGCCGGGATTCTCCTAATCTGCCTTGGTCCGCCTGGGGCTCAAAGTACACCCAATTCTTCGAGAACTCCCACAGCTCCTGCGTACACCGCATCTTTGGATTCCGTACTGCGGATTTGATCGGCGACCTCATCTCTCGTGAAAGGGAGCTACAGCCACGACAATTACGCATCCGCGACTTTAACCCACATAGGGTGATGGACTTCAAGGCTGGAAACACAACTGAATTGCATCAACGACTTGTCGAAGGCGAGACACCAAATTCGGCCCTTTTCTTGGAACCATTAGGACCCGGCCTCCCATATCTCGAGACGATTTCTCAGGAAAAGTTCCTTGCGAGTGATATGACCATGGAAGCAAATAGGATAATGTTGTTGTCCCTCAAAGTCGTGAGTCATCATCGGATACTGACTGCGAACATGACACTTATAAAAACGCAGGAAGATTCGCATAATGTTTCACAGAGCATCGACATACTTGATTTCGAGTAATTATTTACCACACCGAAGTTTTTCAATGTACTTCAGTATTTCAATACATTTGATTGATCCATACTTAATGGATTCCGTCGGAGATGCGTTTCGTGTTTACTTTTATCATCCTGGTCTTCGTAGCTTGCTTCAACTGATCATCTGACAAGAAATGAACATGCTTGTACTAATCATCGAGTATTTTTTTTGGTTCCATCAACTAGAACTTATATGCAGGAGCACCTGGCCAGACGAGGAGTGTTCCCAAGGCGGTTCAGTGTGCATTGTGCATGTTTATCATTTGTTTTTTCCCGTCTACCTCCCTCAGCCTGGTAGCGCTCTAAGTCTTCAAGAATTGGTTCATCATGAATCCAAGAGATAACATTGGGCTTCCACATCTATAGCTATTAAAGCTCATACCTAGTCGACGATGATATAACAATACGACAGATGAGTGATGCATAGCCCGTCAACGGACTGCACCACAAGATGGATCCGACTCGGATTTACCACCCAAAGGTCTCTTCGTGGAGCTTAATTCCACCAACAGCCGCACACAAGCGAGCGTCAAAGTCTTTCACCACATGCGCCATGGTATTCGCCAGCGATACAGGGCCACAAACGCCTACAAACACACCGTTAGAGCCCCCAGCCGACATTGTGTTCGTGATGGCTGCATCGAGCAGCTTCTCGAGTTTGGGACGGCCAGGTAGGAGGGTGATACCTTGCGGGAGGTATATCCCGTCGATTGTCGTGCTGATTGCGCGGGTGTAGAATACGTGCACGTTGACACGCGCAGATGAGCTGTTTTGTACGAGTTTCATAAAGAGGGGGAGTAGAGGGGTGAGGGATGCTGTGCGTAAGCAGATGAGCATCGCGATCAAGGAAAGTGGTGAAACGATACGTACAAGGGTCTTGGACGGACCAGACGATATCAATGACTTTCACTCCCGTGGGTACCTGGATTAGACCCTGCACTGCAGGTAACGCAAAAGAGACGCCACTCCCACCAACAACAAACATTGCACCCGAATAGCTCGACATTACAGTGTGTCCCACTCCGCCTGCAAGAAATGAAAGGAATATGATGAGATGGATCGACTCCCCGGTAATACGACAACACACCATAGGGGCCCTCCACCATCACTCTGACATCACGGCCGACTTCCATGCCGGTTTCACCATAAGAAGCTGTTTGAGCCATACTGAAGAGACTGTCTGTCCAGCGGCCAGTCTTCTTGCACATAAGAACCATTCCTTCGGACGTTTCTGCCACATTTGCGATGGTGAAAGGGTGCACCTCAGACCATCCCCACCATCCCATGGATGAAGACAGGACACGCAAGCGGACGTGTTGCCCTGCACGCCAGCCTGCATTGATTGAAGGCACCTCGACTCGGGTGATTCCGAGCTCCGGGAGAGGACGCAGCTTAGCCGTAGTGACGCGGGTCTTGATGGCGCGAACGACGTGATCCAGTATATAGAATACACACGCAGCCACCACGTATGGAACACAGGCAGGTACGTGGTAGCATGCCTATACAGAATTGGCATCGGTAAGGGGACAAGGGGGAATTACTTACAGCGAATAAGAAGATGGTGAAGCTCACAACATGCGATGCGATGAAGAGGTTGTATGATTTTGACCGAACATATTCGGTCGAGCAGAATCCCAGGAGGTCCAAACATACCAATGCGACGATGCCCCAGCGAATAGAATCCTCGGCAAGCCTCTTATTGATATCGCCAGCGAGGCTCCATTTATAGACTACGCCGAGCACATCAGATGAGACAAAAGTGGAGAAGGTACAAGGTAGTACATACCATAGCCGATGAAGTGGACATTTGCACCAATGACCATCAACTTACCGACCAAGCGGTGAAGAAAGTTTAACTGCATGCCGCGATCAGCAACGTAGTAAAAATCATGTTGATCAAGCACACCTTTTCGTATCCAACGCCCACCATCATGCCAATGATGTTGTTCTTGGTGGCTAACGCATATACGAAAGGAATTTGAGAAGTGATGACAAAACCAGCTCGGAGAGGGTCCGTAAATGGGTCTGACTTGTAGAAAGATACGTAGAGTATGATACTGATGTACGCCAGCATCAGGAGAACTTGGTTAACTGAGTAGCTGTTGTGAACACGGGAGCGTAACACAGACGCCACAGGGTGCCAGATAGATGATAAAGTAGGGTCACGGTTTGGAACCTTCGGCAGGGATTTTTCACCAACGACATGTGCCAAATTGATTCGGTGTAGAGACGGTAATGGGGGGCAGGTAGTCGAAGAGTCCCCGCAGTCAAAATCCCCGAAGGATGGCTTCTCAGGGTTATCAGGGTATGAAGAGGTGAGGTTGAGGTTGAAGTTGATCCTTGGTTTGGTAGAGGGGAGAGGTACTGTTGAACGAAGGAGGTGACCTTGAGACCATTCCGACCTGCGGCTGAAACGAGCATACGCGCGTGGGAGATTGGCAAGGGCGAAGATGAGGATAATACCAAAAATTAAAATGTCGGCATGGTAAACAAGGTTGTCGCTCAGGCCCATGTTAACGAGGGTGCTATGAAAGGATTGAAGGTAGGATTTCTGTGAGCTTGAAGGTACAGTGGGGACTTCCAGAAGCCCGCCCGAAAAGAATGAAGGAAATGAGTGGCCTGGCGAAAGATCAAGTAAGTGGATAACACAAGCTTTGAAGAAAGACGAAAGGGGCCGCACCAGTATATATACGATCCATTAAACAATGAATCTTCCGATATAGAAATGGGCGACATTAATGTCCGTCACATATACGGATCCGACGTACCTTCAGAGTCATGATGCACTTCTCTACAATCAGATCATTGGCCACATGGGTTGCATTTGATTGCAAAAATGTGAGATGCCAGGCAACCTTGACCCAGTTCCTAAAACAAGTTCTGTCTTGAACTCATATAAAACGCGATCAGGGTGAAGAAACAGATATACCGCTCATACTACTACATCAACTTGCCTTGCAACAAAAGAACAACTTTAACTGCGGTACACATTGTCGTGGCGACAACTTCAATTGAATGAGACTTTTGCCGCTCAGCTCCCAAAAAGTTTCTTTTGGTTCCGAACCACCTCATGGTGTTACCACGGCGAAGTCGGACATGTGAGAGTGTCCATGCTAATCGCGATCATGATCAAAGTGCCAGTGACAACATGATAACTTGAACCACATAGTTGTTCAACCACAGGCCGTTAGAGTTGGTATCGTCGATGGTAGCCTGTCACACTGATCGTGACGCGGCTCTTACTCGGATGTTGAATAGTACTATTAAGAGTACAAGATCACTTATCCTTGTTGGCCGTAGAGATCTTTTTGTATCGCGTTCATCAGATACAAAGTAAAGTGACAAGGTACATCATGCCTGCGAACAGGTAACGTTATCCGATCATGCGAATGCATTGCCTCGCCCTGCCTACTGCTTGCAACTGCAAGGAGCCAAGTTTAAACCGGAGTCCTCCTGGTGAATCCCCCAACTCATTCGTGCTTTCGGCGGAGTACTCGTATGGTTCCTCCCAGCTTTAGTGCAACTCAGTCACGTGGGTGTCCTCCACGTTCTTTTCACCATTCAACTAACTCTCAGGTACTACTAACTACAGGTGTTATTGAGAGTACTCTCAGTCCGGTTTCCACACATGGGTTGGTCCTTGCTGGAATTATTGGAGGGGTTGCTCTTGGAGTTTGGGTTCTTTGGTTCGTCCGCACGTGCAAACCCAAGGCAAACGTCACAGTCAATGAATCTTCCCCTCTTCTGCATCCAGATCAGATAGGAACCGACCTTCAGGTGAGAAACTCAGTAGCATTCACGCTTACCCAGTATCGCAGGACTGATCGAAGAGGGTGAACAGAGGGATCATGTCACCACGTCAGACAACGAGGCATTACTCTGTTCTATCTGTGCAAGTCTAAATTTTTACCAGATCTTCCTTGATGGCATTCCGGAGATGGAGGACATCCCGCTCGATTATCTCTCGTCCATCTTAAAAAAATCCTACCAATGCAGTTTTTGCCGCCTCATATCCTTTCATGTTCGCCGAACATGGATGTTGGACAAGTTTCCTCACGTCGATATCTCAGGGATCGAATGTAGGATGTTCACGAAACATTGTGGTTGTCTTCAATTGGCCACTTATCCCCCATCCAAATTCCGTTGCTACCGCCTCCATATCACGATGGAAGGCCTGGAGGACCTTTGGAAGAGATATCCAGCTTTCAGGATAGCAGGCGCGCTTAACATTCACCTCATGCAAGAAGACGCTTTCAAGTTTGGAAGACCAACCGACCTTCATTGTCGCAGGATGAAAAACACTGTGGATATCAAAATGGTGAAGAAGTGGATCAAACTGTGCCAGGAGAGCCACGGAGATACATGTAAAAGTCTCTTGAGAATAGGCGAACACGACAACAGGAAACTGCCGGGGTGTGTGAGAGTGGTGGACGTAATATTGATGGCCGTGGTTCCTGCACCTTCTGGTTGTCGTTATCTCGCCCTCAGTTACATATGGGGAGGCATCGGCGCAGAGTATTGGACGACGAAGGATAATATTGCAGAACGCGGTACGCCTGGCGGGTTGAACGCAGCAAAGTTCCCTGATACCATCACTGATTCGATTCTATTCGTTCGACAACTTGGTGAACGTTACATATGGATCGATACTCTCTGTATCATTCAAGACAATTCGCAGGACAAGTTCACTCAAATACACAATATGGATCTGATCTACGGCCTGTCTTATCTCACAATTATCGCTGCCGGTGGCACCACGGCTCGAGACCCTCTCCCAGGGTGCCGCCCACAAACTAGAACGCAACAGCATATCGAAGTCGTTCAAGGACTTCATCTCTATGCGGCACCTCCAAGACTTAAGGAGGCTCTTACTTTGTCCGCATGGAGTACACGTTGTTGGACCTACCAAGAGTGCGCGCTTTCCCGCCGAAGGATATACTTCACTGGGCAGCAAGTCTACTTTGAATGCCAGTTTGATGTCTTATGTGAAGACGTCATCGCGGAAAGCAAGTGTGACTCCACCAGTTTTCTCAAGTTTTCACGGGCAGAATATTTCCCTCAGTCATTGGACCCTTTCACGAGTTACTTGACGGCCGTTAGACAGTGTACATTGCGCAATCTCACTGTGGAATCAGACATCGTCAATGCTATCACCGGAGTGACAAATGCTTTAGCAAAAGCCTTTGGGCTCGGTGACCCAGACAGAGCCTTTCGCTATGGAATGATGTTGACGGACCTACATCACTCGCTTCTCTGGCAACACAATCCACACACACCTCGTACTCGCCGTTCGCTCCCTGATGGATGCAGTTTACCCTGGCCCTCTTGGGCGTGGGCTACGTGGCGTGGTGCTGTTAACTACATGTCGGAGCATCGGTATTTGGTGACCCATCCTGAGGATGCTTGGCTTGTAGATGACTTTGCCAAGCCTTCGGTGGTAGAAATGTTTGTCGATCCATGGTACATCGTGGGCCATGATGGCACTATAGTGCAGCTTGATGTACGCAGTTCCCGGCGGGTTGTTTTAATTCGCGAGTCAGAAAGAGAGGTGTCCACATATTCTTCTCCACGAGGGATTATAGACCCAACAGAGATGACCACAGACATTCATCGAGCGCTCGATCCAGGCACCCTCATTTTCCGCACGACTTCTAGCCACTTTGCTATTGCACCGCGGCGCGGTGAAGAATTGCACGCATCTATTCACCACGGTCTGTTCGACATTCTCTCCGGTTCCTCCCCTCCCATTTGGGTCGGCACTGCTGTCCTACCATTGGACATTGCCCTGCCGACTTCCCTCGAATTCATCGTCCTTTCCCGTACCGGTATGCACGACGGGTACGACATCGAGAGGCTCGAGTATTACCACGAATGTTTGCTATATGTGATGGCGGTTAGTCAGAATGGGGGTTTGATGGAACGTGTTGGGTTGGGCGTCATTCACGAAGCAGCCTGGATTGCTTCAGGAGCGGAGGAGAAGGTGGTGTTTCTTCGATAATGGTTGGCGGTGATAGTATACGTCAGTTGTCTGAATGAACAATTCTACATTCATTGTGCTTCGGGGGGGCCTGTTGACTCTACTGTATAGTTACGGCCTTGGCCTGAAGGGTGTGACTGACAGGATGCAGGGAATCGAACTGCGGGATCCATGCCGTCTGACGACGGTCGTCATCGCGGTCTGAGTTAAAATGTCGTCGCTTCTCTTCATTAGTCACCGTCTCCACCTTGCTTGCAAGCTAGGAAATCTAAGAGATTTGAGAGATGCTAAGAGATGTGGACTCGCCCCGAGTTTTCGTCAAACCTTCCAAATATGATTCGTGACAGCTATTGTACATTTATGTACTGGCTTTTCTGCGCCGCAGCTTTGCAAACGAGGTCTTGCTCGAACCTTCGGCTTAATCTGGGGAGCGCACTCTACACCGAAACGCGCAGCAGCGAAAGCGACGTCGCGATGCGTAATAGATCCATGAGCGTTGCCGATATCTTAACTGACTGCCACGATCCGCGCTTGACCAAAAATGCAAAAACTATGATTGCAATCCAAGAATCACGAATGCCTCTAAAAAAATTAAATCCAAGTCCTAATGGGGGGTATAGATAAAAGCCATATGCTCAATAAAGCTAAAACAAGACAACAAATCATCACGATCAAGGTCGTGGACGAGGGGTAAATTTCATGAGGCATCCGTCTTTAGGGAACAAAGTTGCGATGATCCTGAATAACTTGTTAGTGTGGTCAACGCGCTCGTGCGCCACGATACTCACTGGACTTTATCGCTTTCGGGTGTGATATGGTGCTCCCAGTCCATCAACACGCTCGCGGTGGCAAGAACCAGTCCGATGTTCATCGTCGCGTACTCTATACCAACGCATTTGTGAGGACCGCTACCAAAGACCAAGTAGTTCCTCGGGTTTGTGTTGGCGGAGCTGTTGGGATCGAGCCAACGGTCAGGGATGAGCTCGTCATGATCGGGGAAAACAGAGGGGTCGTGCAGGGAGTTGTAGAATGAGGGTATCACCATGCTATTTACGGGAACAACATAATCATTAGAGATAGGGAAAGCCTTTGTCGTCCTGTAGGGAACCTAAGCAAAGTGTTTCAGTACAACACCATCAAGTTTACACGAAGCACAAACCATGGTTACGGGAGGCTTGACACGCATACTTTCCTTGACAAACGCCTTTAAGTATGGCATTTGGTCGAGCATTTCAAGGGTGATTGGTTTTTCGACGTCTCCGGCGCGAACGCGGTACTGTTCTTCCCTGATTTTGGCCAAAATGTCGGGATGGTCTGCTAAGTGCTGGAACCCATAAATCAACCCACTACTCATGGCATCCTGCGACGCAAACAAGAACGAGAACACAACCATAGCCATCTCACGGTCGCTGAAATCCTTACGACCCTTGTATCCTGGGGCCTCCAACTCCTTGACCCATTCGTCAAGCATGCATTCAGGTTCGCAGCCATTAGCGATGGCGGTTTTGGCCTTGGATGCAGCAAGCTCCAGCCACTTGATGGCAACTTTGCGGGCTTGTATAGCTCTGTACACTTTTGTACCAGGGATAGCCAAAGGGAAGTTGACGAGTTCGAGAGCTTGCGTGATGTCCCAGTATTTCTCGCTGATCTCAATAGCACCATGCTCGGGGATGTGATTGCCGCAGAAAACACGAAGGGAAGTGATCATGTTGAGGTTACGGGCGGTCATCATAATTGACTGTGGCGAAGGATCTTTCTGCGCGTCTGTAAGCCATTGACTGAAGTGCTTGCGAGCAATTGCGTCCTGAATACCAATATAGATACTGAAGTACGAAATCAGGGGGGAAATACTATGGGAAATATTAAAAGTACTGACCTGAGAGCTTTACGGGTAAATAAAGTATTCAGGACTTTGCGATATTCGACGTGAGATTTCCCATTTAGGAAGACCCAACTGTCGGGCATGAGAATTTGCTTTGCTGAGTGCACAAGGCAAGGCTCAGCATGGGCGGGAGAGTTTAGGATTTTCCGCGCATACTCATTAGATGAAGCCATGACAATGAAACTGAGAACACGTTCAGAAGGACAACCAGTGATGATCAAAGTTAGACCTACATGTTAAACACGCTTACAGCACTCAACGCGCCAGAGTTCCATTGTCTGATGTAGCCCTCCATGGTTGGTTTCATGGAGTCTGCAAACTTTCCAATAATTGGAATTGTCCATGAGTCGCCAGGCAAATGCTTTTTCTTGAATCTATAAACGGACTGTTCAAGGACTAGGAGAGCACCGACGATGGCAACGGTTGTATACAACCAGGTTGCAGACTTCGAATTAGAAATAATGAAAGAAGATGGGATGGGAATATCAGTGAATGAGGTGGAAGTGGAAGATGCTATAGGCGGTACCGGGGAAGAGGTGAATTGGCGGATAAATGATGCCATGAGCCAATCAAGCGAAGAGGTGACTAGACGGTTCGTAATCTTTGACTGTAGAAGGAATAAGTGTAACGAGCGTCGGAGTAGTTTGAGTTATAACTCAAGGCTTTGAAACTCGCATGAATTTGATTGGCTGAAGTTCAAAATCAGTCGATTGCAACCCTGGGAATGGGCGTTAGACCTCAATTATGTAAAGGCTCGTGACCAGCTTGCCTTGTCGAGACTTTGGTTACGAGTCTAACTAGAAGACGTTAGGACCATGATCAAAGTCAGGTAGCATACTGCTCCTGTACTCACCTTTCTCTCATTGAGCCATCATGTATTCACCAGGCCAGTCTCTCGCCTGATTTTGCAAGTCGATGGACTTTGATCGCATCGCCCGAGATTCAAAGGAGTGCGTTTTTCGGAGGATGTTGGTAGGAGAGGTGAGTCTGCGTGCCACTTATGCTGACAGTCAAGGTGGCTATTAATACTTTAAGCTTTTGTCCCCGGGCATAGCCAAGTGGAGCTGAGAGCGCATATCCTCTCCATATTGAGACGACACGAGGTCTGCATTAGATGGATGACTATATTATATTAATGATGCTCCATAACTACCAATGTGAACGACATCTCCATCTATAAAGGTCTGTTCAAGGGAATCACTGCTTGGCACGTCCGCGCGCAAACATATCGAAGATGTACAGAGAATCCATAACACCGTGTCAAACGGTAAGGACAGTTTTTTTGAATTGCTGCATTCTTCAAAGATAGTTTCCCCAGCCAAACCATGACGGAAGGGAGTCGTTCCTTGCTGCCATGGCAAGCAATGTTTGTGCTGGCAAAGTCCTTCCCGGATTTCCACGTTCTACTTTTCTTGATCATTACTTCAGTATACATAGGAACAACTATTCAAGCCGCCTATTTCGGCGAGAAAGTGCTGGATGGTTGTATATCAGTCTGAACGATGCCAGCGTTACAGCACATCAACCAAATTCATCTCTCGCTCACACCCATCCTCGAATATGACCCAAGTCTTGAATGATCCCAATTTGTGGCCGTACATCAATACATTTCGTTTTGTCAGCTATTTTGTAGGTGCGTGGACTCGCTCGGATAATGATGGTGATTTCTCATCTAAGCTTAATTGCGGCCCCATTTCGCAGTTGCCTCCTCTATCGCAGTAATATACGATTGGGGTGAGCAAGATACCATCGAAGAACTATTTCCATCATCTTATAGTAATTCCAGTCTTGTCATTCGGACAGGAGGTAAGGTAGTACCATTACAAGAGTAACATCTTCACTCAGAATCGTTTCACAGGTTGATTTGATCTGGGTGAGCAGTGTCCCACATCAGAAGAATAACGTCATAATACGATTGATCGGGGCAGGGCCAACGTTGGTCAATCATGACTTTCCTATATCTCAGTGTAAGTAGCTCATGTTATCGATATGATTTACAAGTTGTACTGAGTTGAAATTATTCTACTAGGTGCGCTACGTTGGGATACCGTATTCTGTGTATGTGTGCAAGCCTACCAGTTGGTGCTGTGCTAACAAACCATCTCGCAATCAGCCTCAACATACTGCGTTTGTCCCATCATGTGTGCCTTTTTATATCTTTTGACCAGCAGCATGCAGTAACTCTTCCAACATTCTTCGAGACGGATGCAGTGAGTGTTCTGTACTGATGTATGATATCGCCTTTCAATTAACCCCACTCTAATGCAGGGGTAAGTGAGACTTTTAATCAGCTTATCGTTTTTTTATATGGCTGCAAACAGTTGTAAGTTTGTTTAGGATGTTTGGTCTCCCAAGGCTAATCACTAGTTGGGCGTCGAAGGCACCATCATGTATTTGGTACTAGATTGGATGAGTGTTCTCGTAAACGCCATGCTGGGCGGTGAGCTCGATACCTTGGTAATATCGACTTGACTGAAACATCATGGAAGTCATAATGATCGCTCGGTTACATGCCATGTACCAGAAATCCAAGAGGGTGCTGATCTTCCTCGTTGTCATCTTCTTGGCCGTCACGATTGCCTGCGTAGTAATCACTGGAATATTAGTTAAAGATACTTCAGGAGGTAAGCTTCGACTATGCGAAAGACTTCAGGGCATGGAGCTCATCGGGCGGATTCCAGAGGAGCTCATTTTCTCTGGCAACTCCCACTGCAATTTTGACTTTCAGGGAAATACTCAACTTCTGATCCCCAAGACTTGGATACTCGGTACTGTATGGGAGGTCACCGCACTGTGTCTTGCAGTCTGGGTTGCTGTAAAACACTTCCGTCAACAATAATCGACAGGATCAATCATGGGGGACTGTTTCGCGGTGTTGATGAAAACTCACATGCTTTATTTCGCTGGGTGAGCTCATGATTTGAATTTGGTCATAAAATATTTGAGGCTGAAATTCTGCGTGCGCTAGCTTTGTCGCCAGTTCCTGCTTCCGCCTCGGTGATTTCTCTCCAAAAATTCAGGTAAGCCGTCTGTCGTTGACATCTGTATATGGCCCCTGTTCATTATTTTCATAGAACTCGTCCTCTATGGGACGTCAGGTTTATTCTGGTGCTCTTATATTTTGGGGGCTCGTGCAGCTGTTTGTGCTGGGACCACGGCTTATCCTTAGTGTCAGAGAACTTAATGCTAAGCTTTTGGACGACTCCAATGAAGGGGAGACGGGTCCTACTATTTATTTTCAGATGCATGTACGTACGTCAACTGGTAGTGATGTGTAGGACGGGAGTGTGTATGAGGAGGCTGGGAGAATGGTGAGTACCGAGCCTTTGATTTGTTGCCCTATATATACCAAACGATCCTGATGACAAAACAACAAACAGGGGGGCACCATAGCTAGCTGAGACGCACGTTTGGAGTACTCTTTCAGAAGTTCCAGATCCTCGGCCCAGACTAGGGTGGCAACTCGAATGATCAGCTCGAGATGATCGAGACGGGTATCCTAGATCTATAAAGATGATGTTCTCATACAAATTTGGAATCACGTTTGAACTCAAAGTAATTATTTGCTCCCCAGGTTCGAAAGACTGGTACGTATAGACAAAGGTCTATCTATCAGAGCTGAAGGCACTTGTCCCCCATTTCGAAATTGCAAATAACAAAGATGCGATCGTAGCCCAATCGACCACGATGCGCAATCCCAAGGCCTTCAACGACCGTAGCTGTAATCCAAGCAGTGCAATAAAAACATAAGTCTGATCATTGACAGCCGTCGTTGACTCTTCGCTACTGTGTATATATGCTGTGTATTGTTCATATTCACTTCTTATATACGCTAGGCGAGCGGATTTCTTGTTTAATCATATGCATCTATTTCGCGGACACCGTCGAGCTCACGTTCTCCTCACAACTGTCAGATGCAAAACTAATCAAGACAACACGCGATAATACCTTAACACAAATCGAGTGAACTGATAGAATATCGAATGAGAACCTCTATCCCGCCCCATTCTAACAGCCTGAACAAAGTCACATCACCAGCTCTTACAGGATCGACTCCAACTACATTTACTCACCAAGCAACGTCTTTCTCTGCTTGTATTTATGCATTAGCCCAATTTGCTAGGCGCTCCTTACAGATACCTTTGAACAACATGCATACGCGAGTCATGACATCAGGCTGCGGAGAAATGCATAAAGAAGCGGCGCGTTCGTATGCCGCTTGAGGAACAAGTCGGAGGGCAATGGCCGCATGTATTCGTGCTTAAGGATAGATAGTAGCGAGTAGCTGTGTACCATGTCAATTTTAGTCACGTTTATGATTTAACAGCCCAAGGTAGCGCATAGTTGCGCACCTTATGAATGATGTTCTAGCTTCAGTGTGAAGTCCCAAAACCTTGAGTGATTTATCGAGGTGAACAGTTGCTTTGTCCACTGGAATGACAATCGAATCCATATCGTCGAGACTGCTGGATATGCGATTGAATGTATCCACTGGTTGCGGTTTGGATGCTCGTGACCGGGGAAATGCTTGCAAATTTGTCCTGCGAAGGGTAATACAAGTCGGGAGAGTGATTTCTGTATCATCAGGGGACTTGCTCTGCCTCCCAGAACAAGCACGACACATCTAAACCAGAATCATGTTCAGTCAGACTTCTATCTTGGTCGCGGGCATTCCATTCTAAACGCTGTCATGGTCTTCCGTGGTAACAACGGGATAGATGACAGAGGCTCTACTCAGGATGAGGGAGAGCTTGACAGAAACATCGATATCGGAGGGCGAGTATAGGTGAATGACTAGCTTTCTAGCAAGTCGTCGAGGCGCAGAAACTTAAAGATTGATGGAATCACCATCCTCGATAATGTACGATCCGATACTCCAGTTCGCACGCATTATCACCCCACCCAAAACTGCCCTGATAGGAGTGGGATAATATCCCGATATCTGATGAGCGTCAGCAACGAGTTTATCCACCCGCATTTTCCTTGAGATTTTAGCAGTCTGAATCTCGCCAGATGGAAAAACAATTTTGATTATGATTTTATCATCGTCCCTGTTGTGTGGTATCAACTTCAGTACTGAAAACACTTGTAGAATATTTGGGGTGCGTACGAGCTGCTCTGTTCGTTAACCTGACTTGGTGCCGATTGATTGTCAGACAATGAAAAAGCACAAGCATCAAGCAAGCGGTGGGACGGGCGATGTCATTTCCTCACGCCGAATCACCTCAACGACGCTAAGCAAGTGAATGACATCGTCCCATATTTCAGCTGTGATATCCGCATAGTGGCCATCGCAAACATCGAGTTGATTGATCTACAACGTGATCACATCTCTCGGAATACTTGGGAAATGTTGGGAGGCGAAGTCAAGCATGAGCTCATAATACACCTGAGCCATCAAAGATTAAATAGTTGTTCCGCCCACATTATACGACTTTTGCCGTTTAACCATGACCCGTTTTTGACCATGTTTCAGAACAAGGAGTTGCGGGTTTTGTTCCGTCTCAGTCATGGTCTTCCCCCCAAATGGTGTATTACTAGGAACAAACATTTAGAGAGGTACGATGTTTAAAGCTTTCAAGTTGAGTACAAGCAAAGGACGCTGAGACCGAAGTCTATGAGATGCTAAAAGTCGGCGTTGCTGACATGCTCTAACATGGCAGCCTCCAAGTTATTGTTTGTTGCGACCAAATCAACAGGGACAAATATAAATCTTGTGGTACACTTTCAAATCTTCGTGATATATATACCTAACATAGGCTCGCACGTCTCTTGTAATAACATATTCTCCCCGGAACTTGATAGTCGTGACGTTGTCAAACGTCACGGTGCGTTCCGATCTGCAGGGACCCATTTACCTTCGCGCATCGCATTGCATTTTTCGGTCACAAAGTCAGACGATTGCCCAACAATCAGAATCGTCCCACCTGTTCAATGAAGCCACAACCATACAGAAATGAATACTCACATATCTTCGAGCGTACGCTCTGAAAATGGCCGTTAAATACAAGAAATCATTGCGAACCTGGCGCCTTGAAACCCTTCAACCACTCCATGACGAAAACAATCATCTGCCCATGAATCTTTCTAATCTCCTCAGGCTCATCACTGATATTCTTCAATCCGTACTCATCATAATGATGAACAGCGTCTAGATCGACCGCCATCAGATGCACATACATACAGCCGTCAAGCTGTCGATACGTACTTGGAATGATCTTAAAAGGTTGGAGGATCGTATCTTCGCGGTCAGCTGCGTACTCGCTGTGGGGCGTACAGGGTCTCCAAGGGTCGACTTGACACGGGGATTAGCATGTTGCGCCCAAGTAAACACCGCGATAGAGAAAACCCACCCTCGCCATCGATGATCGCTAGCCTGTCAGCAGCAATCGCAAAATCACCCAATGCGTTCACAGCAGTAATATTGGGCATGGGGGGCACAATAAAGTACTTTCCAGCTGGATAAGCCTAGTCAAAGTCCGTGTGAGTCCCGCTGCTGCGCGAACTGACTCCGACGCACCTGTCTGCAAATTTTCGACAAATATTCTAGTGTCAATAACCTGGAGATGATTCGTGGGTGAGCTGGGTCGGGAGGGGCGGTCTACAATGAAAGTATGCATGCATTCATGAACCACTCGAGGAAAGCGCGCGTTTGACAACTCACCGAGAAGTAGCCCCATTCTGTGCAAACCTGGAACTGCCACAACCGCCATTCCTGGTCTAAACCGGTGGCGAGAAAATTGCTATCGTTGTAGGTACCGAAACACTGTTTGTTTTATTTCGTTAGAAAACATTCGACACGCGACGATGGGACTTACATCCTCGACAGACGTGTCGCATCGTGAGACATAATTCTACTGGTGCTCAGAGATCATGTCCTACCGACCAGATTCGGTGATCCTTACCTCTTTGATGTATTGAGCGTAGTTCAGGATGGAGAAGTCGAGCTTGATGCCACCAGGAAGATGGACGAGGCGATCTTCATGACCGACGGGTAACGACGAAACACTACCATATCCAAGGATAGGCTTATCCAAGAAAGCACAGAACTCGTCGAACTTGGTGCTCCCTACAGCAGGGTCCCAGACTTTAGCTTGCCAATAACCAAGGGGGGCCTAGTTTTTGCACCGTCAACACGCGGACGAGTCACACGGGTTAGAGACATACCTCCAAAACGGAAACGAAATCATCGTCATACGCGAGATCTTCGAGACCAAACAATGATTTGATATGGTGCTTTGCGTAAGGCACGCCCAGGAGGGCGTCGATTGTTAGGGTGGCATGCTCGAGTTGCCCAGCGCATGTGGGGTCTGCAGCGTTTCGAATGATCTCAAAATACTCCCAGTTTGATAGCGCAGCGTGCGTCACGCCTGTTGAAGAGTCAATTTACAGACGGACTTGTGTGTATTGTTCTTATGACTTACCGCTGGAAGCAATTGCGCCGTAGACGAGATCAGGATATAGAACTTTCATATGAGCTGCTCGAGCGCCGGCATAGGAACCCTGTTAGTGCTGGTAAGGAACGCTGTCTTATTCAGTAGTCAATGCCTTACACCATAGTATATCCACGGGGTATTCGGAGCTGTCAGATCCTCATCAATGCCAGTAAACGTCACGTTCGCCATGAAACGAGCCGAGTCAGCGGCAGCTTGATCATTGTTCAACCATCTACACTCCGTCAATTCTCAAATGCGTGTGACACGAACATGCAGGTAGTTCACCTCAAGTTGTCAGTGGAGAAGTCTGAGACAGGTATAGACTTTCCTGCGCGATCGTGAATACGTTAGATGCGAGTAAAGTTATTCCAGATCGAGCTCACCATAATAACGGTGCTCGAGCACGATCCCGACTCCTCCTGTCGCCCTGGCCAATATCTCAACGATACCAGTATCCAAGAAGGGAATACGGTCCTCGCCACTTGTCTCACCGCCATCCAAAACAATCACTGGGCCACCAGAACCTGGGGTATAATGTCGGGTATTGATCCAGTACCGCTGTTTAAACGTGTCTGACGAGTTTGCAAAATGATCTATGGGCTGCGTGAACCATTGGTCCGGGAACTCGTTGGGTTCCTCAGTGTCCGCCTTAAACACGATGTTGCTGTTGTCTTGGACGACTAGAGCTGGTCTTTGGTTGATATGCCTATCTTTTTCTCTTTTTTGGTTGGCTAGCCTCCAGAGGTTGACTCCTTGAGCGCCATGAGCGCGAATGTAATCTGCTCCGCTTGGAGATGCTGCATTAGCTGCTGTGAGCAAGAGGGTTGAGGAGAATAGAGCAATGGCCAGCCTCATTGTGGCCCTTGGTTTCGAGTCTTTCGAACAAAACTTGGTTGGCAATGTGTCAGTTACTGGCAAGCTATAGCTAGAGTCGACGAATACTATGGGACTGAGTTGTGAGTAAATTCGGTTCCACGTTCCACATGATGCTTTGGCACGAAGTGATGCATCTTAGCGGACGGGCCGCTGCGGGCGCGGACCCCCGACTCTATCTCTGGGATCAACAGGTATTAACAACGTTGCGAACGGCCGGCGAAAACTACCACTGACACCATCAACGAAGGGCAAACAGACTCATCAAAGTTATACGTGAAATTTCAAGAACAATAGTCTGCAGGTCTCAAATTCAATTGCCAATACAGACCTGGGCCACGTAGCCTGTAACAGAGTCGCCACCGCATCACCTATCATCATCACTGATTACATATCGATCATCACCGTATCGCAGAGCCATTCGACTCGGGGGAACAAATACCCGCGCAGCCTATCTGGCAGTTGCGTGCCAGGCCCAGAAGATTGGCATTATTGTCTCGTCACAAAGGCTAGTCCCCAAAGGTCTAATACGTACATGCATGTCATTACTCCAACAATTTATCAGCGATGCCCTGCCACGGCGCCTGACAATTCGGATCTTGCGACCTCAAAGCGACGCTGGGAGAGCGTGGGTGCGCACATTGGGATATAGGAGTACGTCACTTTGATGGTGTACCACGGGTACACTGCCTTACAGAATACCGCGTTGCATGTTTTCCCTTGATGTGAACTTGAAATTAAGTAGACGAGATAACGGTCGAGTGAGAAAGATATCATGTGAACTTTGTATCTCCGCAATATGAAGGACCCAGGCGGATTCCTTTCGTTTGTGATATAGAACTTAATAATTTACCTGAAAAATCGTGTTGTTAGCGCTTAGAAAGATATAGAGAACGATCGGCTGTGTGCCAGTGCATAAACTTCGAACAGAGATTTGGATCAACATCGGACCGCAAGTGAGACGTCCTTGGGATCAGTTCACCTGCAGACATTCAAATGACTCACGAATGAGACGGCAGAATCGATTACACACGTGTACATGTTTACACGGCTGTCCCTAGAGGTTCCCCAAGGCTGCTAGGGAGGAAAAAAGCCAAGAAACAGGTAATGTTCCAACACGATGTGGAGTGAGCTGCAGTGAGTGTGTCGCCAATTTCCGAAAGCGGTTGCAATGGTGAAGCAACGAGGGAACCTCGAAAGTACTGTCGGGCCGGCCTGTCCGTCTTGCCATCCGTTCTGCCGCTCTGTCAATATCCCAGACCTAATGCTAGAGATCATATCCACGTTTGCCTCGTTGGAAACAGGCTTCAAGGACATATCATTCATGAGGTTGTGCTGCCCAGTGATGCGCCCAAGGTTTCCTGAAAAATAAATTCCCAAGGCGTTCCGGATAGCCAAATTAGAGTCGCACAAGCGGAACGGACAAATTTCCGGCACGTATATATAAGCAAAGAATTTTACTATTTTTCAATATATTTATTGCAATAATACGGTACAGCGTGCCGCGTATCATTGCAAGGGCGTTGTAATGCTATTGCAAACGAGTGATTTAAACCCATTTATGTAAAAAATGTACAACCAAATTAGGGATTATGGCGTTGATCATTCACATGAGTTGAAAATTAAAAGAGTGGCCATCCGACGGCTGCACATGCGACGTCATGGGTCTAGACTGTGATCTGGGCCTTATGACATCAGACCCCGTGACGAAGGATAAGCTTGAAGATTTCTCGAGTCCGAGAACCAAAAATTCAAGGTAAGAACGTTAACGTAAACCACGGTCAGTGAGGCCAGGTTGCCCTTTGTCACTGTTGTCTGCGATGAGCAACAACGATTTCTTTACGAGCGTACCGTTCTCTGGTCAACAGCGAAGAACCCACTCAACAGATCAAGAGAACGTCGTTTCATTTGCTCATGCTATCGCAGCACGCTTCGGATCCGCTGATCTTCTCACCGCACGTATCCTCCCCGACGAGCAACCACCTTCACAAAATATTATTTTACCGCCTAAACCAGTTCTTCCAACCCCCTCGAAACCCGTATCTTCATCCTCCTTGTCATCCACCTTCATACCAGTCAACCCCCCCGACCTCCCAGCTTACCTCGCAGACCCCTCCATTCTCATCCTCGATATCCGCCCACATGCCGCCCATACTGCAGCCCGTATTCACAGAGCCCTCTCCCTTAGCATACCAAGCACTCTCATCAAGCGTCCTCTCTTTGGTCTCTCCAAAATCGTTCAGATGCTCCCTTCCTCATCTGCACGTGCAAGATTCGCAGCATGGCCAACCGTAAACCATATATTGGTATATGACGTTGACTCTGTCCTCGTTCCAGACACCAGTAATATTGCTGGTCTGCTGAGAAAATTCCGCGCAGAGGGTTTCACAGGCGAACTCGCTTGGGTAAAAGGCGGGTTTCAAGCTGTATGGCGAGATGCACGCCACTGCGCCACAACCGACCACCCTAGCCCGGACGAGGATGATCTAGAAGGCACTGCCTCCTCTGGAGCACTGCGTCCAAAGCATCTCCCCAAATCCGCCTTTTCGCTTTCAACAACAACAGCTGCAAACGCAGCTTCAGGCACACCGGCAGTCGCAAATGCTGCCAACCCTTTCTTCGATACCATCCGCCAGAACTTGGAACTCAGTCAGGGAATCACAGAACGTATTCCCCTCCGTCTTCCCAGGCGCGTACGGAGACGCATCAAAGACCTCCCATTTCGTTGGCTTCAAGACATCGCTAGTCGTTCTGCCCTTCGTCCCTCTCACTCTTCATTCCCAGGGGAAACGAGTGTAGAGAGCGGCAGCGAGAGCTCTGATGATCCACATGAATCTGATCCAGATTCAAATGATCCTGACGTTGAGGAAGGTGCCGAAACTCTTGCCATGCAATTTTACCGCATAGAATTGGCAGAGCAAAGGCGTCTGAGAAGCGTCATGGAACATCACGCAAGGGAAAGCGAGGTCAGCGCGTACACTGCTGCTGGTCAAGCCTATACCTTGGGTGAGGGTGGGCAGGGTATCATCGGTACCAGTACACGTTCACCAGGCGTAAAGACTCTTCCTTCCACTCCCATGCAGGGCGCATTTCCATTTAGTATTACGGCCGGTGTCGAGAAGGGAGCCAAGAACAGGTGCGTTTTTTTATCCTTATCGTCGTGTTTGTTTCGATGTCATCGCGTTTTCTTCATCGTTGTATATATCCCGACATTTTGGCTCCTCATTGCGTCATCGGTGCACACCCGACCAATGCGGAGCTCTACTCACATCATCTCTTGATGTCTTCAATGATCCGTTTCAACTATTTCGTGCCCCAAAGCCATTCCGCCAAGTTCCTGCTTTTTTTGGGATCTGACGATCTTGGATGGGTTGTCTTGATGGTGATGGTGGTTTTATGCCTGTCATCGTAGTTATCTTGTATCAAAAACTTACCTACATTTAACACGACCTCTTTGCTCCGCATATTCTATCAAAACTCAAACCTAAACTCATTCTGTTTCCTCAGATACAACCATATATGGCCCTTCGAGCATGCTCGTGTCCGTATTCATGATGGCCGTCATCAAGGATCACATCCAGGCAAACGAGACAAGGACGACAAGAAGAAAGTCGCTTCCGTCAGTGCAGCTGCTGGGACGACCGACTCTGAATCAAATACCACATTTACATCTTCGTCACAATCCCAATTAGCCTCACTTTCAGTTGCTCCGTCACCAAACGCACCAGAAGATGATCGGAATATGCTCATGAGCATCGATAGAAATCCCATTTGTGTGCCGTCATTGTCGGGTATGCTGCCTCCGTCTTCTGTGCTGATGTCACCGTTCTATTCGGAATCCGCTTTCCACACACCACTCTCCGTGCCCATGACACCCTTCGGCCCTCCCTCGTCTGCATTGACGCGCGGGGGCGTGCCCATGATACCCTTCCATCCATTTCTACGCAGTGGTGGTGGTGGAAGCGACGCCTACTTCCCTGCCTTACCCCCTCCAGAAACTTCGCAGATCCCTCCGATTCCGGAAGACGGGCCAATGCTATCCCCGTCTCTGCTGGACACGCGCACACAACAACGGTCGGGAGGTTTCCTGTCACCGTCTATTTTGAGCACTCGACCGAGATCGCCTCAAAATACAGGCCCCAAAACTGTTTCACCATTGGTCATGCCCTCTTACACACCCCTTGGGTCTCAGCGGGAGATGTTCAACTTGACGTTGCCCCGCGGACCTGTTAGCCAAGGTCCGATTTCAGCCACGAGCGCGAGTTTGCCGCAATTCAACATGACGGTGGTCCCTCCGACAGATAGACCACGCGACCCCTCACCCGCGGATGATTACGTGAACGCGTCGTATGTGCAGCCCTTGGGCACGCGTAAACGCTACATCGCTACGCAAGGCCCGTTACCTGCGACATTTGTTGATTTTTGGACGTGAGTTCTGTTTGCTATCAGCTTTCTTTATCTTCGTAGATGCTAACAAAACGTTAGTCTCGTATGGGAGCAGAACGTTCATGTAATCGTCATGCTCACGCGCGAGATTGAGAATGCGATGGTTAAATGTGGGACGTACTGGGTAGAGTCATCCTATGGACCTCTTCAATTGCAGCTCCTCAACACCTCCCCGCCTATCTCACCTTCTACTTCCTCCAATACCTCGGCCAACATTGGGTTCTTCATGTCCCCGCACGAGCGCGATAAGGGTTCGAAGCAGCCAAGTATGATAGTGAGGACCTTTGCGCTCAGCCATCGCGGTTACCCAGGCATTCCACCTAGAAAAGTGACGCATCTGCAATATCTGGATTGGCCCGACATGAACGTACCTGATGATCCTCGTGGCGTGCTAGAGCTCGTGAAGTGCGTCGAGCGCGCTGTCCAAGAAAGCACTCCAGGTCCATCACCCTCTGGCTCTCATTCAAACTCTGGCTCTTGTTCTGGTTCCCTCTCAGCATCCTCTGGGTCCCCAGGAAGGCGAGGAGAGGACTTCTTCTCGTCACCACCGCTTGGAGATGCAAGTTCTAGGAGGAAGCATGGACGAAAGGGGTGGCGGCATCCTGAAGTGGACCCGAAGACGGGCATTGCTGCATTTGCGCTTGGGTGCTCCCCGCCTGTGCTGTTGCATTGCTCGGCGGGTGTGGGCAGGACGGGCGGGTTTATTGCTGTGGATGCTGTGTTAGATGCGATTAAGAGAGAATTGAAGCAGAAGAGGGAAAGTAGGGTTCGGGCTCAGGCTCGTCCGCGCGTTGCTGTTCGCACTGATAGACAGGGGAGCGAGAGTGCGGTTGCAGAGAGCGGAAGTGGGACGGAGAGCGGTGGGATGGATGTGGATGCGAACCAGGCGAAAGAGAAGGAGAAGATTATTGGGACTGTCCCTCTCGTCATTGGCGACCGCAAGAAGGCTCGCCGTCATCATCCACACAAAGATGCAGCCAAAGAAGGCGAGACAAGCTCTTCAGAGTCGCTTGTCGTGCACGTGCCCTTTGCAGAAGAGACGGCGGATCTGGATACGAGATGGCAGAACACGAGCTCGTCGACGAGGGAGTGGGCTGAGCAGGTATTGGACCAGACGCACCCTGGCGAGGAAGAACAGGAGACAGAATTGCCTCCACCTCTGCCCCTCTCGATGTCTTTGAGCTTGCCTACCCCTAGTCGCCAAGGCTCACCCGAGAGCACATCAAGTAGTAGTGAACCGTCTGCGCTGAACTCTGCTGATGATTTTGTGGGGAGTAATAGCGGTAGCGGCATTGGTGTGGACGTTAAGGCAGGGAGCGGGCGGTCCGGCTCGGGCTCTGGTGGTAGCAGTGTCTCGGGAAGTGGTAGCGTTGGGGTCTTCCCACCCTCTTCCTCCGTCTCTGTCTCCATCTCTCACTCCGCTTCTCAATCCAACTCATGTCCCGACTCGATCTCCACCTCCAACTCAGGCTCTGGGACGAACACATCCAACTCTGGCTTTTGGGGTAGCACTGGCGCGGACTCAGGGTTAGTGAGCTTCATGCGTGCTCGTCTGAGAGACAGCTCAGTGACCTCGCTTTCGAATACGGGTTCTGATTCTTCGAGCGAAAAACTTTCAAGGTCACTGCACCAGCCGTCAGTAGTGCGTATCGACACCGATAAGGAAGATGCGATGGACGTTGATAGGCCTCTGCGTTCTTCATCTGCACCACTGCAGCCAGCCAAGAGCGGTGTTATTGCTTCGGACGAGTCCAACACCTCCCACGCCAACAATTTCAAGCTACATCCCCGGGCACGGCAGATCATTGGTTCGTCTCCTATGGCAAGTTTCTCCACACCCGCACTTCCCACGACGAGTGGGACCGGTCGTGATTCATTTTTCGAGGGTGAGTACCCTGTTTCGCGCACGAGCTCGGCCCCTAGCTCGGACGAACTGTTCAGCCCCCCGAGAAGTTTGGAATGTGGGGGGAACGCAGATGTGGAAGCTGCCAGTGGGAAGAGTAGTCTTTTGTCCTCGGATGACTCGGAGGACATGATGGCGTCGGGAAACGCGAAGAGCGGATTAAAGGCGGTTGAAACGACCTCTGCGATTAGTGCTGCACCAGGCCAGGGAGCGATGATCAAGCCCACCAGTAAGCCTAAGCAACATGAGCCTGTTGACAAGACCAAGCCCTCTGCAGCACAAGTTGCTCTTGTGTCGTCGTCAATACCACCCGTGCCTCAGTTCGCTGAGGAGAAGAATCCTCACGCCGAGCAGGTATCATCTGAGCTAGACCAACGTACAGCGGGTCACGCCGTGATCGACTACAAGCTTCCACGACAGCTGCATCAGGACGTGTCACCCGCACCATTAATGTCCCATAATAACCCCATCTCAACGATCGTGCAAGATATGCGCGAGCAGAGGATGAGTCTTTGCCAGAGCTTGCGGCAGTATGTGTTCGTGCACGCGGCGGTTATCGAGGGTGCCCTTATGATGGTGGACGAGGAGAGAGAATTGTGGGGGGAATGTACTGGAAGCGAGGGGAGTCCGGAATCGGTGAGAGTGTCGAATATCAGCGAGGGGGAGGGTAGATCGGATGATAACGATATCCGTAAGATGCCCTCCAAGAACACCGATAGCATGGAGATCCCTAGCATAGGACGTGCTCAAGGTTCCCAGGATCGGACGCGCTCGTTCCCTGCGGTATCCATGCAGAGCTCAGCCAGCGGCAGCCAGATGCATCACACGCCCTCGTCGCCGTCGAAGTGGAAACGTGACCCCAGTCCCACCGAACTTCTTAGGGAAGACAAATCTGGTATTGTATCCTTCGCGAAGCGCCCCAGCATCAAACGCAGGATGCTTAGCGACGAAAAAGTCCTTACCGTTTTCGAGTTAGCCGCTGGCGCCCCGCAAGTTTTGTCAGGTGGAACTGATGGAGCGTCGAAAGTTGAAAGTGGGAACACGGCTCGTCCGGGGATGGGACCTATGGTACCAGAGTGGACTGGAACGTCATCTGCCACTGCAAATTAGCGATTGAGCAACTTTCGCTTACCGAGAGCCACTAGAAGTAAGTGCGCATGTTGGTTTTTCCCGTGATCTGTTCATGAATGGATTCTTCAGCTTCCCGGTCCATGACTCCTATCTGCTCCCGTTCCCCCTACTCACTAACCATCGTGCTCCACCCATCCCATGTCTATGATACCTATCTCTAACGTCATCTACAGCGAGCTAGCTTGAACTTGCACCAAATCTCTGATGCGGAAAGGATACGAACGAGGAAAAATATCACTCACAGCAACGCTACCCACCATGCGATCCTTCAGACAGACGTCCTGTCCCTGTTTCTTTTTCTTTTTCTTTTTGTAGTTATAAATTATTACACCCCCATTTTCATCACATAGATGTACATCACTCACCGTCGTGCACCGCTAACATCTATCTAAATATTCACCCCCTGTATCCATGCTCCACCAGTCCTCCATGTAATTTGTTGTGTTTAGACGTACTAGTTCGTGTGCAAGTACTGAGAATTCCCGATAAAACCTCACTTGAGCTTATGTACTGACATGACAAGCGAGCTCCACTCTTCGTTCCACGACACCTGCCTTGTTTGTTTAGTTGTGGAGCAGGGTGGAGCCTAGTAGCACAGCAAGTGTGTTTTCGAAAACGAGGTTCTACGTCTGAATTTGGACTGTCGTGGGTATTGAGCAGTATCATGACTGCTGGAACTACTCAAGGGCAGTGACGGCCATCAGCGAGCTCTGATCTAAGAAGGAAATTGTACCGATCCCCCTCCCTAAGAATTTTAATTGCGGAAGTAAACAGACAAGAATATTAGTGGCGTGGTGAGAGCGCATCAACTTTGATGTACAAGCGCCTGGACATACTACGCAGGATCCTTGTAAGTATAAAATCATATCTTGCTAAGACTACAATACAGATAGATGAAAGAGCCACCGCAAAATAGGGTGCATTGCGTAGTGGAGTACATAAACAAGCAAGAAGTAATACAACCGAATTCGAAAAAGCCAGGCCTATCAGACGAGGGGAGTTCCAAATTTACTGGGAAGAAACCCGACCTCCTGGCTCGTACTCCTGACAGGGAACACAAGGATCGATCCCGAGTAATACGCGGAGGCGAGAAGGTAGCAGTTTAGCGGACGCCGTGTAGCCTAGGCCCGCCGATTCAAAGTTCAGAGGGTCCCTCAAGCTTGCACAATTCATCCCGGACTAATGGCTCTATTCCAATTTCCCGTAATTTTCTTCAACAGAGAAAACCGCAAGGGAGGGGGAAAGCATTTTGGTCTGGGTCCAAAAGACCGCTGAATGGCAACAGATCATTGTAGTTTGAATCTCGATACCTGGAGCTTTATAAAATGGACTTCTGGATCCAGTGGTACATTAATTGATAGCGATGATTCAGCTTGCAGAGGTGCGCATTGAAACGTGGCGTTCCCTGAAGGGGTCCACTGTGAAGGAATGGAGGTTCACATGCTGGATCACCTGCTGCTTGGATGATAGTAACGAACTCACAAGGCATCCATCACCATTCATCCATCACCCTTTCGCTTCCGTTGTGATGGATAATGTACCTGCCTAGCCGGCGATGATAGTCTCCTTCCGGTTTTGTGGGGGTATTACCCTCGTCGACGAGGTAAGAGAGGTTGTTTTGCATTACGATGGTGGCAGAAGGGGAAGGTATAGTGGGGAAGGCATTAGCAGCTTGAGATAATCAGTCACCGAGAGCAGTATGAATACTTACGCTTGTTTCGAACCACATGTCGGGTCCATCGAAATTTGAGAACGGCTTCGAGTGTGGTATGATTTTTTGTCACATTGTTTGTTCCCCTCCGAATCAATAATTCAATGCTCAACGAAAACAAAGATCATGGGGCGAACATGTGCCTCCCGCGTGCTGATAGCACCCTACCATACGTCGTAGCTTGAAATACTTTGATAAGATGTTGTAAAAGCATCCACGGGTGTTATCCGGGGCCCTGGTATGAGGGAATTAAGCATTGAGCAGGATATTAAAATTTAAAGTACGAGTCTGACTATCATACACCAAAAATTGAATGCATAAAATTCCTGTTAGCTAACAGGCTCAGACCGGCTGTGAGCATGTTGGCCATTAGGACAACCATCACAAGATTGTCCGCATCCGCAGCCATCGGATGGACAACCACACCGTCCTCCACAGCACTCAAGCTTCGGCACGGTCACTAGTCCAAATGCCGCACCTCGCTCCTCGTATTCTTTAATTGATTTTGTAAAAAGGTCAACAGGATAGATTGTAATGTCCGTTGGATCGAACTCAACCCCAATTTTACGATTCACTGGAGGAGTGGGTAGGGATGCAGCCCGGGCGAAAAATTGGTCGATCATGCTGTTTCCACTAGCACCTTTCCCTAGAGTTGGAAGTTCAATGCCTGCTGAGTGGTCGACGCAGTGGTTACACCCTTCAGCACAATCTTCGTGCTCCTTCAAAGCATGAACAGCCCCACGATGCTTCACGCAACCTGGACAAGCGCACCGAAGTCCGCAGGTGCATCCAGAGCCAGCGATTGAGTTGAAAGCGCTGAATGGAGGGATCGTGGGGAACTCTGGTACTGTCATCGAAGACGAGGATGGCGGGACGGGGGGGAGATCAAAACGGGCTGAGGGAATAGCTGCTGTTTGGGTATCTTTGGTACAGCACGACTTCGGAGATGCAGAAGATTCCTCGGAGCGTTGGGTCGTTGGACACAATACAATATCCCTATGGATCAGTGCAGCTGCTTTGGCGAGCATGGCTAGACCGTTTGGAGATGATTCAGTTGCAGGTGCTGGGGAACCCATAAGAGGCATAGATTGGCAGCGTCCCAGGCACTGCAAAACATTCTTACAGTGGCAAGGGTTCAGTAATGAATCAACTAGAGCCCTGTAAATCATCGTGTACGAGCAAGTTTGTAATCACTGTTACCTGTCTGTCTTGTATTCGCAGGCTGCAAGGAAGACGAGTTTGACAAGGCATCTGATATTCCATTCGGTAGTGTAGGTACCGTCGGCATGAATCGTTTCGCTGCGAGACTCTGGTTTAGAAATGATAGTATTAGTATATGTGTGACATACGTTTCCTGTCTGGGCGAGCTGCTGGTATGGGAATTTTATCGACTACTTCCCTAGGGTTACAAGTACACTTTGAGTGGAATCGCTTTGAGTTTCGCAGTTCGCGGCATGTTTTACACTGTGATACCGGGCGGCCTTTCTTCTTTACTTCGAACAGCGGTCGTTCAGAGTGATGACAAGAAGAAGAACGATGTCCTTTGATGCAGGATTCGCTGTGTTGGCAAAGTCAACACTAGCACGAAGGCACAGACCAGAGAGATGTGGGTACCAGGCAAACTTCTTGTCATTGATGTGGACCTGCATAGAGGCAGTGTGAGTTGGTCGAAAGGCTTTCGAAATCGTGATAGGGTATTCACCATAGTGATCAATCCAAATCTTTGCGGCTAGGGCAACCGTTCCATACAGCTGAGAGTGGACGCCGTCACTCAGTGAGCGCCAGAAACGGTGTGAGGATATATGTATGCTAAAAGAATGCCTCATGGAGGACCATCGTGGTCAAACTGTTACGTAACTTTGCCGCAATGACGGTAAGTACTTTGAGAATTGTGAATCCGGGATTGGTTGAACTCTCTCTATATGTTTAGGCTTTAAATTTGGTTTGGCTGAAGAACGTCGAGCGGTTTTTGCTCCCACCATGCACCCGACTGGTTCACTTATTTTTTCGCAAATCGATTATGGCATCGCCTGGTACCACTGTCGAGTTTCTGACAGCACATGATGGTTGCTAGCCACGCCTGTCCAATTCATAGCATTGCGGCGTTCAGAATTTCACATCACGCTCCGTAGGCCAATGGCTATTCGTATCAACTCATCGAGTGACTACTACCAGGCTCCCGCTGGCTCCTCTCCAGTCTGAAATTGATCAAGTCGTCTCTTCGATCGCTGAAGATTTCGTGACCAGCCGCTATAGCCTGAACTCTCCCAAACTTGACACGAGCGCGCTTACTTTGGCACTCGTGACACGAGCATTCCAGGGGTATCATTCATGGGAGTGGGCGATAACCACGCTATTCTCCAGCTGCATTGGGCCTTTGCATTATCGGTCACACCTATCCTGGACCATGGACCATGGTTTCTATAAAAAGGGGAATCACGGTTATTTGCTCCATCTACTCCAGTGAGGATTTACATCGCGTTTGATGTTTCTCCTGACACTTGAGACTAGCTTGGCGGGGCAATCTACTTCGTATTGTTGACGAGGCGACCGTACCAACCAGCAGAAAGCTATGTATGCTGTCGAGTGATACTAGTTTCGCAATGCTGGTGAGATATGCTGGTGAGCCAGGCGGGTTTTCAGACCCATCAAGCAGATCTGCGACTGCGTCTAGTAGACGAACCGGTCTTTTAAAGAATTGGTAACTTTGTTCGACGTCATCACTGATGATTCATTCCGTGGGTCCTATTCACATCGTATTCCTCAGGCCGTGCGTTTAGCAATCTTAAAATGCATGTGCATATTATCCGCGTTCAGATTGGTCCTCACATGACATCACAGATTTCCTCGCCGCAAACATGTTAGCGTATGTAATGTGCTTTTGGGCTGCGAGAATTTACGATGTCTAGAAACACTAAGCCAGGGAAAGACCTCCGCAGCTGCGCGACTCTCCAAACGCTGCTCGTACCCACGACACTCCCTTCCGGCAAATCTTCCAGAGTCTTGTAAGGCAAGCTCTGCTTCACTACCAGACTATCAACAGGATTCTCTCTCTCCAATATCGCCCCGATCTCGCAGCCGCCCGATAGGATCGCAGACACATTACTCAAACCATGACCAGCATATCAACCACATTCTCCTTCAATACAACCTCGAGTTCTTTTGTTCATAGGCGCCTTCCCTCAGAGTAAATATAATGCTTGGCATTGGTTCTTGTCATCCTCGGTCGTTATAAATGACGTGCCGGATGAAGGGACTGGAAATGCAGCCTCAAGGTCATCTCTGACAATGTTCGTTTGGATTTGTGCAAGTTTGGATGCCCAGGAAGCTAGCACGAATGATGATCTTGAACTCGAGGCCATCATGATGGTGCGTGCATAGATTATCGCAAATCAATTTTGTCCAGATATCGTCAAATGGTTTCCTTATTGAAAAATCAGGGTGATCTTCGGAGGTTGTTGATGGTTTGCTTGCAGGCAGCAGCTCAGGAATCCGCCGTTTCTATATATGTGATCGAGTTGTAGTGACCGAAGAAATCATACGCTGCAGCCATTGAATATTGATCTGCTGGCTTGGAACAAACCATTGCTTACAGTGTGTAGGACCTGAGACCTGGGTTGTACTGATCCTTCACACCTCAAACACCCCCCCTTTCAGGAATCCTTCTCTGCGGTCTGACAGGGGTACTCAAGCATACCTATCAGATTTTCACGATTGATCGCCGCTGTAGGGCTCCTTTAGGTTATGATCTGAATGACTTTCACCTGGAGTATGAGAAAGAGGGCACTGGCCTCCGATACACCATTGGGGGGTCCTTGTCTACAATTCCTACTGGACGCGCAGTTATTTCCCGTTCCCTCGGGTTGGAGTCGGGAAATGGTACAACTTGCTACAATTATGGTTTCCTCGTGCTCCCTGACTTGGAGTACGGCCCTCATTCAGGGCAGCACTGGCCAACGTCGTGTGATTTATCTCCGCTAAAACGCACAACTTCGGGATCTTCTACGATCGTGAAGGTTCGCACTCGCTGACTTGGATGCATTGGGCGACTCAATAAAGATGTTACTATTGCTACATAGTATGTAGCTCAACTTAATGGTGTGCATGGTACTACGCAGCGTCTTCCATTTTTACCACACGGAGCAAGCACGAAATGTATCTATCTGTGACCTGTAGAGCAAGTAAGGACATGAAGGTATTGCAGCAAGGACGAAACGATTGGTTCCGCGGAAGCAATTCATGCGACCCCTATGTACGTGCTGCACTTGAGCTCTGCCCGAGTGCTAGCGCCCGGTACTTACATAAAGTATGCAATATGGTATGTACTCGATGGATGAGATAACCGTATCATGGGATGTTAAAGGACGGGAGAGTTCGTCGTAAAGGACTGGTAGATTAAGGGTGACCATCGGTATACTCAGGAGATGCACAACAGATAAAGAGCCAGAAGCGAGTCCAGCGCGTAGGGTATTTTATCGTCACATGAGAGGCAGTGATCAAAGTTGTATTACCGACGACGGGAGGCGCGGTAGAGACAGGCAGCATGCGATTGGCAAGGATGATTGGGCTTGAGCTGTGCCGGTTGTTTGCTGCGTGACGGTGCTATTGAGAGGCTTGAGCTTCCTGCAGTAGCAGTTTGTCCGGATTGGCTTTGGGATCGGCCTCCGTCTCTCTCTTGCTGAAGCATTTCTCTACGTGATGTGAGAATTCAAAGGAGGAAATGGTATCAGGAGGAATTGAACATCCGAGAAGGATGAAATGACATACGCGTTTCCCCTTAGCATATGGCACGTCAATTACTGCTGGGGGACCCTCGTATAGCTCGATATCTGCGCCGCTTGGTCTTGTAAAGAGATGATTTCGAATCCAGTGGAAAGGACGGGGTCGGGATCGTGTATGGTGGGCATCATGGTGTATGGGGCGGAATAAAGATAAAAATCGGCTACGAAGGGTGCGTTTATGCGATGCTGATGATGGAGAGTGGGGGCCAGACAACTGAGAACATCGTGATGAAAACAGTCACTGGGTGAGATATAATTAATGACGTACGTGAGCACGATCAGATATGTCGTTGAAAAAGCCATGGGGTACCCGAGGTGAGACCTTGATCGGTTGACGGACTGGACGTCGTATAGTATCAGCCTAGAATGCATAAGCCGAAATATCATAAATGTTTATGAAAGTTTCACATACAGCCAGTACCGACTTGTCGCGCTTGTCCGAAAGAAGGTCGTCGAGGCCTGCTTCTTTTAATACCGCAGAAGCATCCCATATGTATGCGTTCTTTTCAATACAGCCAGTGGCTAGTAGTTTTCCATCTGCTGAAAACGACACGCAGTTCACCGACTCTGCATGTTTTAGGGGCGAACTGATGGGCTGGCTATTATCGAGGTTCCATAATCGCGCTGTCTGGTCGGTAGATGCGCTCGCAAGGATGCGACCATTCAGAGATATTGCAATGTCATAGACAGTGCCGGTGTGCCCATCGAGCAATGCGGTCTCCTTCCAAGTTTTTGTATTCCATGTCCTAACCGAGTGATCACCTGACCCGGAGATAAGCGTTTTTCCATCCGGGGTCCAAGCCAGGCACCACACCCAATTGTTTGTGTGTCCTTTGAGAGTGGCGACAAGCATGCCTGTCTTCGCATCCCAAATTCTGACCGAGGACTCGTCCGAATCAGGAATCGAGGACTCGTATCCACCAGTTGCAATCAAGGTCATGTCTGGTGAGTAGATGACTGTGAACACCCGAGTGTGCCCAGTTTTGATTGGACCAAGGGTCGTCTCTCCCTTCTCCACGTCCCACTCCCTTGCAGTCCCATCCTCAGATCCACTCACCACTCCTTGACCATCTCGACTCCAGCACACAGACCTCACTGGTTTTGTGTGTCCTATCCATCTCGCGATAACTTTGCCTGTGTCGATGTCCCACAACTTCACTCCACCGTCCCCACTCCCGCCGCTAACCACTTTCTTCCCGTCCGGAGACAACGCTATCATCCACAATTCGCTATCTCCGTCCCGCCAGTCGTCTCCTATTTGTTTCCCACTTTTCAGGTTCCATACCCGCAGTGAGCCATCGCTTGAACAAGTCATCATCCGCTGTCCGTCTGGTAGATGTATGGTCCCAGTGACCCAACCGGTGTGTCCTTCGAATTTCTGGCAGTGCTTTATCATCGATTTCCCCTGCCTTCCATCGTTTGATGAAGACGTTGTCATCTATTCGGCACAGCTCCATCACAGATTTCATCCAACAAAGTCCATCACTTACGACAATGTTTCTTAGGAGGTCTCGACGTCTTGACACACACAATGGGTGTATAGGTCAAGATTGCACTGCAAGTCTGAGCTGGTACATTTTACATGTGACATCCTCGTGTTTACTTCACAGCTTACAGCATATGCTGTGCAGCGGAAGCGCCCAAGTATCATTTGTGATTACTAGTCGCATTCCATCATTCGCAATTTTGAAACTCGTTTTTACTGCCTGGCCAATGTATCATATACTGAATTGCACCCTAGATCATACATTCACCGGCCAACTCCTCCAACGCGCTCGTCATCTCCAAGCTGTCAATGCTCGATGCACATCTCGTGCGCAAGGCGTACATCTTACCATGTCTCATGGGAAATTATCCAGAACTTTTGCAATCACTGGTACCAACAACCATGATTCCCCCCCCCCTCCCCCTTCTGTTGCTGCCCCGGACTCGCAGATTGTGATCCATCGTAGCGTTGTACAGCACCGACCCCTACTATAAAGTGGTATCTACATTACCATACTGTGGGAGGCGGAAATTCATGTGATTCTAACATTGTCCTCACGAGGCCCGAAAGTGAATTGCCTGACGCAACGTCACTCCGCTATCCTCGTTAAGATGGAACCAACATGTAAAACTGTCTCTCTCCACTCAACTGCTCCTCGAAGGTGCCATTGTCCCGCCGATGCTCGTACCCATCTGATGTGTAAGACATGCATTATTGTGTCCCTCAGTAGACGCAAAATCATCCTGAGCTCCTAATGACTGATACCAGCCACGCGTTCCATCTTTCTCCACAAATCTGTCACACACGAATCTGGTGATATGGCCTTCGTGGAGGATTGCGACAACGTCAAGGGGATGTCTGTCCTAAGAAGGCGTCGTGGCTTCTAAACAGTACAGATCACCGGGAGCTGATGTCCAGAAGCCTGGAGCTGCTTAAGTTGGTCTTTTAGTTCGATCACAACAAAGGCGGGTCTTCGGTCGAATGTAAAATCCAATGATATACCCATTCTTGTATAGGCACGGTCACCTCTCGTTGCGATGTCTGCACAACTGAAATACATCGTCGCCAGCGTTAAACGATACATTGTAAAACATATACCTATCCCAGTCCCATCCGATCCCCGTCTCATCGTCAGCCGTTCTTTTGTCACTATCGCTATGTCTCTTCCAACTCAAGGTTAGCGACCGATGGGACGCACCTCTTGTGAGCAGTGATAACAAGGCTCGTCGCCGTGAATTATTGCGCCAGATGGACAGGTATATGCTCTTAATGTTATGTTTCAGCTTGAAATACAGGGTATGGCGCTTGTACCATTCCATGTACGTTGCAGCTATATCTGTCGAACGCGAGCTCAATTTTGTACAGTTTGTCCCCTGGTCCTGGCCATACATTGTCAAGGTGGGTTACTCACTCACAATCACGCCTTCGGTCATTGTAAGTCAAGTTGTTGGCCTACCGAATCTTGCTGTGAGGACCTCTTGTAATGACGTCACGCTGAAGGGCAACGGCAACTGTAAGAAACAATTAATGATTCACGAACAGATGACTTTAAGTACTTATATATTGTTGGCTCGAATAAACTCAGAAAAGATTTAAATCAAGTTTTTGTCCATTTGGAGTAATACTAGGACACTACTGAATTTGATTTATCCGTTCCCTCACGTCCAACCCCTGACTACACTCATTAGCTTTTTCTTTCTACAATTACTCCACGTCATCCTTGCAATATTCGTACCATAGGTCCACCACCCGTTCCTTTCCCTTTATCTCGTTGCTCCTGCGTCTCCCTGAAGATTACCGTATGGCATTGATCGACTTAAATATAGTACTTAGTTGTAACGCCACCGCAATGTTTTTGACCCCGAACATTCAGACTTTCACCCTGTCATTATAAGTCCGAACGTGTTCACTAGAACAGAGTTAGAGTCTCAGCGACGTAATGGAACAACGCTATGTCATTAAGTACCTAGAGCAGTGTTAGAGTCTAGGTACGAGTCAGCGTGAGTGACTACAGTGAGCTATAAAATAACATACCTCAGCGACGTAATGGTATAACACTGAGGTGAAGACAAGAACGAGTCGTGCTATGAGTACTGTGAATTACATAACGATCAGTGGCTGTAGGGAATCGCAGTACTGTATAGTACGAGTCAATTAGGTGGCGAAGGTGCTAAATAGAGAGATAACTAATGTTCTCGCGAACAGAACGCACTCAAAGTTCTCGTGTGCCATTGTCTTCGAGCTTAACACGTTCTCAATCGTGTATTATCAGTGGTAGATCTAGAGGAAATAATTAGACATGGCCAAATAGAGCAGATAAATTGTTTATAATGACGGTAGGAGTGGTGGGCGACGAGACCTTTGATTCACGTTTTATACCTGCTATATGTTCTCAATGGCGAAACAACAACCATAAGGAGCTCTAGGATGCAAGCTCAGTGTACCCTTCCATTCTTTGTGCTCGGCTCAGACTGGGGTTGAACGAATGGTTGCAAACACAGCTCCTTGAGCATCGCAAGGAATTCTGATGCTAATTCGGTACTCTTCCATCCCAGATCTTTGCGTTCGGTGCAGAAGGGCCGAATGAGCGGTTATAACTACAGCCTGCCCTTGCGAAGTCCGACTGTGAAAGAGAGCCTCCGGTTATGAGGTATGTGCAATTTTTCACCCCAGATTGTAGAATTAAAACAGGACATACGGTGACTATACAATGTGTTTGAGCACTCCGCGATGTTGATTTTCACGACAGCTTCGGATACAGTGCCTTGTAGTTGAAAGGGCCAAAACGTCCGTGATAGCTCCTGTCAAACGTTGGACATTTGAGTAGAAGTGCTTCAAGTGCTTGGAATAACGACTTGCTCCCACGTGGAGAGGTACAAAAGTCGGAGCTAGTTGAAGCCACTTTTTTGACGGCATCTCCAAGTTACGGGCTTCAAAGACCTTAAAGATATTACTGGTGTCCGCGACAGTCTGCAGGTGAGCTAAATCATGGGTCATGAAATGTCAACACAGGATTGGGGACATGTTACAATTTCAACATGCTCCGCCGGAGAGTTTTTTCTCTCTCGAAAACAGATGCTTCATTGAAAAATTGTAAGATAGACGCTCACAGAATACAATGACATGCCATCTTCAGCATAAGGGACCTATGACTATTCAGGGGGAAAACCAAGCGCAAGATAAGGCACCCATTCCGTGAAGCATATGGCGCATCCTCGCGTAGAAGATCAATCAAGATTCAGCGCAACATTGTGACCCAAATTGCGATCTAATTGTAAGCAGTGAGGGAAATAAACGCCTGTTTGACATGCTATTACCCGCAATACACACCTGCATTGGCGGCCGTCGTTGGCCAGGCCAAGAATATTACTACAGGAGTTAAGACGCACGTTCGAGGCAGTCTCCTGATTGCACTGCTTTGTTGCACCACCGTTGTCCCTTTCACGTGTGGAAAACTCGAATTAGGCGCAAACATGAAGTCAAACCAGAGAGCCTGAGATTCATGTTATAATGCGAGTCAGAACGTAAGCTATAGAAAGAGATGGTGAAGCAACGTGCAAGAAGACCACATGATGACTCGGGCAGAAATGCCGTGAGCGTTGCCAAGTTTAACTTGGTGCCAGTATGTAATGAACTCCAATTGATTTTATGTATATGCATCAGTCGCAATTCGGCCATAGCCCGAGTGTCCTGAACGACAACAAAATTCAACGAGTCGAAGGTATGGTCACAACCGTGGAAAGAGTATGTCTGGGATCTGCAGCCTCGAACGTTCTTTAGCTAGTTGGGACTCATAGTCAGATCCGGAGGGCCGGGAAGCCGGGCTCCCACACAGCAAACATCAAACCGCTCACAAGGCGCATCATTGATCACTTCATGAATTTTGAGAGCCTATAAGTATCCTGGTGCGGATGGGATGTTGAACTTGCCCTCCCGTGCCTCCATCTTGACGTGACAAGTTCCAAGCATGATTGTGCCATCAATCTTTGCCCTTGCTGCCTTCGCCAAGACTGCATCAGCGGCAGCAGCCGCATCGACAGGCTTCACTGCACCAGCTCCTGCGTAAGAGTTGTAAGCCTTGTTTATGAGACACCTCTGACTTCAGTCATGTAGACCAACTTCTGAATCACCCTTCTATGTTGGTCCTGCAAACAACACCATTACCAACACGCCCATCGTTCCCGGGAAGGTGTTTGACCGCTTCATTCAGATCTGGTTGGAGAACACGGACTTCGATTCGGCAGCCTCTCAGCCAGTCTTCCAGTCCCTCGCTGCGGAGGGCATTACCTTGACCGGGTACTATGGCGTAACCCATCCAAGTGAACCAAACTACCTCGCTGCGGTTGGTGGCGACTTCTTCGGTCTGGCTGAAGATTCTTTGGAGTACATTCCCACCAACATGTCCACTGTTGTGGACTTGCTCGATCAGAAGAACATTAGCTGGGCTACTTATCAGGAAAATATGCCCACGGATGCCTATGAAGGATACAACTTTACGAATTCTGACAATTATACCTACTACGTGCGCAAGCACAACCCGTTGGTCATCTACGAATCCGTAGCGAACATCAGTACCAGGGCGGCGCGTATTAGGAACTTCAACGACTTTGCTGTCGATGTATGCGTTCATTTAACTTGTGTTCTCAAAGTTGATATATTCACCCTGGAATAGGTTGGTAACGATTCGCTTTCTCAGTGGATTTTCATCACCCCGAACCTCCGCGAGTATGCCCATTTTCCAATCATTGCCTTATGGATTATCTTACAAGGTCATGCAGTGATGGTCACGATACTACTGTTGGATATGCTGCCTCCTGGCTTACCTATTGGCTCTTACCCTTGCTCAACGATACAAGCTTCAACACCAATTCGACCCTCATCTTGCTCACCTTCGACGAGTGCGTTTCTTCCCATTGTACCATGCTGGTTGATCTTAAAGTACTTGTTTGCAAAGAAACGAGACCTATACGATTGGTAACAACGTATTCAGCATCCTCCTGGGTGGAGTGATCCCCGCGGCCATGAAGAACACCACTGATCCAACGTTCTATACGCATTACTCGACGTAAGTATTGAAACTTCACGTACGTGTCGGACTAACCAATCCACGAACAGACTTTCAACTGTCGAGAACAACTGGGACCTTGGCAACCTCGGTCGTCAGGACACCAACAAGACAGTGGCTAGTGCGTACCATTTACACCTTTTTGTACTGTATTCTGACTGTACTATCCAGATGTTTTCGAGATCGTTGCTAACATCACCTCATATCAAAACAACAACCTCACAGGTTCCTCTGCCTCCCTTCCCCAGCTCAATATCACTGGGACCATCCCAGGGACCGTTGAACCCTGATTACTACGTCCCCTATCTAGCACCTAACACGAACGGTACTGGTGGTGGTAGTGGACCGACCTTTGTTGCTTCTAACGTCAACATGTCGCTGAACTTGGGCGATGCTCCCGCACCATCCAATATATCTGCAACTTCAACTACCAGCTCTGCTGCTGGTCTGACGAGCAATGCAGGCAGCATGATTGCTGCAGTTGCTGTTGCCGCAGTCGCGGCAATGCTGCTCTAGTGGACGTAGCTACGTAGTGTTGCAGTAAAGTTTATCTCATATTATTATATCCGTTTTTTTGGTATGGCAGTGCGCGTTAGACAAATCGATACAGGACATTACTAACGTGCGAACAATAATCGAGGTGTCGTTGTGCAAAATACATGCTAGTTACCCTCAGAGGTCTGAATGCCAGACTTTGATCAGTTGTCAAGACCCATCCGCACTCCAATGCGTTCCCAAGTTTTCTGACGCATTCTCGTCCAGGCTTCTCGTCTTGCCCGCACACAGTCTGAGCACCAGCCCTCTTCCTCGTCCCATTTGATGTCGATCAGGGCTTGAAGTCCACACAAAGGGTCAAACTGATACTCCTCGTAGAGCCCAGAGTCATGCACGCGCCTCTCCCAAGCGTCTTTCTTCAAAGACAGAGATGGACACCCGGAAAGACGCGGTGAAGTAGAGGACGACCCAAGGATATGAGCCCTCCCGGGTGTCCCGGAAGTCTCCTTTGTTTCGTAGGGGCATTTAAAGGAACGATCTACGCGCACTGCAACCTGTGACCAGGCCGAGATGAGATGCTCTCTCATGCGTTCCAAACGTCTTTCGTCCGCGCGGCTGATTTCCTGGGACTCTCCTCTATCGTCACCGTCCAACTCGCCGTCGCCGAGACCATAACCTGTTACCCGAACCATTTCATAGAAAGCCCTCTTTAAGACGCTTTCGACGCCACAGGTTCGCGCGAGAACCACGACTTCCGCTGCATTGGACTTACTTTCCGTGGTGAGATCCGCGAGAGACGAGGACCAAGCATTCTCTAAGAGCTTTACGGCGAAGGCTCGATACGTGTCGAAACCTAACCTGGTTGCTGCGCGAAGGATAGCAGCCAAGACTTGGAATGGATTGTGCTACGCCGAGATCAGGGAGTGCTCTACTCCACCTGCATGCCCCACAATTGAGAGCATTAGAGGTGTTTGATGTTGGAAAGGTGTATCACGACGTGCCTGCATGTCGCAAGCAAGGCAAACTCAGGCTTAGTGGACGACGAGCAAGACTAGGCACGATCGATCATTTTCAGATAAGTTCAAATATCCACATTGCTCGAGCAGCCCGACCATTTGTCCCAAATTACCTGCAGGTGGTCCGAAACTAGGGATTGTATCATCAGTGTTACCTGCAAGCGACCTGACTCATCCTTGTGTCACAACCCTTGCCATCGCCGCATCACTTTTACGAGTGAACCACATGCGCTGACAGACATAGATGCTGTCAAAAGCAACAAAAACGGCGAGGAAGGAGAAATGTATTTTCTGTGCGAGGTGGTATGGAATCTTCTGAAGAAGAACGATTTCTTTGAGGATGGGGGGAACGTTGTGGCATGACGGTCAGCTTTGATATCTTGCATATATTTATGGGTACAACTCTGATCGATTTGGCAGAATTGTTATTGCTGTTAGATGGTAGAAATTTCTGCAGAATTTGCAGGAGCGTGTTCAATTGATTACGACCATTGTATCATAACCCAACTTCTCACTCTTTGAACCTGCGGTGAGAAGCTGATGTTCATTCCCGCGAGTCTCGTCAATACTTGTACTTGTCGTTATTTTTCTCTCACTTACTCGTTGCTCCCTTATATGTAGTACCTGCAATTCGCCTATGCCACTAGTAGGCCGGTGACCCTGCGCAGAGACAATGAGGCATCTTTCGAAAATTGATACTCATTCTCATTCTTGGTATGCACTTGGTCAAAGATCCTTAGTTGGCCCAGAGGGGCTGGATTTAGCGAGGGTGTAGTTGTGTTCATAGATTTCGTGAGTAAGCTGGATTGCTTGCAGACGTATAGGGTTTATACCCCAGAAAGGAGCAAGATCGATGTTTATCTAGTCGTATTCGTCTGGGAGCTAAACGTTATGTTTTGGGACGTAGGCCCACCTATTGTCAAGGTGGTTTAGATGAGGGATTGAAGTGAGGAAATGAGCGCACCATCCATCGAAGCCTGGTGGAGGTGCTCTTGAGTATCTGCGGTGGTGCTCACGAACGGATTCGGGTAGTGTTTTTCTGGCTCGTACGAGTTTTGCATCCCATTCCTTTTCTACGTGTTCAATTAGATCGAGGATGGGGTGTCTGGCCCCTAAGTTTACTTGGAGTAGACCGTCTGGACGGAAAGTGTGGGATCAAAATACCCTTTTCCAACACATCAGTCATTCCCTGCGTTAGCAGAGAGAAACGCCTACCTCAATAAATTTGCACCTGTTTCAAAGTTATCGAGAACGGGCATATACATTTGAGCTTCGAGGTCACTGGAGCGGAAGAGGAGAAGGGCGGTGGACAGACGGTCCGCATGAAAGGTTAGAATATAAGCAGTGTGGTATTGGAGGAGACTTGGGATGCGGCGGTTATCACTACCATTTGGTTTGATAACCCGCATTTCTAGTGACGGGTCTTCAAGCAGCAGCAACAACCCAACAAAGTCCCGGGCCAGCATGCCATAAACTGGACAGATCCACACCGTGATTACGAGGGAAAGGCTCTTTTTCTTCCTCCTTACATCCCATGAAAAATTAACATTCCTGCAGCGCGTCATCGAAAATGCAAGTTCTGCAAAAGGAATGGCTACTTACTTGAGTCAACTTGAAAGACAGCGTGCGAGTCGTGACAATCACAGAACATCACGGCGCCACGTGTGACTCAATATTCATGGTTTCGTCGGAGTTTATCTGATGATCTAGCTGGTCGACGTCTTAGCCAAGTGGTTACCACAACAGAGTCAAAATCTCTTTTTCTTGGAGTCAGTTGGAAACTTACTGACAACATCTTTGCAGTATCAAGCCGACCTCCGACAGAGCATGACTCAGCCAGATCTAACAGCTCTTTCACCCTCTATATTTTTGTACGAGCTGCTCGATCTATGCGATCAACTTGAATGATGCTTGCGGATTGATAGCGTAGATCAGGCTGGGGCTTTGTGAACCATGTGCGTTTGACATATCTCACACTTGCACAGATCTTCACATTCTCATATATATATGCACAGCCCTGCAAAGGTCCTCTAGATTCTCCTCTTTGCCTCCTTCCCCCATCTTCCGCTCTCCCAGCCAAAGTTTTAGTCTCCAACCCACCCCACTTTATACTCTCACCAGCGTGTTTTGGTTTGGTCTCGTTCCTTCGTGGTCCCCTTCATCCCGCAACCCTAGATTTGGCCTCAGCATGCTCCGGCGGCCTGCGTCCGACTCCGACCTTTTCTCATTCTCCACTCAAATGTCGGACTCACAACGCTTTGCCTCGACCTTGAGCTCAAGTTTTTCAGCAAATACCCTTGAAGAGCCACTAACTTTGTCACGACCAGAGTCCAGACTACGCCCTCGTCCTGGTGAGTCCATGGATTTGATATCCAGTCGATCTGCCAACGCTTTTCCTTATTTCTCGTGAGTCCGGTCCGTCTGCTTTGTTTCCAAAGAGTATCATACTGACATACTCATGCTATGCACGGATGTCTGTCTGAGTAAGGTGAACGGTCTACATGTCTGATGATGATTTCCCCATGAAAGACCGTCTGATTTGTCACATCATATACCATCACAATGCCGTAGATCCTGCGGTAGGATGCCTTTGCAATTGCTCGAGAACGTGCTTCGACTTTCATGTGTCGACCTTTGAACTCAAGGCCGATTGTCGAAATGAATCCAGGAGACAAACTGTCGTGACTGAACCGCAGAGCAAGGATTGATTTTCCAACGCTATAAGGACAAGTGACGGTCCCTGCACAAAGCGAAGCCAAGTGCAACGAGAATGGGAGATACGACAAAAATTAGCTCCCTAGCGTGACTAGAGCAGTATTGTCCACGATTGATCTGTATGTAGATATGAGTCCACGGCCGGTCGTTAAGAAGGGGTTTAGGAAGGCTGACGCAAATGAATGAGGCACGAAAAGGTGGTTGATATGGCTAGAAACTCGGTTTATACAATATGTGTGCGCACCGAATGTTCACGCTAGCATCTTCCAATTTAAATCAAGAAGGGGGCCATAACCTAGCTATTAGTATACATAGTGAACAAAGAGTAAATGTAACTTACGCGTAGATTTCAAAACTACGCTGTGCAGTCAGTACTGTTATTGACGCGTTAATCAAAATGGCGTTATGATATTACGTCACGCGTCGCTACTATATATAGTTTGAAGTATAAAGCACAGGAGTGGAACAACTTTCCCATGCCTGTTGAACGATATCATGATGGCCTGGGGTGCACGCCAGCCTATTTCCCACTGGATCCTCCCTAAGTACCACCCATGTCTCTCTACACCTCCTTCGCAGTTACTGGCGCAGGCCCACAATCGGTGGCCGCATCGTGAAGGCAGGATTCAATAACTATTGATCGGTACTTCCTCAGTTTATCTGACTGTTTGATAGGCTTTGCTTGAGCGAGGCGCGTCAGTAGTTGCTCTCGCCCGACCGTCGAGTACATCAACATCGAGCCCACTCCTCGAGGGCGCTAAGATTGCCACGGCTGACTACACCGACGTCAAAGCAGTTGCCTCCATTCTCCGCGAGCATAAAGTGGAGGTCGTGATTTCTGCAGTGGCATACGGCGCATTACCTTCGCAGTCCAGTATCGCTGATGCTGCCAAGGAAGCCGGTGTGAAACTTTTCGTTCCCTCTGAATTCGGCTTGCCAACGGAGGGAGGGAAGGGTGGTCACTTGGTCATCAAATCAGAGTTTGCTGGTGAGATTTTTATTTATTTTTGTGCCTGGTTTGGTTGCAAGTCGTTGAATGTCCACGGTATTGTAGACTACCTGAAGTCATTGGGTATTCCTTCGTTGCGCTTCTACGTAAGTGCCCGTTATCCCATACATCAGGCAGAGCTAGTAACACCTTTTGACACAGACCGGGATGTTCATGGAGTTCGTTCCACTGTTCGCTGGAGTTGACACTGGGAAGTTCTTGGTCCTGGGCAAGGGTGATGCATCTTTTTCTACTACTGCCTTGGATGACGTTGCGGTATTGTGATTTTTATTTTTCAGTGATCATAGTGACATTAGATACAATCTAGGTTTTACCGCTCACGTTCTTACATCGCTCCCACCGGCCAAACTCCATGATGCTACGTTCCGCATTGAGGGAGAACGCACATCCTTCAATAAAGTTGGCGCCCTATATGCATCCAAGAATATTCCGGTAGAACATGTCACCTCCCTCCCCGAAGGATACGTCAAGCAGACTCTTTTGCAAAGCTTATTTGAGCAGGGCCGAGGCAGCTCCGGGTGGGACAACTACGCCGACAAGGATATCCCGGAGAATGCTCATAGCGGTAATGCGGCGTGGCCTGGGCACCAGTGGAAGACTGTCAAGGAGGTGTTGGAATTGTAGAACTCGAGGGTGGCTGGTTCATCTGCATTCTGAGTCGTTGTATCACGAGTCCTCTCTTTAGTCTGAGTTACCCTCAACCGTCTTTACGTTCAACCGTTCGACGTACATCATTCTCTACATAATAATTATCTAGCGCGAATGACTTCTGAGAAGGTACAGGTACGCCTAAAGACTGCACACTAGTTGACCACCAGACCCCCACTCTGCTGTGCGCATTGGTCACTCAAATAAGATGGTATCTGAAACTGCTGGATTTGACTCGGTAGACTCGCAAACTGCATCAGCAGCCCTGCAGCCATGTGCCAGCCAATATGACAGTGGAATGCCCAGAGCCCTGGGTTGTCAGTGATAAAGCGGATAGCGACCCAGCCGTAGCCAGGAAGAGTCAACGTGTCGCGTCTCGGTGGGTTGGTCGTATTGAGTTGCGACACCCCAGACAAGTAATCGCCATCACCTTCACCGATAATCCAAAATACGTGTCCATGAAGATGGAATCTACACAGGGCGTCAGTCAAAAGAGACTAGGATTGATGTATAACCAGTGGCACGTACGGGTGGCTAGCATCATCGTAATTATTCAGGATCAAGTCAAATACAGTGATATTATCGTGTACAACGACAAGTTGGCTCGAGTCAAAGGTAGTCTGAATCCCAAGCTTTGACATCTGCAGCAAAGGTAGGATTTGTGCTATCCGCTTCCAACTCGTGCTATTCATGAATGCCAGCGTTTGCGTTCCGCCAGATTGAGTTGTTTGCTGAAAAGACATGAAGACTTGAACAGAATCCGTGCTGTTGGGTGGGTTCATGGGAATTTGAGGTACAATCATTGTGTTGTTGAGGTCGAGACAAAGGGAGGGGAATGCGTCCGACCAATCTTGGGAGTTCGGTGTCGTTGGCGAGGCACCGTATGTCATTGTAGCTAGCACCATCGTGTTGAGGTTGGGATTACCGAGTTTGTAGCAAGTGGCCTGCATCTCGGCGCGTACGTTGTACGATCCTGCTGTCTGATTTGTCGTCAAGATAACAGAGTAGCGCTGTGCGACGTGTATAGGGACACGGTGCACATCTACAGGTACAAGAGATGTCCCGTCTGCTTCGACAACGCTCAGCACGTGCGAGTCTACGCTGAACATGAACTCTGTCAGTGTGCCCATATTAATGAGACGAAGCCGATAACGCAAGTTTGGTTGAAGATCGAATGAGGAACCGTTCATCTTGCCGTTGATGAGACCGCTATCCGGAGGAGGCTCTGCTCCAGGATTAACTCCACCATAGTTAGAGCCATCGATCCCAGCAGTGCTCAAGTACTGAGTGAGCAATCCGGAAGACATCACATCATACCAATCTAACAAGAGAGTTACCCTGAGAACATGGACAAAAAAGAATACTGATACGAACCCGAAAGTATGACAAGCGCCTCGCGGTCATATTGGCCATAAATAGGCTCGCTGGGAGAGTGAATTATAAGTGGGCCGTAAATGCCATCTGTGTACCTTGTTTTATCACGTTAGCCTCAGCAAGAAACTACCATGTGCTGCAGATGTTTACTGTGTAGATGCATGAGCATGATACCAGAACGTCCCATACTGGTTCGGATTAATGGTGAAATGATAGGCTAAATATGTTAGGCTCATGGAACGTGGCTGCAAGGAGCAAACTTACTAAAATTCATTCCCGGAGGAATTGGGCACTGAGTGATACCGTTGGTGCCATCCATGTAGTTGGTCCCGTTTTGAAGTTGACCGTGCCAGTGAATAGTGGTGCCGTTGGGTAATTGGTTGAAAACGTTAACCACAAGCTCATCGCCGCTGTTCACCTCAATAAGAGGTCCAGGGAATTGGTCTGAAATTCCAAAGTCAGTGGGATCGTCATCATGTATGGAGTAAACTGGCGTACTGTTCACCGACTAACATAGTTCTCTGGAAACCATCAGGTGAACCGACTGCTTCAGATATGACGAATTCGTAGTATCTGGTTGTCGGTGTACTCGTAACAACAAAATTCGGATCCAGGAGAAATGAAGAGTTTGTCGTGACATAGCTCGAGTTCGACGTCTTCTTCAATCCCAATCCGAGCCCCAAACCAAGAGCCAAAGCAAGCACGATCGCAACGGCGCCAGCTATGCCTGTGATTACGAACAACTTGCGACGACCTATTGGAAATCCTAGTTGGAATAAAATCAAAAAGCTGTGACGCAAGTCCACGAACCACTTCGCCTGATGGGTGTAATGCGGGCCTCTTTTAAAGCCAGATCCTCATGGTCGTTCGAGCTACCCTCCTTCGAGGGTGGCACCAGGGTAGACATCGTGAAAAAAAGGATGTTGGCCCCCCGAGGCGCTAATTCACTCTATATGGGCTATAGAGATCTGAGGGTGCACGTTCGTAGGGATTATTGATATGAAGACAGGCACGAATCATGGTACAGATGTCCATCTGTATGATGGGATTCTGAATAACCAGGATGATCAATTTAGAACGTTCGCACGTCCACCCTCAAAGTCCATCTGCCAGTAGGAAGATTCGGACCGCTCGGAATTGCCAGCTTGGAGAGACTTTCCGCAAACGAAGAACCATCACATAATCAAGTTTTCAGTGCCGATGACTTCCTTGAAGTTGGTCACTCCCTTACCATTCTCGCACGCTTTCTCTACTCATCTTGATCCACCATCGACACCATATTCTTGTCTTCGCCCATATGACACTTCCGCACGACGCCGGATCCTTAGCTAAGCAGTATTTAGGTCCTCTCGCGCCGTCCGAATACTCTTAACGCATTACTGAAGTATGTTCATTATCATATTGTACTACTGACGCCTTGTTACTGATGTACTCTACTAATCTAGGCTTAGTATTGTCTTGACGCATTACTAAGCTGGTCTATCGCTAGCGTATATATGATATGTTCCATAGACTGAGAGGTGGGTGTAAGGACGAAACGTTTGATCCCGCGGAAACAATTCTGATTCCCATGTGTGCGCTCCACCTCCACCCGACAGTGCACTTGGCAGTCTGTCTCCGTACCTGAGTCCACTCTTCGCGATGTGGAAAATACTTACTGAGACGGATCAGCGGCGAGCGCCGGCAATGAGGCAGCATTAGTGGTGGACGAATTTATCTATCATATGAGCGAACGGATCAAACTCTCAGAAGTTCTCAGAGTTTGATCCGTTCGCTCACGAACAATTCTACACCGCACTGTCGAAAGTCTGAAGGTGAACGGTTGCTTGTATACGATAGCACAAGACTGGTATTGTAAGTGATTATAGTCCAGGTATGCGTAATCAAGATCCATCCAAAACTCCCATATCGTTTGCTCCAAAAGTAGACCCACAATTCAACCAAATCGTTCTGAATCTCTCAGCACTAGGGGTTTCACAACGCGGTTCCAGTTCTCTGACCAAGAATTCCACTCCCAGTCATCATCTTCTTGGTGTTCGTGGCTATGGACATGACGCTCGACATTGAGCGGTACCTGTAATGCTCGCTGCAAATTTGTCCGTAAAGAATCAAGTGCAGGTGACGAAGGAAAAGACGTGAGGAGGGTCTATGATACTTGGTCAGTCTCCATCGATATGATGGAGAGTATGAGTCCCACCTCCAGATGCTCTGCCAGCTGAGACGCATTCCTGAAAACCAGGCCATTAATACGGTCCTTGACAAGCTCTGGAAGGCTGTGAATCCAATTATCAATATGACAGAGGTTTAAGCACGCGGGTTCTCACCATGCAAAATCGAGGGCGCAAACGGGGAGTCCGCATCCAAACATATCTACAATTTTCATTGGTAAATCGAGCGCGGACGAACTTGAGTGCAAGGATATGCCCAAGTCAGCAGAGCCTAGATAAGATCAGTGAACGAACTTGTGACCATGCACGAACGGCTTACCCAGCAAAAGGGGGTAGTCTTCAGCTTCAAGCCATAAACTGGTGCACCTGACATACTGCCAGTTTTTTTGCAAGAGCTCCACTTCTGCCATGTATCGTTCTTTAAGCGGCCCTTTGCCTGTGATGACCATCCATATGCGAGGCAAGACTTGTCGTTCCTTTGAATCGTGTTTTGATTGCGAGTTCTCACAATCTGCAAGGTTTACTTCACGAGCACGAGACTCGTAGAGTTTCAATGCCTCCAAGAGAATGCCAAAGTCTTCGTCTGGTGTCCATGACGTACTACTCACCAGCAGCGCTGGGCGATCTTTTCGAAGACTGGGCGAACTCGGGGAACTAGATGCGAGAGAAACTGGATACGGTGGAAGTCCAAGTATTTCAGTGAATTGGGTCGTATAAGGCAGTGACGCACTGGGGAGAAAATCCACAAGTGATGGCGATAGCGAGCGTCCAAGCCGTATGAAGAGCTACACCAAAGGTGTCAGATACCATTGGATATAAGAGTCGCTCCTGTACCTCATGGACTTCTAGAGGTACACACTTATGGAAGTGGCTGGGTGGACGATCATGCAAGACCGCCTTGTGTCCTCTGGAACCAGTAATTAATCGCAAGTTGATACTGTAGGCAATCAGACAAACATCAAGCCCCATTCCTGTTCCAGATGGTTTCGCATAGCGTTTGTGACGAAGAGGTGAGCGTATGCAGAACTGCCGAATATGATCTCAAAGCTAAATGAGGATGGTAAAGAACGCTCGACACAAATGATGATGAACATACCGTTTTGCAATATTGACGAGTAGATGTGTCCTTCCCAGTTTCAATGCGAGAATGCTATACCCAAGGTTATGCCAGTCGATGATTACTTTGCTTCCCATTATCCCTCCGACAAGCCACACTAAAGAAAGAGTGGGAATACTTGGGGGATTCTGCAAAATTACATTCGAGCGCTGAAGGTTGCAGCCACGTTTATATCCATACCTGCACCATGATAAACTCGGGCGGGCGGGGTATGTCAAAGACTAGTTTGTATAGAATGGTGGCTATCTGGTATAGAATTTTGATCGGAGCGGCTAGAACGAAAGGAATCCGGGTAACAAGTGGTGGTGGTGGTTCTGACAAGTAGGACAACCTGACATTCGAGAGGGAGGTTAGCGAAAGTATCGGCTTGGAGCCTGACGTGTCGAACGTCAGTCTGAAAAAATGCGATACTAGCAGTTCTCACCTCTGTATCCAATGAGATAGGTGTCAAATTCCAGCTTCGCAAAGCTCTCTGCATGGTACATCATTCGCGGGCTGCGTCCTACATCGCCTAACACGAGAATGGCGACTGAGCGCAATTTCGGGGTTTGTCGCACCTTCTGGAAGATATTCACGACAAGGAACACCAAGAGCGCAAAGAAAGATAATTCTGCGAATACAAAGAAATCGTGAAAACCATAACTCTCATTTGCTATCATTGCATCAGAGACTTGACGGAGAGTAGTAACTTGATAGAAGGGTATGGACAGCACGGCCACCGCCACACATCCGCTCTTGCCGCGTGCCGCTCCAATTGCTGGCCAAATTCAATTATTTATGTTTGTTCATATTTTGAATCAGCATACGGGTGAATAAGCGAGTGCTAGTGAGCACCAACTCGGGCGCATGTACTCATGACCGTCATGTCTAGACTTGCCTCCAGATCTATCAGAGCCTTGTCCAGCGCGCGCTCTGCTTCGAACCGTACCTTCGAGTCTGCCGTTCGGTCCTGGACAAGATCAATTTCATCCACACCTGTACGCGCAGCAGTGAATCGCGGACCCACACTCGCAACTGCCTCAGGCATCCACGCCCCAAAAGCTGCGCCATCGTTCGGCATAGCAACCCCACAATGTACGTCCCACTTTTTTGTCTCTGACTTGTTCCTATGGATTATTGATGTACGTCCAGGTCGATCCATGTTCATACAGACAGAGACCACGCCCAATGACGACTCTCTCAAATTCATACCTGGTGTAGGTGTCATGGGCGAAGGAACGGCCGAGTTCCTTGACACACGATCAGCATTAAAATCTCCCCTCGCCATTCGTCTTATGGGCATTGAGGGTGTCAAAGCTATTTTCTATGGACCGGATTTTGTCACGGTGTCGAAGGACAGCGAAAACCCATGGGCAGTCCTCAAGCCAGAGATCTACTCAATACTTATGGAGCATTTTTCTGCTGGTTTGCCACTTTTCCGGTCGGAAGAGGACAGAGAAGCCGCTGGCCCTCAGGACACTCAGATTCTTGACACGGACTCTGAGACGGTAGCAATGATTAAAGAGCTGCTTGAAACTCGTGTCCGACCAGCGATCATGGAAGACTGGTGGTGATATAGAATACCGAGGGTTTAGTGATGAAGGCTTTGTGAAAGTTAAATTAAAGGGAAGCTGCAGAGGGTGCTCATCTAGCGCCGTAACGTTGAAGTCTGGAATTGAGAGAATGTTGATGCATTATATCCCGGAGGTGAAGGGTGTAGAGCAGGTATGTTCATACTTCCCTGCGGTGTTTCCTCTAGCTGATGATGAACCAGATCTTGGATGAAGAGGAAACCATTGCATTGGATGAGTTTGCCAAGCTCGAGGAACGGCTGGCGAAGAATGGAAAGAATAAAGATTCCAAGTGAGTCGCTTCTGGCATTAGTGGTGGCTTAACGAGTTTACTCGCACAGGATGGCACCATATATGTCCGTATGAGAGGCTGTTACCTTACAGTGCTACTGAAGTTGACTTTATACTCCTCGATGCCTGCCGAACCCGACATCTACTGTAGATCATACAAGTAATCCACAATTCAGGCCTTACGAGGATAATGTCAGAATTATACATATTCCCACCTCACAAAATGATGACTAGGGAACCGATGGTATCAGCAGCAGTCTGGCTTACTACAACAACTGCGACATCGTCTAGTGTCATACAAAGGACCAAGTATTGACAAGGCATACGGCAGATTTGTGGGAAACGCTACGCAGGACCAATTATTGAAGGTGAAACAGAGTTTGAGCGAAAAGCCAGGTGCCAAAACAATGTTTGCAAGCGACTGGTATTGTCAATCGTAACGTGGGAGTCGTCGTCAATGATCTCAACGCGCAGGAGTACGCCTAAATTGCTAATGACCATGGTGAGTTGCTATCAACCTCAGGTAGAAGTCCAATTGGTAATGTTATAGAGGAGCACATTCAGGCGGTTCGGATGACAGAGACCATCCCTCATTGACGTTGGACTGACATCGCTTGGTTGATGTAGTTTTGACAGACAGAACAGAGCACGGGTGCATTTGGGGGGAAGTTAACTGGCGAGGCAGATGTCTGGTGCGTAATTCATCATTGGCCAGGCACTAAAAACGGGGATCAAGATTGAGACTGATGGAATGCGAGTCGTGGGTCATAGGCGGCGCTCTCAATGAGGCTTGGGCGCTTCAGCTGCACAACCTATAATACAAGTCGTGAATAAGTACTAGGATGTTACACGGAAAAGGTACCAGCTCAGACTTCCAGTTTACTCAACTCTGACTCGACCTAAACGCACATTGGGTCGGTGTATCAAGATATATCATAGTAAGTTATGGTTTTGATTTTGGTTGAATGAGAGCTGAGACAGCAATGCACTCGGTAGTTGAAACTGAGGATCATGTCTTCATCCACAATCGGAATGCAGGAGGCATCAGAGATAATGCCCAGCCAAAAATTCGAAGGACATACTGGTTGGGTCACTGGGACCATACACCTGCCAGACGGACAGCGGATGATGACTTGTTCGAGCGACGGTTCGCTGCGGGTATGGAACTTGAAGACTGGGAAACAGATAGGAGACGACTGGCGGGATGGAGAAAGTGATGTGTGGACCATAGCGTTGTCTCCGGACGGGAAGGAAGTGGTTAGCGGAAGTGAGGACGGTGGAGTGAGGTTGTGGGACGTCGACACAGGCGAAGTTATCGCGAAATGGATGGGACGCACAACAAAAGCGCGATCTGTGTGCTGGAGTCGAGATAGTCGGAGAATTGTGAGTGGGTACTGCAGGATTGCAAGTGAGTGGGACGTGGAGAACGGAGAGACAATCCTCAAGCCCGGGCCAATCATAACTGGGCACGAATGCGTGTACGCAGTTGTCTATTCGCCAGACATGACCATGCTTGCAACTGGTGGATTGGACCCTAAGACCCAGATTCCTGGATCATACGAGTCTTTGATCAAAGTCTGGGATGCGAAGACAGGCGGGCTTGTCGCCACTCTCAAAGGACACAGATATTCGGTGAATTGCCTGGCTTGGACCCCGGATGGAAAAAGGCTTATATCTGGGTCCTACGATTCCTCGATTAGGACATGGAATACAACAAACTGGAAGGGTAGCGCTGTGCTCGATGGGCACACCAACAGTGTCAATGACATTGCAATATCTCCGAATGGCCGCATCCTCGCAAGCGTATCGGATGACCATACAGCGCAATTATGGAATCTCGACAACGGCCAGCCCATCAGTTCGCCCCTCCACCATGCGCATAAAGTGAACTGTGTGTCCTTTTCAGCAGATGGAAAGCTACTAGCCACTGGCTGCGATGACCACAACGCGTACATGTGGGATGTTGATGTTTCGCTACTGGCTGTAAGTGACACTTTCATCAACAGTTCTAGCTTTGCATTCTAGCTTATGCATTCTATTAGGCTGATGCTACACGACGTTCTGTCTGTCGGCTATTCATGGCGTCCCCTCGGATACTTCGAGGTTTTTTCGATGACACACCAAAACGTGCTCACGTACGTCGTTAATGATGTCTCATACAGTACTGTTTTCATTGTCTTAATGTTCTCAGTTGTCTGCACAGCACCGCCCCCAACCCCAACTTCGACCATCAGCATCGCATACAAGCACCCTTCGTAGCCGTTTTTTGTCTTTATTCCACCCCAGACACCCCGATGCACACGATACGCCATCCCGACCCCGTCCTTTCCACTGGGTTCGAAATCGTCTTTCTGGAAAACCAAGTGGTGCGGGTATCGGGTCGCACAGTTGCACGCCAAGGACAGTTGAGGTCCCCGTTAACCGGAGGTCCACCAACATACGTATGTCACTTTATCCTTCTCGGATGTTTAACTCCTGATATTATTTTCTCCTTCAAACTCTATCTCACATCACCGATTTAGCAGAGAAAAACGGAGGCTAATCGTATTGTGAGCGGTTCACGCCCTCCCGATAGTACTGTCACGCAGCAATCCAGCGGCGCAGCTTAAAACCAGTCGTCCTCGCAATCGCATGCTGCCGTCTCCACCTCCAATGCACCTCCCGTCATCGCTGATACAACTTCAAATACTAATCCTCATTCGACGATTACAAACGCTGGTTGTGTGGCTCTTTGTTGCACCTCCCCTGAGTATATAAACTGTTTATCGTATACTTTATTGAGACCTCGTTTGGAGCCCCGTACATGGGAGCCACGCAAATTGCTTCCACGGGACGATTCTCCTTACATATGGTAAATGGTATACATCTGGTCTCTAAGCTTCATTATCAATGTAGCTATTTACTGTAACGTATTCTATAGGGACGTGATAACAGGCGTCGACAGCAACCTTGTTCCTTGCTTGTATCCAGCCCGAGGCTGGATCAGTAGTGTGAAGAATTCATTGTGTGGAGTCTACAATAGAGCACATAGCGCGTCATCCACTGATCGTGGACACAGATACAGCAGTTGCAAATAGCGTGAAATATGAATATTACAATCAGCTCGGTAAACAAAGACTGCGACACCGTCCAGTGTCGTACAAAGGGCCAGGTTTTACAAAGGCATACGGCAGATTTGTGAGACGCATTACGCAGATGCAACTTAGTCAAGACTGTCGTCCGTTTAACTATTACGCCAAAAGGCAGTGATACTGAAAGCTTGGTGTTTCAGTATCGCGGACAGTATTTATGTAGATTATGGGAAATCTAGTAAGCCAGCGTGCTTACAGTAGAACTACTTACTAGTAGTCAAGGCAAAACCGAGTTTGAATGAAAAGCCCGGTGTCAAAACAATGTTTGCAAGCGATTGGCATTGTTAGTCGTAATGTGGAAGTCATAGTCGATGATCTCAATATGCTAGAGTACGCTGATACAAGTATCATCCGTATCGCTGATATATTCGGCGATCATGGCGAGTTTCTGTCAGCTTGCACTACTGGTCAGGTAGTAGCTCGATTAGCACTGTAGCTAAGGGGAGGCGCGTTCAGGCGGTTCTGATGATGGACCATTCATATCCATCGATGACGGTTAGGATCTACGTCAGGTCGTGATGATCACCGCTTGATAATATAGGACATAGAACAGAGTTAGATGACGGGCGTGTTCGATGAGCAGTAGGCTGGGGAAAGGTAGATGTGCTGTCTGAGGCGCAATCTATCATTGGTCAGGCAGTAAAAACAGGAACCAAGATTGTGACTGATGGAATAGGAGTCATGGTCACAAATGAGGCCTGGGCGCTTCAGCTGCACAGCCTATGATACAAGCTGTGAAATGATTACGAGGATGTCACACGTACAACGTACCAGCTCGAACTTGCAGTGTGCTTGGCCCGAACGCCTATTGTGTCTTGGTGTCCGCAGTAAGTGATGATTTTGGACTTCGTTGAATGAAAGCTGAGATGCTGACGCACTCGGTAGCTGAAACTGAGGATCATGTCTTCATCCATCGTTGGGATGCAGGAGGCATTAGAAATAACGCCCAGTCAAAAATTCGAAGGACACACTGGTTGGGTCACTGGGACCATACATCTGCCAGACGGGCAGCGGATGATGACTTGTTCAAGCGATGGCTCACTGCGGGTATGGAACCTGAAGAGTGGGAAACAGATAGGAGACGACTGGCGGGATGGAGATAGTGAAGTACGGACGATAGCGTTGTCTCCGGATGGGAAGAAAGTAGTTAGCGGCGGGAGTGTGGATGGCGCAGTGAGGTTGTGGGATATCAACACTGGTAAAGTCATCGCGAAATGGATGGGACATACAAAGGCGGTGTGGTCTGTCTGCTGGAGTCGAGATGGTCAGCGAGTAGTGAGCGGCTCCTACGATGGAACTGCAAGGGAGTGGGACGTGGAGAACGGAGAGACAATCCTGGGTCCAATTGAGACTTGGCACGAACACGTGGAGGCAGTTGTCTACTCGCCAGACACGACCATGTTCGCGACTGCTGGAAGCCACTGGCTCTCGGTTCCCGATTCTGAGCCTGCAATCAAAATCTGGAATTTGAAGACAGGCGAGCTTGTTACAACTCTCAAAGGACACACAAATTGGGCGTATTGCTTGGCTTGGACCCAATTAACGCTTGTATCCGGGTCAGTTGATTCCTCGATTAGGATATGGGATACAAAAACCTGGAAGGAGATCGCTGTGCTCGATGGGCACACCAACGCTGTCTATGCCATTGCAATATCTCCAAATGGTCGCATCCTTGCAAGCGCATCCTACGACAACACAGCTCGATTGTGGAACCTCGACAACGGCCAGCCCATCAGTTCGCCCCTCAAACATGCGCATTTTGTGAACTGCGTGTCCTTTTCAGTAGATGGAAAGCTACTAGCTACTGGCTGCGATGACCACAACGCGTATATATGGGATATTTCTGCTATATTAAAAGAAGCTGGCCTCGATGACCTTTTGGACCAGCACGACATGCCGCTACTCCCCGAGCCTGTACGTGACACTTTCAGCTCTCTTTGCTTCTAAGTTTACGCATTCTAGACTGATGCTACACCACGTCCGGTCCATCAGCCAATCACAGAGACCCCTCGTGTACCCCGTAGTTTTCTCGACGACACACCAACTCGTGCTCACGTACGTCGTTAATGATGTTTCATCCACTGGTCCTGTTTTCATCATCTTAATGTTCTCAGTTGCCTGTACAGCACCGCCCCCAACCTCGACCATCAGCATCGCATACAAGCACCCTTCGTAGCCGTTTTTTGTCTTTATTCCGCCCCAGACACCCCGATGCACACGATACGCCATCCGGACCCCGTCCTTTTCACTGGGTTCGAAATCGTCTTTCTGGCAAGTCAAGTGGTGCAGGTATCGGGTTTCACAAGCGCCCACCAGAAATAGTTGAAGTCCCAGTTTCCCTAACGCGCAGACGCGTATGTCACTTTATCCTCTCAGATGTTCAACTCCTGATATGACTTTCTCCTTCAAACCCTGTCTCACATCACGTAGAGAATGGCTTCAGTAGAGAAGGCCAATGCAAGAAAATTCTATCGCGAGCAGTTCATCACCCTCTGAATAGCACCCTCACCCAGTAATCCAGCGGCGCAGCTCAAACCCAGTCGTCTTCGTAACCCCATGCTGCCGTTTCCACCTCCGCTACACTTCCCATCATCGCTAGTACAACTTCAAATACTAATCTTCATTCGACGATTACAAACGCTGGTGGATGGGCTCGTTTCTGGCACTTCATCTGTTGTACATCTTCTGAGTATACCGACGGTCATCATTGATCTTCACGACGATCTCTTTCCATATATTATCCCATTTCTCGAGAATGTTGTTTATCGCATAATTTATTGGGACCTCGTGTGGAGCCCCGTACACGGGAGCCACGCAAATTGTTTCTACAGAACGATTCTTCTCGCATATGATAGATGGTGGATGTCTGGTCTAAATTTCATCAATCATTATCGACGTAGTTATTTACTGTGTCGAACATGTACGATGCACGACGTCCAATTTCGATCGGACTCAGACGTATTTCTGTCAATGAGCTATTTAGTCTCGCATGGCAGTCGACTCAGTACTGATATCATGAAGGGTCCCTACTCCCTCAAAGGCACAGACATCAACATATATTTATTTGAACCAGGTCATAAAATAATTACTACTAGGCCACTAGGCCACTACAAAAACCTATGACAACATATTTACGAGCGGTAGGTGACCTTGTAAACAGATGTGTCATGGGGATGGTATCATTGAATCCATTAAACCGAAATACCGCTCCGTAACCGGACATGACTCCGATTCACTGGCGCCTTAACGCTCAATACTGAGGCCCACTCAATGGGTACTGATCTTGATACGAATCCGGAGACTTGTAATCGTTGTTGAGGGGTAGCATGAGGGCAGCAACAGAATAGATGATCACAACGGCATACTCCATGAGCATGTCCATTACGAGGTAGATCTGCCATTCGCCCGTAAAGAGGTTGAATTTTGCAAGGTCGCTAGTGTTGGCTTGGGTGCTTGAGGTTGAGGTTACCGAAAACGTGCTCGAAGAGAACGTGGACAGGATGCTGTAGATCGTCCGAATGGCAAGGAAGGGAAGTGCGACGGAGATGGCCTTCAAGAGCTGAAAATAATGCGTAAGAACGTTAGTCGGACAGATGATGGTGCTTCGAAAAGCTCACCTGCTTGCGGTATCTCATGACAGAGCGGATTTGGGTCCATTGGTGCAGGCAAATGCCGACAAGGATAATGTATAGGGCAGCAAAGAGGATGACACCGGCCCTGCGCATAGTGTTCCCACTCGAGCTTGAGCCCGAGCTAGAACTTGTCTCATCGGAGATACCGATAATGGTAAGGATGAGAGCGACCATGCCGAGGAGTTGAAGAAGGCGGAATTGTCTTTGATATCTCGGGAATCCATCAGGAGTTTGGAATCTATGGTAATGTTCAGCGCATTCCATACAAATGGCAACAGGATTAACGTACATTGAGTGCAATAGACCCAGCGTGCAAAGCAACAGTGGTGATAGGCCAGATGCTTCTAGAGCATAACCGCCGATGTATAGCGAAGTGTTCACGGGAGTGACTTCTTCAGCTGCAACAAGCAAAGCACCACCCAATACTCGGACTGAAGGTGTAGCAGGGTTAAAATTATTCTTCAATCAATCAAACGACTTACTGAAGCAGAATACCAACAACAAGACCCACCCATCACCTCGGGCCATGCCATACTTGGACACTATCTTGAGGGAAACAAGCAGGAAGGGAACATACATTGCGATCGTCACCGCTGCAAGGACGCCATGAGAGTCGAGAGTCATTTTTCCTGAAAAACTGGAGTGGATGGAAGAGGAGGAGTGATGAAATTATGGGGTATGATGGAATGGTTGCCTGCCTTTTGTATGAAATCATGGTAGACAAGGGCAGTGAGTGCTGCCCTGAGCTGCCTCATCGCGTAAAGACGAAATCTCTGAGTTTGACAGAAACCCAGTGCTGCGAGAGGCTGTGACGGAAGCGAGCATAAAACGGATGCAGTTGAACTTCACACTGCGCAGTAGTGTTTGAAGTACTGCGTACTATATTAATATAGTACCCTCGGTACGGTCGGTCCTCGACCAAAGCCGATTAAAAGGTGGCTGGCAAGACAACCAGGTCTGTACTAGTAAATGCAGCATACATAGTTCCTTTAGGAGATTAAATTGTTCATCATCGCACCTATCGCGCCGCAACTTGTAAGTTACGTTTGGCAAACAGCTTCTTGGCAGTGCAAACAACTGATGCGCAGTGGAATCGTCAATTTTTTAGGCTCGCGTGATGTTGGATCCGTTCAAGTAACCGAAGCACCAGTGTTTGGCAAATGCACTGAGTCGTATAGTTCAGAAGCACGACCCTTGGTTAATGTTTGGCCTCATGCATGGTCACTGACTAGAGGCCTCATGACCGATTGATTAATCGGAGCTCTGAACCTACGACTCGTTTGGCACAGCCATCACTGCAAACTTCACTAGGCTTTTGGAGATGTTACGAACCGTACTTATGGCGCATGTTTGTCGGCAGGGACAAGGAAACGACCTGGAGGCGCGCCACCTACGTCATTCAGCGGGAGCTATCAGAGCCTGAGGACCGATGAAGCCTTCAGGGTGCGTTTCGTTGATTGCGGAGCCTTTAGGTCGTAATATATGGCTTTATATAGCTTTTAACGACGAAGATAAAGGACATCTGATGTGGCGGCGGTGGCCCAACAAGCTATGAGCCGCTGTGGTCGGGTGCGAGGGCCTGGTCGATCATCACGTGTAACCTGGTACTAACCATTGTGGATACTCCCCTTCGCCCAACTGATGACAGCTCGGAGACTCTCAGATATGATGCTTGTTGCTATTAATATATATGCTTCCAAGTCAGTTGTTGCCCACTCATTATCAGCCGAAGACAAGTAACCAACGACCACATGTCCAACTAACGTCATTCTTACCTGCACAGCCAACACCAATGTCGCTTAGGCACCTGGGAGTCCAACCCTCCATACAACCACAAACGTATCTTTAACTAACATGTTATGTCAATTAGTGAGTAAAATTTCTCCTATAATACTCCTGCAGTAGGTAGATATAACTTACATGTGGGTATGCGAATCTGCCGTATGGGTCTGTTATCTATGCATGGTGTATAATGATAGGGCGTTTGAGTGGATCGGTAACAGTTGAACTGACATCAGGTCGTGACGATCCAGGACGATAACCGCTTAACACAGAACAAAGCCAGCTGCTCAGTGGATGTCGGGTACGTCCAGTAGAAGGAAATCGGATGTGTGTGAGGGAGACTCTGCCCCTTTCTGGTGGCGGGATTCTGCAATTTGTTTTGACTTGAAGGATTGCTGCGGAGGGCGAACACTATCAATGTTACCATTGCTTGAACTGAGAAAAAAATATTAGGATCGGCGCCACAACCCACGTAAGAGTTACAAGAAATACTAACATAGAGTAAACCCGTTAAGTTGCATGTAGCTAACCAGGGTTCAGCGTAGTTCCTCGTATAATGAGAGACACAGTAAAATGTACATCTTACACATGAGATATGTATCGAGCATTGGCGACTTGGACTCTGAAAATGACGAGCGTGTTCAAGAAGCAGTTGGGAGAGATCTGAGGTGCAATTAAGCATCTGATATCATGATCATTGGCCAGGCAGTAAATGCGGGATTATTCTGACTGATAGAATACGAGTCATGGTCACAAATGAGGATTGGGCACTTCAGCTGCACAGCCTATAATACAAGCTGTGAACTTGTAATCACGAGGATGTCACATTAGCCAGTTCGAACTTCCAGTAGACTCAACTCTGCCTTGACCTATACGCATTCGTGTGAACACATCAAGACCAGCTAAGGAACATATTGGGGTAAGTGATAATTTTAGACTTTGTTTGATGAAAGCTGAGACGGAGCTGTGCTTGATAGTCGATTACATCTTCACCGATATCGTTGAGACATCAATGATAAAGCCCAGCAAGAAATTTGAAGGACACACCAGTTCGGTCAAGGGCGTCATATGTCTGCCAGGCGGACAGTGGATGATGACATGTTCGTTGGACGGCTCGCTGCGGGTATGGGACTTGAAGAGTGGGAAACAGATAGGAGACAACTGGAGGGACGGGGATAGCGAAGTGAGGACCATAATGTTATCTCCGGACGGGAAGAAAGTGGTTAGCAGCGGGACTGTGGACAGCGCAGTGAAGTTGTGGGACATCAACACAGGCAAAGTCATCGCGAAATGGTTGGGACATACAACAACAGTGGTGTCTGTCTGCTGGAGTCGAGATGGTCAGAGAGTGGTGAGCGGATCCTACGATGGGACTGTAAGGCAATGGGACGTGGAGAATGGAGAGACAATCCTCGGTCCCATCGAGACTGGGCATATATGGTTGTGCGCAGTCGTCTACTCGCCAGACATGACCATGTTTGCGACTGCTGGACACGATAGGATATTTGACGAGCACCCAGTCAAAATCTGGGATGCGAAGATAGGCAAACTTGTCGCCACTCTCAAGGGACACACATTCGGTGTATTGCCTGGCTTAATGGACTCTGGATGGAAAAACGCTTACACAGCACAAACGCATGAATTATGAGGTGGGTAAAATGTCGGTGAAGCGTGAAAATATACCACAATATCACGAAGTTTTCTGGTACATTCGCTCATCAGGCAATCTGCCAACAATTACACGCTTTGCCCACAATCTATCACATTTTTACCTTACATTTCCCCCACAATTCACGCAATATTTCCATATGTAGACACTGCACAACAATCACGCTTCGACGGTAGCTTGAAATCACACACAGCAGCTCGAATTTGTGTGCAGCGGGCTTGATTATAAGGAAGAATGATCCAGGACATGTTGCACATAAGGATGACAAAGTTATTGAGCAGAACGACGCGTCTAAGTCCCCACCACAATGTCCCATGTCGAACCCCGAGTATAACTTCAACTTCAATCCTCCCCCTCCTTTGTATGGCCATCCTGGCACACCAGCAGGCCATGCATACAGTGGAATGGTTGGTGCCCATGAGATGGGAAGGGCTATGTACCAAGGTGGCCCTGCAGGAATGTCGGATGGGTGTCCAATGTCTGTTCCAGCGCTGACACCAGGGTCATCTTCACATGAGTTCCAGTGGCCAGCATCAGTTGTTCCCATCATAGATCCCTGACTTACTACAGCTCCAGGCAGTGTAGGAACAGGTACCAGCTCAGCACAGAACACTAGCAGTCCACCAAAGTTGATGAAAATATCTCAAGTCTTGAGTGAGATGACAAGTTTCAACTGCCAGCTGGCCCAAGCTGAAGACTTGGAGCTGTGACATGCAAATGAACTGCGCATGGTGGAGACTAGATGCATTCAGCATGTTGAGGCTGCGAAGACTGAGTTCAAGGCCAAGATAAAGAGTCTGGAGGAGCAGTTTGAGCAGAAAGTTGCCAGTTTGCTTGCAAGTAAGAGTCAAGTTGATGTAGGAGATGGGTTTGAAGCTGAGACCAATGAGGAGTTCGAGAAAGATGTTGAGAAGCTTGAAAAGAGTGCCCTTGCATTCAGTGACAATAGTCTGAAGGTGAGTAAATTAGTGGATCCAGTATGTGAAGAGTACACTAATAAGACATCATTCAGGCAGTTGTTTGCATTGTGTTTCAGATGTTGATGGGAAGCGCAAAGCTTACTGTTGACATGCTTCCTTCATATCCAAGTGACAAAAATAAGTGGCTGCTTGATCCTGCCACCAATGAGCATTTGATGTGTTTTCGCTGGACTGAATCCCATCAGCATTCAGATAATCACGCCAACATCCTGCGCATCATCACTTACATTTGTCAACACAGCACAACTGTATGTGCTGGCACTGGTCCTGCTCTTCGCGATATCAGTGACAAAGACCTGTGCACCTGTGTGGTGAAAAAATATCAAGACTTACAGAAGAACTTGTGGAAGGCAGGCAGGTTGTCTGGACACCCAGTGGTGCCTCTGACAGCTGTAGCAAGTACTGTTGAAGACGATCTGCTTGGGCCTTCAGCTCAGCCTGTAGCTGTAATGGCAACTTCACGTGCCAAATTGCAAAGTCGTGCCAGAGGAGTAAGTCATGGGCCATTAATACGAACTAGAACTCACCTGTGTACCTTAGAAACTTGAAGTGCATATATGCAAATACAAGAATCTGCCAGAGGATTCAGAGTTCAGGTATGAGAAATATTGAGTGGCACTCACAGAGTCCTTGATGTTGTAGGATGAGGATAAGGTGAGTGAGCAGGGGCAAAAGATGGGGCGATTTATATCCCATGCTGGAACATATTGAAGTGACCTTGTGAGTAAAATGATGACAGTTAAAATGGACACTGACCCTGATCAAAATTGTAGATGTTGAGGTTCTTGGCTGCTATTGATGAAGTGGCAGATCCACACCCCCCACCTCGCTTCACCACTTGGGTTAAAGGCGACTCAAAAGAACTCCTGCTCTTAGCTGTGAAGAAAATTGAGAATCAAGCATGCCGATGGATGGTATCAGTGGAATGGCTTGCGAGAGAAGAAAACAAGAAGTACAGTGGCTCAAAAAACTGTCCACATGTTTTGACATTTTTCACTATCTATGATATTGTGTGAGAACGAACAAATGCCTCAAGGACATGCTTATACCACATTGTAGTATGGCTTCAGGGCTTTCATTTGAGCCCTACACCGTGGGAATCGGTGGAGATATGGTGGAGATACAAGGCTTACAAAATCATGACTCATGCAGACAGTTTTTTGAGCACATATTAAAACTATATAAATCATCATTTATGACACCATAACAATCATGCCACCATTAAATAAATTATAAAGTGGTGTCATTATGTCATTTTAAAACCATATCTAACTATACAAACCAAAAATTTCCATATGTCATGGTTATATTCACCATGAAAGCCACCCCCCCTGCTCAAAGGGATAATATCCTCTCTCTTTCCTATTCTGGCCTCTCTGCTTGTCAAATTTCCTCTAGAACTGGAGTATCCAAGTCCACTGTGGCCAATTTCATCAAAGAAAGTCACACAGACAAGGAAAACTTCTGTGAAGGGTGTCCATCCAAGCTCACCTCTACTGATAGGAGGGCTATTATTCAACATATCACTGCAGGAAAGGCTGATAATGCTGTCCAGGTCACCTATTACATCAATTCCACCATCACATTCCCTGTCTCTTCACACACTGTGAGAAACATTCTCAAGACAGCTCATCTCAGGTCAGTAACAAGGAAGAAAAGGCTCTCCTCTCTATCACACATATGCAGAGAGGACTAGCACCCTTCTTGTTTCACATATATACCTTGCCATCTGACCCAATCCTATTTATTGTGGTCTTATATGATCATATAACATGCTTCCATTCCATGTAATCCAATTCTGATGGGCCAAGGCAAAGGTTAGTCATCTCTGTTTATGTGTGATAGAGAGGAGAGCCTTTTCTTCCTTGTTACTGACCTGAGATGAGCTGTCTTGAGAATGTTTCTCACAGTGTGTGAAGAGACAGGGAATGTGATGGTGGAATTGATGTAATAGGTGACCTGGACAGCATTATCAGCCTTTCCTGCAGTGATATGTTGAATAATAGCCCTCCTATCAGTAGAGGTGAGCTTGGATGGACACCCTTCACAGAAGTTTTCCTTGTCTGTGTGACTTTCTTTGATGAAATTGGCCACAGTGGACTTGGATACTCCAGTTCTAGAGGAAATTTGACAAGCAGAGAGGCCAGAATAGGAAAGAGAGAGGATATTATCCCTTTGAGCAGGGGGGGTGGCTTTCATGGTGAATATAACCATGACATATGGAAATTTTTGGTTTGTATAGTTAGATATGGTTTTAAAATGACATAATGACACCACTTTATAATTTATTTAATGGTGGCATGATTGTTATGGTGTCATAAATGATGATTTATATAGTTTTAATATGTGCTCAAAAAACTGTCTGCATGAGTCATGATTTTGTAAGCCTTGTATCTCCACCATATCTCCACCGATTCCCACGGTGTAGGGCTCAAATGAAAGCCCTGAAGCCATACTACAATGTGGTATAAGCATGTCCTTGAGGCATTTGTTCGTTCTCACACAATATCATAGATAGTGAAAAATGTCAAAACATGTGGACAGTTTTTTGAGCCACTGTATGACTCACCTAGTTTTCTCCTAGACAATGGGTGTGCATGTGTCATATCCCACAATCCAGACCCACATTCCATCATATTCCCACGCCTTCTGAGCCTACATCCGGACCCTACTTCACATCCAGCTCATTCCCAGATCCCCTTCCACTGTGCTCCACACCTCAGCAGGATCGACTACGCTCCTGATTTACCCCTGAGCTCTGGACCATCGGATCTCCACTGCTAGCCTGATCCATACCCCCCTGTCCCATCCACCCTATGCACACTCCATCCAGCAAGACATCCGAACTTCACCTCATCTCAGATTCCAGACTATATCCACCTTCTCGTATTCTGGTCCTGTATCCACCTTGTCTTCCAGATCCCCAGATCTCCAGATATTAATGCTGGACCTATTCCCACCCTCTGTCCGAGATCCTGCGCCTATCCCCATTTAGGCACCTCTACCTTTCCAGCTTTCAGTTACCTCTTCTTCTGTCTTGCTTATTGATCCTTGTACAAGTCTTCATCTCCGAGTTCATTTACTTATGTTCCGTCTTACTTACTAATGTGTTTCCACATGCTCGTACATAGCCCTGCTCCTTTGCTTACTGATCCCCTCAGACATTCTCCAGTATATAACCCCTGTAGATACTCCTGTAGTTTCCTTAGTTTGAATATCAACTTAGACTTGCCCAATCCTCTCTTGGACTTTGGTCCACCTAAGTCTGTCCTACCCATCAGGCCTAGGGATTGATTCCCTAGGCCAGAGCTCCACCTTCTGGCACTTACCCTCTTTCTGGACTTAGGTCCAATCCCTGTCTCTCCAACTCTACCTTAGAGTAGTCTACCTCTGTTTGTTTCTACATTGGACTTCATCCAATGTAGCCCCTATTCCTTCCGGACCTCCGGACCTCCTGTCCCTCATACCTCCAGGCATCCTGTCCTTCGGACATTCCACCCTCTGTACCTTTGGACATTCCATCCTCCTAACCCTCAGACATCCTATCCTCCTGTCCTTCAGACATCCTGCCCTCTGTACCTTCAGACATCCTGTCCTTTGTACCTCTGGACATCCTGTCCTTCTGTCCTCCATCATCCTGCCCTCCTGCCCTCCTGTCCTCCTGTCCCCCTGTCCTCCTGTCCTCCAGACCTTCAGACCTCCTATCCTTCCATCCTGTTTCCTGTAGAAGTATTACCTTGCAGTGGGAACTCTCCTGAGCACTTCCTGCATTCCTCCAGAACTCTCCCACGCTCCTCCAGACATTTCCCGCACTCCTCTGGAAGTCCTCTAGCGCTCTCCAGCAGAGTAGCCAGCCTCTGGAAGTCCTCTGGACTTTGTTGGACCATCATCAGGCTTCATATGAAATGAAGGGCACATACTCAGGTAAGGGGCACAGCGTATGAGCTGAGGCCAAGCCCCTCTGAGTCAGTCTCTCTCCCCCTTGAGCAACATGGTTCTTAACAGCATGGGGTGATCCAAAGGACCCTGAGGAGATGTTGGCAGGGCAGAAGCGAGTGAAGGAACAGAAGAGGGTGATTGCAGTGAAGAAGCATGTGAAAATTGAGGAGATGGAGGTGAAGAAGAAGGAAAATGGAACAAAGAAAGGTAAAGGTAAATCAAAGGCCACAACTGACAAAGGGAAGGGACAAGAGAGCATCCCAGCACAACCAGTAGCAAGTACTAGCACAGCTCATGAGCTGCCTCCTGCTGCAGAGTTGGATGACGAGTTCAGTGACTAGATATGACAAAAAGTGTGCACCTTATCTACTCTCCATCTTCATCTTCTAAATAGTCTTCAGGTTTGTTCCTGGCCTACAAATTTTTTGAGACTGTTGTATGAGAGTACAGTTTGTAAACTTACATGGTCAAATGAGATGGTGATCCACAGATCTTTTTTGAGGACATTCAAGTGCACTGGAATTAGTGCCAGTGGGCACTCGATTTGTGATACTGGAACCACTTCCTGAGGGCCCAATTCAGTGTAGGAGATGTGGATACCAAGTGTAGATGTGCTGAAAATATATGAGCACTTGTCCCTGCTAACCAAAAGACTTACTAGAGATCCCATGGCATTGCAGGAATGTCATCATCAGAGACTAATCTCGGCACCACTGCACAAACATGAGGGACAACATCAAGAACACCAACCACAAATAATGCCATGATTTGCACAGGGACACATGTTCTACCTTGTGATATGAATGCAAATGAGTCAGCATGTGTGCACCAATTCATGGTGCAGCCATAACAAATGCTGTCTTTGCGAATGTATGTGAGTGCATGAGCTACCTTGTTCGCATAGAAGGGGGTGCCATTGTCGCACGATAAATCACCAACCAGGTGAAGGTCGGGCCATAGAGAATGACAGTACTGGAGAAGAATGGGGTAGAATACTCCTTGAGGTGAGCTGTATGCACAGAGATTGATCAATTTTGCATTATGGAGTGGTAACCTAACATTGTCTGATGGAAAATGAGCATCAGTTGATAGATTAGTGTGAAGAATAAACATGTACCTTTGGCAGCTTCGCTCTGGTAAACTGCTATCTGCATCATCATACTTCCACAGTCTTGAGCTTGTACCTTGATAATGCAGTTAATCTGGTCTTGTTCGAAAGAATGGGTGTCAGCAGGAAGAGCCAGAAGATACTCATAAATGAGATGAGTTTGGACCCAGTTCCATAAGAGAGTTAACTCAATCCGTCCTCCATCATGACCGTTATGTTGAACACATTCCAGCATGCCATTGAACCACTCGAATGCGAAGAGCCACCAGGCATATACAGGACCAAACTTCTTTATCATATCAGCTGTATGCATCAAAGCTTGATGGTTGATGGTGAGTGGGATGCGAAGCTGCAGACATTCCAAGCAGTAATGGGCTAGAAAGCTCTGACCAGTGCAAGCCTGAGCCATAGAGATCATGCAGGATGTGAGAATTCGGACACCAGTGCACAGGAATAGAATGGCCTTATACAGCAAGCAGCAGTTATGGGAAAAATCTGGGGCTATAGTGTTGGGTGGAAGAGGAGGCTCAGTGTCTGGTATTTCATCATTAGCGTCCCTCCAAGACCACCAGAGAATGACTGGGGTGATCATTAGAAGACAATGCCACTCGTCAGCCTTCTCGAGGGATTGGTTTTCACCCAGCTGATGTTGGACAAAGATAAGAAGTAAGTCAGCTATCAAGGCAAACACATATGTTTTTCAGCAGTCGAGTGATGTGGCTAGGCCATCTTACAGCATTAATTATGTCTTCAAAGTGTCGCTTCAGAGAATTGACACCACCCATGCCTGAGAACATATATCCACCAAACAACATGTGCATAAATAGGTGCGAAATGATTCCTTGATCAATCAAGATGTAGGCATGTCAGAATGAAGAAATAAACACATACCAAGGAAGATACAGTGCATAAAGTCAAGAGCTGACTTTCTTGATGGTAACCAGCCTGAAATGACATTGAGAATGCTAAATCTAACTCCATGGTCTCACAAGATCGCTTCTTGGTGAGTGGGAGTAGCATCCTTAGAGTAGAAGCTCTGACGAAGCATATGATAATTGTTTTTGTCAGTCCACACTATGCACCAAGTCAACAGGGATCGTGTGTGTGAAAGTTCACTTACAATTGTTGTAGCCTTCAGGAGTATTGATTTTGATGATGTCAACATCACAAAACACACATGGATGGAAGTCATGACTATGTCCAGCTGTTCTGTTACATTTATGTGAGGCAGGCATATTGCAAGCAAGGGCTTCGTTATCTGCAAATACATCTGCAAGTTCCTCTTCTCCATAAACATCCATTTTGACCCCTAGATAAGTTCAAACAGTGAGCATACAATTAGCATTCAACACTTCACACCATTCTTGAGTTCCATCAGCTCATGAGTAGATGGCTCCAAACAATGGTTGATTTGAACTATGTTTGGCTCTTTTGGACCTGGCATGATTGCTGCGCATATGATGTTGACTTGTAAGAATCGTTGATCTTGTGGGAGGTCATTGATAGCATAGTAGATAGGGCCGCTAGAGTGGGGCTGATTTTCGAGTATTCCCATCCTACATCATGATTATGTCAAATTAAGTGTTCAGCAAGTGCAAATATGATGTTTAAACTCACCAGTCAATATTCAAGGTCAAATGCAGGCCATATCGATGTTCAGTAAGCTTTGTTGTTGCTGGTTGGTTATCATGAGGGCGGTCGCAGATGGTACCTAATTCACCAATCTTGTGGACAGTATTTGTCTCGAGTTCATGCCATAACATGCTGTCATGCATATCAGTCATGACATAGTCTTCGTCTTCATTTTGTCCTGGACGATCTTGTTGGCTGTCTCACACTGATTTTGCGAAACCAGGTCGCATGAACATTCGGCAAAGGCTTCCGATGAGAGATACATGCAGCATGATCTTTTTGGAGGTTCAGACACGCTTGCCTTTCGCATCAGTATATTCATCGTATAGTACTCCTTCGCAGTCTGGCACAGTACACTCGGGAGATGGAAGCTCCTTGACCTGAGCAGGAGTAAAGTGCTTCCAGCACTCAGGGCATATCGCATATTGGGTGATCCACTGGTCAGCATCAATGCCAAGTTGACACTTCACGCTGAGGAGATGGCAGACGGGACGCGGATGCTCAGGTAGTACACCTTCGAGTAGCATGCAATTTAGCTGATTGTTGAGAGCATCCGTTGCAGCTTGTATGCTCTGCTTTCCGAAGACATTACCAATGACTGTGTTGAGATAGGCAAGGCGGACACCTGGATGTTCTTGGAAGGCTCATGGAATGAGAGACGGTTGGTCCTCTTGATCCTGGTCACTGCCAGGAACTCACACATCAGGCCATGCCACCAGACGGAAGTTGAAGTCTTGGAGTTCCTGGACAGGTGCTTGTTGTTCTGCCAGATATCGAGGCTGCTCTTCCGCATGTTGGTCATCCATATGCTGAAACTCGAAATCATACTCATCCTCTCTGACTTGAGGTGGAATCTCCGGTCTCTCTCGATGGTCAGTACCCTCAGACTCAGATGATGCCCCAGATGCATCGTTCATCGGGTTTGCACCTGCATCAGCATTGGTATTGACACCCATTGGTTGCAAGACAGGGGGGTACTTCTTCGCGTGCTTCGTAATAACCTGCCGTGTCTGGTACGTGAATCCGTCTGGATGCTGCGAGCAGCGCACACAGCTGCATTTGTAACGATTCATTGACATGGTCAGCTACAGTGCTCGAGGGATGATGAGCTCGGCGACGGCGCTATATAGCGAGGGACTCAGTGATTTTGTGCGCGCGTCGACGTCATATGTATGCATCACGCCGAGTGGAAATAATACATATGGTTTATTTCGAGAGTCTTTGAGAATACACAGGCTGTTATTTTGAATTGGGTAATATGCGGATACAATTTCGGGAATTCTGAAAATATAAGAAATTATCCTAGCACCGTATTTTTCGCGTTTTTGCTGTGTTATATCCGGGTCAGCTAATGCCTCTATTAGGACATGGAATACAACAAATTGGAACCAAATCGCACTGCTCGCTGGTGGGCACACCAACGCTGTCTATGATATCGCAATATCTCCAAATGATCGCATCCTCGCAAGCGCCGCATCCTTCGATCACACTGCAGTACAATTGTGGAATCTTGAGAACGGCCAGCCCATCGTTTCCCTCCACCATGCAGATGCAATGAACTGCATGTGCTTTTCGTCAGATGGAAAGCTACTAGCCACTAGCTGCGACGACGAAAATGCGTACACATGGGATTTTTCTGCGATATTACAAGATGCTGGATTCGACGACCTTTTAGACCGTCACGACAAGTCGGTACTCGTACGTGAAACTTCCATCATCAATTTTCATTACACTTAAGCTCATGCATTCTAGGCTGATGCTACACGACGTCCTGTCCGCCAGCCAATCAAAATCTCCCCTCTAGTACCCCGTGGCTTTTTCGACGACACACCAAATCATGCTCGTGTAGGTAGTTAGCATCTCATCCTGTGTTTTCCTGATGTTATGTTCTCAGTTTTCTGCACGACCCAATGCTCACGATACGTCATCCTGATCTCGCATTTTTCACTGGGCTCGAAATCTGCTCTCTGGGAGAAGTGGCTCCGGGATTGAGCTTCGCTCAGTTGATGTCCCGTATACCAAGGGCAAACGTGTATGTCATTTTCTTCCCTCTTAGAAGTTCGAACTTCATTTCGTACCACACAGAGGAACGCTTGCGCAAGAGAAAAGCGGAGGCCAATACCGAAAAACGCTACAGCAAGCACCTCACGCCCTAATACCACGCCGCAACCCAGCGGCGCGGCTCAGTCACAGTCATCTTCACAGCCACGTGCTATCTCTGCGTCGTCCACTACATTACCAGCCGCCGCTACTCCGAGAGCTTCTGCCACCAACACGAATCCTCATGTAATGATCAAACACGCTGGGCGCTGGACTCGCTTCTGGCTCTTTATCTGTTGTACCTCCCCTGATTATTTTGATGGTCGTCACTAATCTGATGTTTCCCGCGCGATTATGATATTGGCTATCTTGAAAAAGATTAAACTAGGTTGTGTATGATACATTAATTGCGGACTCACCGTTCGACTGACTGCAGTCATCAAGTTCGAAGCTAAACTTAGTATCTCGGCTGTGTCGCTGCGTCGCAGGTGGAATACAATTCAGGTTGATCATCATGTGCGTATGCATATGTACCAGTAAACAATCGGATTCATTCAACTTCGTGCTGATACAACACACATTTCCACCAGCCATCCGATGGGGAATGGTTAGTGAGTACTTGAGTACTTGAGTGCTTACTAGTATTTATTTTAATGAATGACCTACTTACACATGTCATGCGGTTCGAAACCTGCGCGATATTTTGTTACCTGCGGCTGTCTGATTGTTTGTCAATGGCAATTCACTTTCGGGCCTCGCAAGGATTATACGTGTTTCCATATCCCATAGTGTGATAATGTGTATGGACCTTACCCTCGCCGCAGCACAAGCACTTTTAAAGTGCTGTGCAGTATTAATATTGAGACTCCGTTACGGCACATATCGGCATTTCTGCATGATGATGCCACTTTCAACTATCTCCCTCAATTCTGCTTCAATCATGGTCATTCAACCTCATATTAGAGGGAGAAGGATATCTATGTCAAGAATTTTGTGTTCAGTCAGTTAGAAACACGAGTTCTGGAAAAATGCCGACTTCTGTGGAGTACCGATTGCTCCGGAAGGGATATATACTAAGTCTAGCCTTCGACATGTCAAACCCAGAAGGTTCGCCTTTCTAAACGCAACGCCCCAGGCAGTACAGGGCCTGGCGCTCACTGCCTCTTGTCCGTCATGATCTCATACAAAAGGCAGGCAGGCATCCCATCATTTCTCTCATTTTTATCCCTCCTCCTTCTCCGACTCCAATTTTTCAGGAAACATGGCTCTCGACTCTCATGGCGTGCTTGCAGCTGTGACTATCGCAATGTATGTTCCTTTCCTGCTTGTTTCCCTCAAGATAGTGTCCAAGTATGGCATGGCCCGAGGTGATGGGTGGGTCTTGTTGTTGGTATTCTGCATCGGTAAGTTGTTCGACTTATTGAAGATATAATTTTAACCCTGTTATACCTTCAGTCCGAGTATTGGGTGGTGCTTTGCTTGTTGCGGCCGAGGAAATTACTCCCGTGAACACTTCGCTATACATCGGCGGTTACGCTCTAGAAGCATCTGGCCTATCCCCATTGTTACTTTGCACGCTGGGTCTATTGCACTCAATGTACGTTCATCCTGTTGCCATTTTGCATGGAATGTGCTGAACATTACCACAGATTCCAAACTCCTGAGGGCTTTCCAAGATATCAGAGACTATTCCGCCTGCTTCAACTCCTCGGCATGATCGCTCTCATCCTTGTCATCGTCGGTATCTCCGATGAGACAAGTTCTAGCTCAAGCTCAAACTCGAGTGGGAACACTATGCGCAGGGCCGGTGTCATTCTCTTTGCCGTCCTATATGCTATCCTTGTCGGCATTTGTCTCCACCTATGGACCCAAGTCCGCTTTATCCTGAGATACCGCAAGCAGGTGAGCTTTTCGAAGCACCATCATCTGTCCGACTAATGTTCTTACGCATTATTTTCAGCTCTTGAAGGCCATCTCCGTCGCACTTCCCTTCCTTGCCATTCGGACGATCTACAGCATCCTGTCCACGTTCTCTTCGAGCACGTTTTCGGTAACCTCAACCTCAAGCACCCAAGCCAACACTGGTGACCTCGCAAAATTCAACATCTTCACGGGCGAATGGCAGATCTACCTCGTAATGGAGATGCTCATGGAGTATGCCATTGTGATCATCTATTCTATTGCAGCCCTCGTGTTGCCCCTCAACGAAGATCACAAGTCTCCGCATTCTCAAGACGAGTATCCCTTGAATAGGCCTCAGTATTGAGTGTCAAAGCGCCAGTGAATGAGAGTCGTGTCGTGTCCGGTTAAGAACCGGTAAGTCGGTTTAATGGATTTAATCACCCCATCCTCATGACACATCTTTTCACAAGGTCACCTACCGCTCGTAAATTATAGGTTTTTGAAATGGTGAAATGGTAATTTATTACAACCGAGATCACATACACATATCGATTTCAATTATGGATGCCTCTGAGGAAGCAGGGATACTAAAAACACATACTGCAGACCTTTCATCACATCGGTGCTTACTAAGTTGAATGACATCGGGCTAGCGAGACTGAGTACTGAGTTCCGATCAAAATTAGACGTCGCGCCTCATGTCTTTATAAAACACGTGACACAGACTCCGGGACATGGAATACAACAAACTGGAAGCAAATAAGCAGATCGCTGTGCTCAATGGGCACACCTCCAGCGTCTATCGCATTGCGATATCTCCGAATGGCCGCATCCTCGCAAGCGCATCGTGGGACCACACAGCACAATTGTGGAACCTCGACGATGACCAACCGATCATTTCGCCCCTTCATCATGCACTGTGACCGTTGGAGTACGTGTCCTTTTCAGCAGATGGAAAATTACTAGTCACTGGCTGCGAAGACCACAACGCGTATATATGGGACGTTTTCGCTATATTAAAAGAAGCTGGCCTCGACGACCTTCTTTCGGATCAGCGCGACAAGTCGCTACTCGCTGTACGTGACACTTTCACAGACATTAGTATTTCTCATTGCACCCAAGCTCATGCATTCTAGGCTGATGCTACACGACGTCCTGTCCATCAGCCAATCAAGGTTTCCCCTCGGGTACCCCGAGGTTTTTTTGACGACACACAACATCATGCTCACGTACGTCGACTTAATGATGCCTCGTCTAGTCCTGTTTTCATCGTCTTAATGTTCTCAGTCTTCTATATCACATCACCTCCATCCTATATCACTACCATCGCATAGAAGCACCCTTCGTAACCGTTTTTTATCTTTATTTCGCCCCATACACCCTGTGCACACAATATGCCATCCCGACGGACCCAACCCCGCCCTTTCCACTGGATTCGAAAGCGACTCTCTGCCAGATCAAGTGGTGCAGATATCGAGCCGCATGAGCGTCCCTCAGCAGAAGTTGACGTTCCATATGCCAAGGACAAACGCGTATGTTCCTATCTTCCTTGCCGAACGTTCAATTCCGCCTGATTTCATTTTCTTCTCGGATGTTCGAACCCCACCTCATATCACGTAGAGAAACGTGTCAGCAAGAGAGATACGGAGGCTAATTCTGAAAACCCCTACAGCAAGTATCTCGCGCCCTCCCAATAGCAATGCCACGCAGCAATCCAGCGGCACGGCTCAGGCCCAGTCATCTTCGCAAACACAGGCTCGGGCTACTGTCTCTACATCGTGTACCGCTCCGGAAGCTGTAGCTTCGAACACCAATCCTCATGCAATGATAAAACACGCCGGACGCTGGATTCGCTTCTGGCTATTTATCTGTTATGCTTCTCCTGAGTATACACACGGTTAACATCAATCTCATTCACGAAGATATGCCTTGATGTTCATCTCATCCCTCGAATACATACGATGTAGATATGAAGTTGGTTACATACTAGTCACATACCCGGTTGTAGGTACTTTTTGACAGAGGTCACTGATTAGAAAACCTTCTCCCTAATTTTAGTACACGCGTGTGGGTGAAGCTTCGCGAGATCGCCTTCCACGCTCAGTACTCCCCCACCAGTCATCAAATTTTTAGGCTCTCAATTCTCTGTAGAACACATGATGCAAAAAACAAGGGTACTCATACTTACCGGTATGGACCTTCGCGGGAAGCTTACTGGCGTAACCCAGTATAAATTTGACCACCAAACAATCCGCTCTGCAGTACATGAAGTTGTCCCAACACTAATCAGCCCTCACGGAACTGCAAACTGCAAGTGATATTCTCAGCGCGTAGAGACGATCCTGCTGGGAATGGATTGCCATCAAAATTCTGCACATGCGCGGCTTTGTGCCCCGTTTGGTTCGTCCGAGCTTAGAAAAGCTTTGACACAATTTTCAACCCGTGACGCAGATACTGATGGACAGGTCCACTTTTCTTGGTAAGGTGGCAGGTTCAGCAGGATGAAATGCAAAACCCGTGCGCAGTCGTGGAACGGATGATAATTGGTATGGCGTGGATGCACGATGGTAGAAAAGCAATCTACAGAACCGAGAGACGTAAGGGGACACGTTACCCAAAAATTATGCATGAGCACGAAGCTTCTAGGCCCAAGAGTGGAGGGCACCTGGTTTCCCCGAAAGTCTGGTGCGGTCGTCCGTCCTCCATCCTGTCTGTCTGGTCAGTGAGAGTGCATATCATGTATGTTGCCTACGCGAGCGGGGTTTCGGGCACAGCCGTCTTGAATTTCAAACGGATCTACTAGTACTGTCAGTTCAAACAACATTGAACCTTCTTTTCAGAACCTTACAAGCATACGTCCTTTGCGTTAGACGACCGTCGACAACATACAGACATGATTGATGCCACGACAGCCAACTCAAATGCAAAATTTTCCCTCGGTCTCGGATATTATTGGTGCCCTGCAAAACATCGTAAGGGCCCAGTTTCATAGGCACTCGTCTGCATATAATAATAAACATTTTACTTCAGCTCGCTCATTCACAAGTAATCGTATGTCAATTGAGTTGAATACATATATCAATGTCATTGATTCACGAGGACCAGATACCGGACCTCGAAACTCAGTATCCTATTAGCAATACGAACTACTCTGCCTTCAAGCTCGATTATCAGAACATCAGTGCCATCATCACCGAACGCCAGCAGCAATTGGATGCAGCATCCCACGAAATCTCGCGTTTTGAAACAGTCATAGATGGTATCAACCATATTCACCAGCAACTGATCGCGAAGAAGGACAAAATCACTCAGTCCATGAATTTGCACAAGCGACTTGTATCAGCTCTCTGGCGCTTGCCAGCCGAAGTCCTATCCCAGATTTTTGTTCACTGTCTTCCGATTGGGTACCACTTGTTGCCTGTATCAAGGGCAGCTCCTATGCTTTTGACAAGAATATGTCGACGATGGAGGGAGGTTGCTGTGGATATGCCTAATTTGTGGCACAGACTGTCCGTGGGCAAAGACTGGCAGCGGGCAGCCTTCTGCTATGAGGCATGGCTCAAGCGATCACGAGGGCATCCGCTCTCGCTGGAACTCCAGTATCACAAAAATGACTGGACCGAGCTACGAAGTCTTCTTCAGCCCTACATAAATCAAGTCTCGTCTCTGTCTCTTGATTTTTATCACGACGGCTTCCAACCTGAGTTTACGATATCAGACTTCCTCACACTTAAGGAGTTGACTATATCATTGTATTTTTCTAATTCTGAGGCTCGCATCGTCCAATCTATCTCGCAACCGCCATGCACTCTACGCAGTCTCACGGTAACAGGACTGTTCTTCAACATGGAATACGCATCTACCTTCAATCCCACCTCAGGCTGGGCCCGCCTCACAAATATCCAGATCGACCTAGACGAACCAAGTTCATTCCTCCAATTGCTCCGTCTATGCCCCAGCCTCTCCTCCTTGACGACAACTATAGTTTTTGGCGCCATAGAGACCTTGGAGCCATTCACGCACACCCAACTCCAATCCTTACAGATCGTTTTCGACGATTTGAACGACGACGACGACGACACAGGGCATTTTAACCCATTCAATACCCTGTCACTTCCCAATTTGCGCGCTCTCGAAACTCGCGGCATATACCCATGGCCTCATGAGGAATTCAATGCATTTTTGACACGGTCAAAGTGTCCCCTGGAGAGCCTGACGTTCGGCTTCGAAATGTCGATAACAGATGAGCAGCGAGCGGAATACGTTGCTCTTATTCCTTCTCTCAAAGAAGTACTAGTAGTGACATGAGTCATTCCTTGTATTAGAGGTTGCTTGTCGTAAACAGACTTGGTTGTTACGGACTTCCGAAGTGAAGATGTCAGGTTCAGACGGAATCAGACCTACACCGTCATGATCTATGTATCCTACACACTGATTTAAACTTTGATTCTATGACTTGTAGGTGTTTTCCACGTTTGCATCGTGATCAAGATGCGTCGCTGACCTCGGGGAAGGACCATGATGTAGCTTCGGATACAGGTACAACGCAAGGTATGCATACCGCTCAGGATGGATGCCAAAGAGCAGGCAAGAGGGAACTGCGCCATGCGAAATAAGCACACTTCTGCTCTGAATCAACTGACAATAGGTCGACTCGAAGCGTGTGTCAGTGCTAGTGGTAACAGAATGTTTGAAAATTCGAGGCGTCGAATGAAACCAAACAAGAGGGCGGGAATCGCAGTGGTCCCACACAATCACGAATTTTCCACACCAGATTGAATCCTGTTAAACAAATGGTAGCTTGTAAGTAGTTTGGGTCTGAGGGGAGTTTTTAGGGCAAGAAACCTTGCAAAGAAGGTTAGTACGCTAGGATAGACGGACTGCCGGACTGATGTTTTTTTTTTTTTTGGGGATCCTTGTTTATTGTCCCTTGGGGCGGGGCCCTATGGTGGACACTACGTACGGTACCTATGCTATTCTATTGTATGTGCTTTGTCCTTGGTGTGTCGATGCTCTGCAATGGTCCGTGCTAAGGCAGGGACAGGTGACGCCGTCTTAAGGCGTAAAGTTAGTGGTACATGGTATTTTTGGAATCTTCCTGTTTCCTTCCCTCGTTCTTCTTTCCTCTTCTCTGACCTGTTACTTCTCCTCTGGCGGGGTGACGTCGCCGAATATCTGTTCTAGTCTTTTGGTGCGCGCGATGTACTTGAGTGTCGCTCTGATTCCTTTGCCTTCGCTCAGCAGGTACTTGACGTTGAGCTACCGTGGTCCCACTTCCATGCCTAGCGTGGCGCGTTGTCTAGCGTATTTGGGCACGTCATCAGGAAGTGGTGAACAGTCTCTTCGTGCGTTTGGCATCCTGGGCATATTGCGGTTGGCGTTCTAGCTATGCGGTGGAGATGTTTGTTGAGTGCGACATGTCCTGTCCGTAGTTGGAACACTAGCGAGCCGTGCTTCCTGGGTAAGTCTTCGATTTTGCTTGCGAACTTCTTGGATGGGACTGTTTGGTCGATGGTTTGCAGGCGAGCATAGCGGGGGGATTCTTTCATGACGGTGGTGGCCTCCATCTTTACTTTGCTGTGGAATTGTTGCTTTAGCGCGGCTTTGCTGAGCGGGAGTGTTCTTATCGTTCCGTTTCTGGTCAGGAGCGACGCTGGGAGCTCGTCCGGTGGTGAGGATTCGCCTGCTGCTGCCGCCTTTTTCGCTTCCTCATCCGCGGCTTCGTTCCCGGGATGCCCTTGTGTCCCGGCGTCCATCTCACTATGAGTTTCCTTCCGTCTTCGTGCGGTAACAGTTTGCGAAGGTCGTCGTGGAAGGTGTCTGCTAGGTGGTGTCCTGGTCTTGATTGGAACGCCGTTGACTGATGATGTATCCCCGGACTTTCGAGAATTCCTGTTTCTTGTAAGAATCATACGACGAAGCAGATGTCCAGACATCCAAGCCTGTGGCAAGTATGATGATATAGTCGGTGAATCACAGTACTGAACTATGGGCCCCTTGTCTCCTTTATGATTCTAGAAAGCTGAAATGACTGATTCGCTCTAAAAGGGTAGGTGGACGAGACTATATTATAATGTTTTAATGAGTTAAACATCGGACATTATCTAAATTACCACTACTTCTTGCTGAGTGCTTGCAGCTGGACGAACTCGTAATAATCTCCTCTCAGCGCAAGAAGCTCATCATGGGTTCCAGATTCGCTGACTCTGCCCTCCTTGATAAAATGTCTGCAAAGTATTGAGAAAGGGTTCACGAGTGCCGATGTTCTCGATTGACTCACATGCGATCAGCGTTCTGAATAGTCGAAAGACGGTGGGCGATGGCAATGGTGGTGCGACCTTTCGCAGCACTGTCAAGAGCTTCTTGCACTACCTTCTCCGAGTTCGAATCAAGCGCTGATGTAGCTTCGTCGAGCAGAAGAACCTTGGGGTTCCGAAGCAGTGCGCGAGCGATTGCTATGCGTTCTGGATCATGATTTCAGCACACAAAGAAAGGGATCTGTCGTGAATGATACACACGTTTCTGACCCCCCGACAGCTGGGATCCCTTGCCACCGACTTCAGTAGTGAATCCACTAACATTATCGTGTCAGTAAGCCTCAAGTTCTCGTAGTGTTGAGAAGTCTTACTCTGGAAGTGATTGAATGAAATCTAGTATGTTGGCACTACGGCAGGCAGCCTCGATCTCTTCTTGCGTGACCTCAGATTCTGGCCTAGCAGCACCGAGCAAGATATTGAAGCGAATAGTTCCTGCGTACAAAGTCTGCAAGGCAATCAGTCAGCTCTCTCTACCAAGGGATCAATATGACGATCGTATTCACAGGTTCTTGCGACACAAGTGAAATCTGCTGTCGATATGCCTGGACGTTAAACTCATCGATAAGCTCTCCATCGAGCGAGATCCGTCCTGAAAGTGGATCGTAGAAACGCTCTAGTAACTGGATGCTAAATGGGCTTTCAGCAGCCTGTTTGAATACGGTAAAATATGCAGACATTACACCGTGCTTTTACCGCAACCGCTGGAGCCGACTAAGGCAACATAAGTTCCAGGTTCGACGGTAAGCGAGAGGCCACGAAGAACCCGGATTCTGGGACGGTTGGGATAGCTGAAACGAACGTTCGCCAGCTGTATACGGCCTTTGATAGTTTCGCTCGGAACGGTTTTGCCTTCAGTTGACTCTGCATCAATCGCAGGAGTCGAATCAAGGAGCCTGATAACTGCGTCGGCGGCACCTTTGGCCGATGAGACATCAGGCACAAATGTAAAGAAGTTGCCAGCCTGCATTGAGGAAAATACCGTGCTCTGCCAATGTGTTGACTTCAATCATGTACGGAGATTGACAAAATAACCATACCACTAAAGCAACGAAGAACGATTGCTGTGGATAACTCCAGCCGAGAAACGAGCGTTGCGCCATACCAGACGGCTAGAGATGTCACCCAGAACCCCATGGCCTGAGAGAATGCATACAGCAAGTTGCTCCAGAGCGCTGTCCTAGTAGATTTCCTGATAGGTCCTTCCAAGCTATGTTTGTAAATATTGAGACAGTGCTCTTCTCGGGTCAATGATGCAACGGTGCGAATGGCTGCAGCAGCTTCACAGGCAATCTGAGCACAGCTTTCTTGCGCTTTTTTGTTCCTCTGATCTTTCAAAACAACAACTTGCTAGAAGACGGTTAGCACGATAGGAGCTCATTACGTAGGTCACGTACCAAACGTATATAGCCACCGCCAATCAAGAGAGGGATACATGCTGAATAGCGACGAAATCTGTAAGAGAAATGCGTAGTATCGGAAAACGGGACGCACCCATGCCGACAATGGCCACCTTCCAAGCATATGCAAAGCCAATAGCCAAACCAACCACTAGAGTGGCGATAGATTGGACGATTCTAACCAAAGTCAGTCGTGACACCACATTGGAAGGAACAGTGATACTCACGTTCCGAGAGTTATGCCAGCGAGACCATTGATCCTCTGGGGGTTTTCGCTCAGGCTTGACGTCAGAGCACCAGTCTTACAGAGTCCGATGAGGGTTGTGCATGTGCTGGAAGAGTTGTAAGACTCACACTGTTCTTGTCATTGTCAAAGTACTCGACTATCGTAATTAGTGAGAAAACTAATCATGTAGCGATTAAACACTTACTGTCTTGTCGGAGGATAGCTTTGAAGCTCAGTGAACGGAGCTTGGCAGTCAATACAGCGGCAGCAGAGCAAAGAAGTAGTTCTGGAAACCCATACACAAGCCGCTTAGAATGGCAAGGATGAAAAACCTGGCTCGAGATAAGCACCAGCATGATATCCAGGAGAATATGTAAACTCAACCAGAGAGCATTCCGGTCGCCTTGGTAGCTGCGCTCAGCATTTGTGGTCGCGCTAAAGCCGGAGATTGCTTGCCCTGCCGGTGCATGCCAGAATAAATGACCTCTAGTTTTTTTGTGGCGGAACGACTTACCAAAGATGATACCAGAGGCGGGATAAACAGCACCATTGCCTGCAGAAACGTATGAGCCCAGTAAATAATGTGTGCTTTGTGTGCTCACATATGGCAAAGAGAGATCCAATCAAGTAACGATGAAGCCCTTTGCGGTGAAGAACAGCAGTGCGTCTCATCAAATAGAATAAACCGTAGTCTTCCTCCTGGTCCCCTACTTTCTCCTTTAATTGACTGACGACGTCGCTTCCGATGGAGTGAATGGTGCTCTTCCGTTCGAGCAGTTCTTCTGGCCTAGACTTTTCCAAATCTGTCTCGTCACTTGGTATTGCTGCGTCTAGGTCATCATCTTCACGACCCTCGCGGAGAGATTGAGCTGCGACGAGACGAGAGTATGCGCCATTCTCGTCTGCCAGAAGTTCCGCATGAGTCCCTCGTTCCAGTACGAGTCCCCCGCCCATTACAAGTATGCAGTCAGCATCTTTAATTGTTGACAAACGATGAGCAATGGTGATGGTAGTTCGACCAGCAGCAGCCTTGTCGAGAGCGTCTTGTACGATCACTTCTGAGCGAGTGTCGAGGGCACTCGTTGCTTCATCAAGGAGCAAGATCCGTGGATCCGACACGATAGCTCGCGCAATGGCGATCCGCTGTTTTTGCCCTCCCGACAACAGAAAACCTCGCTCGCCGACCATCGTGTCATATCCTTGTGGCAGGCGGGTAATAAAGTCATCCGCATTGGACTTGACGCAGGCTGCTTTGATGAGTCCAAACTTCTCCTCATCAGGTGCATCCTCGTATGGTGTGCCAATGAGACCGTGTGCGACGTTGCCCCTGATAGTCGTCGCGAAAAGCACAGGCTCTTGCGAGACCAGACCGATCTGGGAGCGCAGCCATTTGATATT